AATGACTGTAAACATGACCAAGAAATGTGATAAAGTGATGTGATGAAGTGGCCCTATTTTGGCCCGTATCTCCAAATGAAAATTCCTGACAAACGACTCGTGTAGCTTGATTGCATCACATATGTGTACCTGCATAAGGTGATGAAAGTTGGTTGACTACTCGTTGATGGAAATAAGGCGACAGTAAATACTATGTCATGTGACGAAAAGTTACAGTTAGGTGACAATTATGGTGTCACTCGGTGATATTGTTAAGGTAAGGCCTCACAGTATGGCAGTAATGTGAGGCGACGTGAGGTGAGGTGTTACAAAGATGTATCAAGATGGTGTCGCAATGATAACAATGGTAGTGTGATGTTGTCACAATGGTGGTGTGATGTCACAATGGTGGTTTGATTGAAATACAAAAGGAAAATAAATACCACTAAATACATGCATTGTCATGTACCTCATATGTCACACTAATCTCTAATAATCAAACTATAATGCAAACTACAATGTATACATATAAATATATATAAGCAATGACTTATCAGTTAACTGCAAATCCCTAAAGCCGTTGCATGCAAGGATCTTGAGCAAGTTACAAGAATAATGGCATAGATAATGCATGTTCATTTATGTACATGAACATGTTACCATCGCCTACACAAAACTTTCATACAGAAAATTCACAATTACAAGCTTCAAATCACTCCAAAACTACTGCCAATGGGCGATATACAAATCTAAACACAAAATAAAAACTCACTTTGCTGAGCTGACCAAGGGTTTGACGCAACTAAAGGCTAACTTTTGAGCTTTTAAATGGAACGATTTTGCAACGTGACTTGTCAACATTTAACATGTGAAATGATGGAAAAAATAGCGGAAGTGCGAACAGCGGCCTCATTTGACAGAAAAAAAGGCAAGTCACTGCACTTGCACAAAGAAAAGGATATTCTGTTGGCAATAGGCATAGTCCCTATAGCAAAGTTGTGTCCCGAAGAGTGACGTCATGGTGACGTCATCATGGGTCATGTGACGTGGTCTTAAAAGTGCATAATAAGTCCTATAACTATGATTTGAGGCTTTGCATGGTGGAGATACTAAATAATGAAAGGTTTGCGGAAACACCATGTGCGAATAATTGCTCAACTAAGAGAATGGTTCTGAAAAGAACCAGAGGTATAAACTCTTTTATAATAATTGCGTTCCGGTCAGTATGCTCTGACCGTCTTCAGGAGACGGTCAGAGCATACTGACCGGAACGTCAATTATTATAAAAGAGTTTATACCTCTGGTTCTTTTCAGAACCATTCTCTTAGTTGAGAAATTATTCGCACATTGTGTTTCCGCAAACTTTCCCCCATTATTTAGTCCTGTAACTACAGAACTGTAAGTCAGATTGGGATGAAACTAGGTAGATTGGGATGTGTTATAGGTAATCGTTTTTGTGTGATTTTATATGAAGTTTTGATATTTTGGACCTTTAAGCCGTATCTCATGAACGCAACATGCAAAATTCAAAATTCTTTTTGTGTTTGGTTTGTTAGGCAATACATGTAGGTAAATGCACAATGCATACACGTATATATACCTATTACCTCCCTCCAGCACCCGATTTTATGAAACTCATCGTAACTTACGATGCATCGCAGCGCTGTGACGCGTTGTATCCTTACGATGCGTCACAGTTGCGACATGTCCTACGATCCATTTCTCAAAACACGTTGTACGTGTGACGCGTTGTAGGTGTGAAGCGTTGTAGGTGTGACGCGTCATAGGTGTATTTAAAGCATAACTTCTTGACAGTTTTATGTATTTATTCAACGTACAGTAAATAGTCATCTGATATTCAACATAGTTTCTTCGGATCTCTCGAAAAGTTTTAAAACGTAAAACAAAGTGGTGGATGTGTGATGCAGTTTTAAAGGAAAACAAGCTCTCGGTGGACTGTAATAGCTACTTTGAAATTTCAACTGCAATATTCCACGCTAAGTCATAATTATTCAATGCATTTTCTATTCACAACTTTACGCACATTGTCTCGGTATTATAGTCTTGTTAATGTATTTTTATGGCATAAAATTGGCTAAGAAAAGAAGGCTTCTTATTTTGCGATGACCACTAGACACTTCATAATTTGCGATGTGTTTTAAGCTGTTGTTAAGGAACTTGCGACATGTTTAACACATCGTGCGTTTCGTCAATGGATCATACGACGCATCGCGAGTTTCAACGTATTACACGTCGTAACTTGTGTTGCGAGGCATCGCAGCGCTTCGTGAAATCAGGTGCAGAATATGTTTGCTAGAACCCTGCCAAACGTGGTCATTCCACCGGGTTGGGGAACAATGTGTGACATATGACCATATTAAGAAAAGCATGAATGCCTTGCTAGCAGTTGCTCTACATAATATTTGTTGTGTGTTTCACTACTGCAGAAAGTTTGAAATCATTTCAATGTATTTTGCCAAAACTATGAGCAAAAAATGTCATTTTGGACGTAACATTGACACCGTGTCAGTGTTACTTCCAAATATGACATTTGTACCTTTTAAAAAAATTTCTGCAAAAAAATTACCCAAATTCAGTTTGCGTACTTCTTACTATAGAGGCAACACAATAAGAAAAGCTTTTGTTACGGTAGTCAGCTATCGAATGGAGCAGATATGAATGCGTGGTTGTGTGGATGTAACATTGACACAGTGCAAAACCCAAATGTCAGACTTCCATTGAGTGATTTTTACACCATTACATCCATCCTTGAGGTATTGTTTCTGCTACATTTGAACCCCGACTATACCAAAACAAAAACTTTTTTTGGTGCTTAGGTGTCCAGTTGTAAATATGCAATGTCAGTTTGGGTAATATTTTACATGTGGACGTGTAAAAAATGGCAAAAAAAATTATTTGGATGTAACATTTACACAGTGTCAATGTTACGTCCGAATTAATACATTTTTGCTCATATTTGTGTCAAAATAATTTCAAATAATTTCAAACTTTCTCAAGTATTGAAACACCCGAAGACAAATAGTATGTTGAGCAATTGTTTAAAATCCATTGATACCTTTAATAATATAACCAAATATATGGATGTAACATGCACCGCTTCCCAACCCGGTGGAATGACCCAGCAACATGCAACACTTGCTTCCTGCTATTTAAAAGGTCACAAATGGTCAAAACTTCCTTCCTCACCCCCTGTTATACTTTTAACATATGCTGGTCACCAATGGTCAGATAGTGTATGTGGTTAATGTATTGGTAGGTAAAAATGGGTCAACCAGTTTTGACTCTTGGGACAGCCTTTCAAAGGTACCACATGTTATTCATTATGCATGGGAGGATAGTTGCTAGGCTTTAGGATGTTGACATTTTTTTTTCTTTTTGGAGGGGGGGGGTGTTGTTCAGAAAAAGTACATTTAGTTGCTGGTGGAGCAGTGATCTATTGTTTGGGGGATTAAAAAATAACTATTTACAAGTAACTTCTTTGTATGTGGCAGTACTTATTTTAAGCACAGGGCATTTTATTACAGGCATGCAACTTTTCCTTGGATACGCTGATTTCCTCATTTTTTACTTCTCATGAATGCCATTACAAATTGACAAACACTGTACAAAGTCTTGTGTGGTTTGGAATTTCCTCGTTTTTTCCTAAATTCCCAGTTGCATGCCTGTTATTAGGTGACAGTCAAGAGCCACCCAGCACCTAAAGCTGTGTTGACTACATACATGTACATGTAGATAATGTTCTGGTCATTCAATACCAGCAATACCTTTGCTTGGATGATACTTTAAAAAATCAACAGCAGTCAGCAAATGTCCAGTATTAGCTGGTCAAATTATTCTCATGGTTAGATACTTCAGCTGTCACAACTGGTCAATCCTATACTTCTATGCACAGTTTTTCAATGGGTCACTACAGACACCACTAGTCACTTGACTGATTTTGATTCAAGTAATAGCAAGGTTCAGAATGCGTGTTTTCAGATATGCAAAATAGATGCGCATGCGCATCAATCGAAACAAAGCTAGAGTTTCGGCAAGAGTGCTTTTATAGACCACGGCATGGCATTTGGACAGTATTTTGGTCAAATACTTGGTCAATCTTCGGGGACCGACTGACCGACAGACCGACCACTCACCAAGTGACATGTAGAAGCTCCTGCCAGAGCTTAAAAAATTAGCATGAAGTAAGTATGCATATAGCATGAAGCAAGAACGCTTTACATTTGCACCTGCAAGTGCTGGTCGAGGACCATACGATGTGTACCAGTGAAATACATAGGCAACGTAACTATGCGCGGGTACCAGTACTCTGAATCAACAAGCTGCATTGACTGGTCTTCAAAACTTGCACCTAACAATGTTGTTTTTGCACCTAATAATGTTGTTTTTGTTTGGAATAAAGACTAGACTCATGTACTTCAGCTTGCAAATGAATAAAGCCAGATGTATAGATGGTGCATTTTTCTGTGTTCTCAACTGGTCTCGATGGTAAATCCCGAGACCTTGGCATCCGAGACCAAGACCGAGACCAGTGCTTTGGAGACCGAGACCAGCCCTACTGAGACAGAGACCAGCCCTCCCAAGACCAAGACATTGATAGGACGAGACTGAGACTGCAAAAAAAGTTTCGAGATGGTCTCGAGACTGAGACCTACAACACTGCTTACGATACTGAAGAAAAGTGAAATTTCTCATTCAACTCTGAGGACCTCTCGTGATGCTTGCTGCCCATGCACGAAAAAGTGCACGTACTCAAAGTCTGTTGCAGTCTGTTGTAGTTTTCATTGAACCCCGTTCAAATACATGATACGTTCGTGGTATAAATTGGGTGAACATTATGGTGCATGTATGTCTAACCTTCCTTCTAGATTGTCATTTTCCCGATTTATTGTAATATTTGTCAAATTTTTCATTTGTGTATCATGAGTGTAATCTTCTACACATACTTTGTTTTCGTTCTTATTGGAACTTTATGGTAAAACCAGATTTTCTTTCTTTGACAGAATTCTGTCTTTAAACCAAGAGGCAATCCCTGAGACACATCAAGATGCCCAGGGAAGACAGAGCAACATGGAAGGCCAACTACTTCCTTAAACTTGTGGTATGTAATCATTCCCGTCTTTAGTGTTACAAATAGCTGAACCCTATCACACTTCTACAACTTGTTTCTTTTGCCTGATTGTATGTATTGTTTATTCTTGCACCTTCATAGATAACGACATTCCTCGCATTGTTGGGATATTTCCCCTCTGTATATTGTGTTTATATTTGCTCTTAGAGATTAATTTCCTGATTTTCTGCCAAATGCATTGTGAGTGAAATCAATACATATCAGTTAATCAGAAAAACATACATGTATGTAAAAACACAATATCACTCTGATTGGAAAACGTATTCCGAATAGTACAGTCGGCTCCCGTTATTACAAAAACGGTTTGGCCAAATTCCGGTTAAAACAAACACATACCTTCGGTCCTGGCAAAATTGTGTACATTTGTATGGGGAGAAATTCGCTTAAGACAAAATCGGACAGTACGAAATTGCTACAAAAAAATTCAGTATCGCCACCTCTAAAAACAACCGTGGTTTCTTTTCAAATAGTAAATGTAAGAAGGCAAACAATTTATACAAGTGTTTTTGAAGTGAAATGTTTCTTGAAAGGTGTTTCGTGATGACAGTAAAGACAAGATGATATAACAAACTAAAAAAAAATTGATAATAAAACAGTAGCTGGCAGCAGGTTACAGAGAAGCCGATGAAATTGCTGACAGTCAGTGCTTCTGGACAAAATTGTGTTTTAGTACTGGAACATTGTATAAGGCAGCAGTCATTTCAAAACAGAATGTAGAGACAATATAAGAATCATACATCATATATTAGAATAAAAGAAGTATAATTTTTTTTGTAATTTTTTTTATTTGAATAGCAACTGTTCGATGAATATCCAAAGTGTTTCATTGTTGGTGTAGACAATGTTGGCTCGAAGCAGATGCAGCAGATCAGGAGTTCTTTGAGAGGCTCCGCAGGTAAGTACATGTAACTAGAGTTTTGGTACAAGGAGGGTGTGGGTCATGTTTTGCGTAAAACTTCATCTCATTTCCAAATTATAAACCTGAACTTCAAGGCATTTTTTCCTTGAACCTTCTAGAATTACCTAAAATCCTCCACTGGGAAGGGGAGGGGGACCTAATGGCGCTTTTGAATTTGTAATTCACAAATACCTGAGACAGGGTTCCCATTTCTATCAGTCGAAGGCCCATCGTGTGGGTGGTCTTGAATCGCCGTTTAAACACCGATTAGTGATGTTGAAGACTGCACTCTGCGCCACTGTGCACACACTGCGTCGTGAAACACCAGCTGCCACCAGCTGCTTGAGAACCACTGATTTGATTGCCATGTAAGGTGTGATGTTGAGCACATTGTCTGATCAGAGCAAGGAGTAATATGGTAGAACAAAATCGCTGTAAATTTGTCAACTTTTTTTTTTACTGTTTTGGCTTTTAATCAAGAAGGTATTTATAAGTGGGGATAATAATGTGATGAAGCAGTTATTAATATGATTTTTAAATGCATTTTGGGGCTGGTTGTCAATGAGAACCCTCGCCTTTGGTTCGGCACAAATGCATTGAGAAGGTTTTCAAGAGGATCATAAAGCATTGGCTGTGGTGATGGGACAGATCACAAATACAAAAATAGGTGTCATTTTATTAAAAACCAACAAATTTAAAAGTGTTTGAATATGATATCTTGCAGTGGTTCTGATGGGGAAGAACACCATGATGCGCAAGGCCATCCGAGGACACTTGGAATCCAACCCTGACTTGGAAAAGTAAATGAGTTTGTATTGTTATGTCAGAACAACATGCATTTACATTTGGCTCCCGTTAGTACGAAACCGGTTATAACAAACACTTATCGTCAGTCCCGGCAATATTGTAGACATGTCTATGGGGAGAAATTCGCTTAAGACGAAAATGGACAGTACGAAATTCCTGTTAAGATGAAAGGTTTTGACGATCCGTTGAGTAAAAGAGCATTATTAGTGACCCATTTTTGCAACAAAAAAAAAAATTAAAACCACAAAAGCTTTACTTCACAACTTTTTTTATGCCCCGCTGGCAAAGCCGAAGGGGCATACTGTTTCTGCCTTTTCCGTCCGTCCGTGTGTGTGTAAACACCGGCAATTGTGGACGTAGGACAAAAGAATGTGGGCGCAAACAATACGTCCACGATCGACCGAACGTCCACGATCTCAAATCGTGTACAAAACCAATGAGAGCTTTCGCTAAAAAGTTACGAGTACAAACAAAGGAAAGAGGATTAGGGACAATGGGGCGTCCACGATTGCCGGCATTTACACGTGTGTGTGTGTGTGCGTGCATATGCCTATTGCAGTACTATGTATGCATAGCTGCCAACTGTTACGAATTTTTCGTAATTATTACGAATTGTTTGTTAAATTACGAAAATACGATTTGCCACTAAAACATTACGAATTTCCCATTTTCTACCTAACGAAAAAAAATAATACTTGTAAAGTATCGTTTTTGACCGAAAACTTCTGGCGAAATGTCGCGATAATGGATGGACTGGTGACAAGTCTAATAAGAATGCAGTCAAGCACCTGATAGACATCAATGCAGTGTGCGCAGTGGAGTACTTGAGGACCAGACTAAAACTATTTTTCAATGGTGTGTCATATGTGTGCTGCATCTCGTGGATGTGTGGTTGTGTGTACTGTATGTGTGAGTACTTTTCAGTGACAATCGTGAGCACATTTGGTCGCTTTTTGCCGGGATGAGACCCATCAGTGCGAGATTTTAATCATGGAATTTAATAAGAGTATGGTTGGAATAATTGGTAATAGAGTTTGAGTTTGTCACAACGTCCAGAAAAGATAAATCAGCATGCGTTTGCAAGGTATGTTGGCGGGATATTTCTATTGCATACGGTGGCCCTAAATCAACGTGTGTAAAAACATTTATACGAACTCGAAACTCCACATCGATAGCATGCATCTCAAAAAAAATATGCGCACATGTTATTATTGTTATTATTTATTTGACTTCAACAAACAAATACAGACATTAAAAAAAAAAAAAATATTAAAAAATTTTTAAATTTTTTTTCCTTCTTTTTAAATTATCTTTTGGCCTCCAGTACATTATTATTCACAACAAGAAGGGTATGCACATGTATATGTACATGTAAACCATGTATCTGTACTCGATGTTGGTAAAGCTTTTCATAAAACGAGCAGTTGAAAATGACCGCGCGGGTTGATTACTAATTGGGATTTTGAAAAGTTGGCAGCTATGTGTATGGGGTGTGGGTGTGGGTAGGCATTACATTCACTGTGTGGACTTGTGAACAAAACATGTCCACATAATGCAGGTTGTGTGGACGTTATGTGGACTAAGCCCTGTCCACATTACGTTTCGCCCTCTCTGGAAAACAGGTTTAGAGGCATTTTTGGGTTAGGTTTATCCGTGGCAAAATAAAGAGAAACACTAAGGCCCCCCCCAAAAAGTCTCTGGTTTCTGGTATGCGCGTACGAAAAAGTTTTTTTTTCAATGAAAGATGATGTCTCAAAACAGCCAAACTCACTGGTTTGACTGGAATCCTGCTGCTGAACAATTTTAACGTGTTTTTAGATGGGGTTATGATCGAGAATAAGCTTTATGTGGCCTCTCTGGTCTCCCATAATATTTGCACTAAGTTTAGTCGGGCACCATTTGCAGTCATCGGCCGACATTTGAAGCAAAAAAAAAGGTAAAAAAAAAAAAAAAAACCCGCGTCGCCGCACCACTTTTTTGGGCAAGCTCCATACCAGAAACCGGAGACTTTTTTAGGGGGGCATAAAGGGATTCATAGAAAAAAAAATGGGGTTGATAGAGTTTTCACAGTTAAAGTAAAGTTATTCTTTTGTACCAAGTTTTCTTAACTACACGAAAACAAAGGAATGTCCACATAGCGTATGTAAAACAAACATGCGTGTGTGTGCGTGTGCATTTGGTTCCACAGCGATATCTGGATTGTATGTCCATGTATGTCTTGAACCTTGATACAATGAAGGTAGCTTGCTAGTATAACTTATAAGTTTGGATATGCCATAAGACAAAGGCCAAGGTCATTAGGATTAAAACTTGAGACTTTCACCGTAGTATATGTACATGTACATGTTTATGCAGCTCTGTAGGTTGTTCTTAGAATTTTGAGTCACTTCAGGACCCCATAGGCCAACTGTTCTCATTATTAAAAACCAAAGAAATGATGTCATAATGATAACTCAAGCTTATTCACATAACCATATTTTCTTTTGATTATTTAAAAATTCTTATTTCCATGTAGGCCTTGTAAATGCTCAAAGGATTTGAGAAATGTCTTGCTTAAGACTGAAAATATCTAGTCAGTTTGCTTAAATCACATACAATGACTTCCCAACAGAGAAGCAAAAACCAAAAATTAGTTATGGGATCATTGGCATCAGTACGTTACATGTATATAGCCTAAAGAAAACAATAACAATGTCAATGAACGTTCCATGTGACCCAGGTAAGTTGATGTTAATAGAGTGGTGTTATGTCAATGAAATAAGCATAGTTGCGGAGCCTTTGTGTTTTTTAACACTACTTTTCTTGTTTCTTTTAGACTTAATCTGAAAGCAGCATTATTAAGATCATCAATGGGTTTAGGTCAGTTGTTAATTCTTTCCGACATACATTCTCTGCTAAGTTGTACTTTCGGTCAAAATCAGTCAACCGACTGTTTTTTAGTGGTCGAGTGCTCCCTGCCTACATAAAGCAAGATTATGTGGCTGTGACTGTTTATGTAACTTGATACAGCTATGCAGCTGTAGGTGATTGATAAGCCAGCTGTACCTACCACTTGCCTGCTTTTGTCTGTTGACTGAATTTGATTGGGCACAGTGCTTGCGTGAAATATGATCTGACTGTTGGTGACTAGCCTGTGTAACGGGGACGGCAGGAAAAATGATTGAGTTTTTGACTGTCTGTGACTGTTCGGACAGCAGGTTTTGTGTTGGGGTTTGATTACCTTCCTTTAATTACTGTAGACATCTTGTTTTTTCTATGTTAATGGAAGCACTGTGTTATGAGTAATGATTGAGATTAATGGGTTGTCATTGTTGATAGGTTGCTTCCTCACATCAAGGGCAATGTTGGCTTTGTCTTCACTAAGGGAGATCTGAGTGAGGTCCGTGAAACCATCCTTAAAAACAAGGTACGTATGTGGTTTGCTACATCATACTATAGTATGACAAGTGGAGTTGACAGGCATGTTTATGTTCTTAAACCCTAACTGCCCTGAATGCTTCAAAATCCTCTTTGCCAACGTGGAGGAATTTGGAGGATTGAGGTTACATGGCAAAAGTGCGTTACTGATTTTGTAGTATGCACTTTGTCAAGGTCTTGGGCTGGACCTAGTGTTTTTGCTCAGCCATGCATAAATATAGGCCTTGATTATGATGCAGGATTCAGGCAGTGGTCACCGCTCCATGTACCATATTCAAGCAATAATGAGGGATTTGCAGGATTTCGGCCTATATGCTATTTTCCCACGAGGCCAATTTAAAGATTTTGCAGGATTGAGGCTACGTCCTAGCAGAAAGGCCTAAGGAATTGGGGTTGATGATGTAAATCAGGTAAAATTCAACCACTTTGTGCCAAGAAAACGTTGCAGTACCAAATCAGTAAAAATCCTTCCTCCAATGAACACTTTGCACTAGTACTAACTCCTCGCAAATGTGTCAAGTATGGGCATGACAGGCAGTCCAGATGACCTATGACATAACTGTCGACATGTGCACCATATGTATGCCTGAATAAATTGGAGATCATCTAGTATATCAGATCACCAAGCATTTGTGTTAATGTCAGATTTTGGGTGAAACTTTAAATACAAATTCCCTACTCACATGAACTCGACAAATTTGAGTTCCCAGTGCCAAGATAAGTCAGTAAAAATATACAGGCCATTCCTTTTTTTCTTGTTAGCATGCGTATGATTTTTGTTTTCATTTCCCAAAAAACCCAAACTCAACACTGCATTATAAAGAGTAAACTTCACAGATCAATAATTCACTGATTAATTGTACCCTGCTTGCGATACTCTGATCTCAGTTTTGGAAGTTACAATAGCCCTAACCCCCGGACTTTTTGCTGGGATGTAAACTCAATCCTTCAAACTATGTCAACAGCCTCGTGTAAAATTAAAATACAGTCTTAATCCTCCAAAACCATTTGTTATTTCTTCAATTTGTTCAGTGGATGGGTGACCACTGCCTCGATCCTTTATTCCTAATGAACCCCATCCAGTCAAACTCCAACACCAAGGTTTGTTGGAATCTGTCAGGATGAGTACTGCACTAGTAAACTGATTATGCTTTACATGTGGTCAGACAAACCTCACATAAACAGAGTCCAACTGTTTGGGTGTTTTGGTTTTACCACATGGTGTTGGAATTTGCAAGGGTGAGGAAGGTTCCTAGTAAATCACCCGAGGGGGTTAAAGTTAAAATCCTCTAACCCAGTTGTCCTTTCTCTTAAGCATGTGTACTAAACCTGAAATATTGCATGTACATACTATTGGACCTATACTTTAACATCCTGTAGTGTTCATTGTTCTATAATTTCAGTTCTGCTGCAGGTAAGTCATGGGTTCTCAATCGGCTACTCATCAAGGTAGTCCATGGAGCATGCCCCGTGCTTGGCTTTTATAGCCTTGGTGCATAATGGCTTTAAATCTTTCCTAAAGTGGACACGAAAGAAACCACTTATACTGCAAGGAAACAGTGCCTTCTTCAGACACCTACATTTACGTAGAGGGCATGGCTGATTTTGTTACAATAATACAGTACAAAACAAATCTACATATTTTACTTTGTCCATATTGTCACAATTGTTCAGTTATTGCAAATGATTGGCATGACTGTTGGCATTATGTGTCGTAGGTTGCTGCTCCAGCCAAGGCAGGTGCTATTGCTCCTATTGATGTGTTTGTGGAGGCTCATAACACTGGCCTTGGTCCTGAGAAGACATCTTTCTTCCAAGCTCTGTCAATCCAGACCAAGATCTCAAGAGGCACCATTGAAATCCTGGTAAGAATCAACAATTTTTCTAATGAAAGGAAGTAAACATGTTGTGAGTTCAGAGAATACAGGTTCACCAGAATTGTAAACTTTGTTAAACAACAGAAGGGAAAACAAGTCGTCTGTTAAAGATGAACTATCTGTTATTTTACCCTGAAAACTAGATTTGCCTTTTAAAATGAATTTTTTCTAGAAAATTTGTTTTTTTTTCTTGCAAAGTAATTCACTGTGTGAGTGAGACATGTTAATGGATTGACTAATTACTGCACTCATTTTGAATTATTTGCTGCCTGGCAATTATTCAGTCCTCCCAGGACAGACTGGTTCCCTCCCCCTGTTGGCATCAATAATGGGATCAATCTGCTCACAGGTCAGATCTGTTTGTGCATAAAAGTAATTCAGAGTATTAACCTTTCACACAGGTTTGCAGATTCCCAACATTGATTGGTTGATGAAGGAGAAAAAAAGTGTTGTAGAGTGCGCACAACACATCTTTAATGTGAATGAATTAAAACATCTTTGGCAATGTTGAAATGAGCCTTGAAAGGTTAAAATGTAGTGGGTAGCCTTTACTAAAATACATTAACGCAGGGGCATTGGGTTCTACCATTGACTCAACATGAAGCACAGAGACAGCAAATCTGATTTCTCTTGTCGACTATCAAGCTTGCATTTGGAACATTTTGGTCCTCTATGGTATATTTTACATTACGATAAAGGGATAATGCCAGTGCTGTTATTTCTTCAGCATTTTTTATATAGAAATATGCACATTTAGGTTTTGGGATGTTTTAATTCAGTGCGGTATATTTAGAGTAAGAGTTGTATAATTGTAGGCAGATGATCTGTTAAAAAAAAGTTTGCACTTCATTGGATGTTTTGATACCTCCTCACATTTCTTTACATTTCCAGAATAGTTTTTAAACAAATGAGATGAACATAGGACATGTTAGCAGTGAGTGATGCATAATGTTAATTTACTTTCAATGTTTGTTTTAACAAAATACACGAACAAACTCCATGAATTTCAACACATTTGGCACTAACAACTTGATGAACTGACACAACAATATGCTACAAGAAAAGAAGTGAGCTTATCCTTATGACAATGATTTTCTGTTCAGTCTAAGGTCCATTTGATCAAGGTTGATGAGAAGGTAGGAGCATCTGAAGCAGCATTGCTCAACATGTTGAAGATCTATCCATTCTCATATGGTCTCAAGATCTTGCAAGGTAAGAATAAGTTTGTCTAATCACAGAAAGAAACTACTTTTATTGTTTAAAACCATAGAGTACTTATAATAGTGTGATTCTTTTTTTTCCCATTCAAATGTGAGCTTCCTTTTTTTATGTGTGTGTGCGGTACTGCAATTAACATTGTGTGTGCGGTACTGCAATATTCAACAAGTAGTTGAATATACTTAACAGTAACTAGAGGTTTGTGTTTGTCTTTGGAACAAACGCAGGGTTGATGGGGCACAGAACTATTCATTTGACATTGTCTAATGTTTAAGCAAACAACAGGGGCCGATTTCAAGAAACTTGTCTTATCTTGTGACTCATCTTAGGACTAAAGACAAGCCCCGCTGTGAGATCGATCTTACTTAAGACGCGTTCTAAGATCGTTTTCACTAAACCTATCTTAAGCAAGATGCAGAAAGACTACCAATTCGATGGCTGTTTCATGTTTGTTTTTACCGCTTGATGAAACAGTTGTTGAAACAAAAAACGCAGAACCAACTTCCCACATGCGCATTGAACACAAAGTTTTTTCAGAAAAATTACTCTACACAATATATTTCACATGCAAGGTAGTTCTACACAGGATGCGATAGAGTCATTGTTGCTCCTCATTTCATCACTTAATTTTTAAAAGTCGACTAGTTTTTGGCGTATAATTACATTTTGTAAATGACTTATTTTTATCAAACCTACCAACATATCAGAAAATCAGAAATCTTTTCAAATTTGTTTCTACAGGAGTTTTCTTCCTTGAAACTATAATTCTAGGTCAACATTCGTCTTTAAGGAGAACATATTGCAATGACGATTATTACAAATTAACGTATCCATTAATGAGATAAGACGATTAATGAGATAATGAGATTAATGACATATGACGCGTCTTAGTTTCCTAAGACGCGTCTTAGTTTTGTGAAATGGGCCCCAGGAACAGTATGAAATTCAAACATTTTTTTTGGGCCGAGCATTGATGAATTTAAACAATCTGGCTTCATGTCAGTTAAATACAATGAATATTGATGAAGTGTGGACTAGTCATGCTAGATAAAGTGAAAAGAACTTATAAAAATATTTATAACACAAATGTGTATGTGTACGTATTTGTGACACCTGACTTTCAGTTTGACGTCACATCAAAGTAACTGTTTACTGTACAAAGAATATTTACAGGCAATTTAGTAACATTTTGACAAATACTTTTGAAATTTTAAATAAATTCAACTTTTTTGATGTACCGCTAGAGGGTGCCCTTTCGGGTAATGATGTCATAATTTATGGGTCATTCCATGTCAAATCACCCAATGGGTTACACCCGTCCCCTTCAAATTTGCTCATATTTAGTATGTGGGGTAATTTAGGCTGAAAAAGCTGAAATTTTAAGTTTTAGTGCCATTGGACAAACGGTATTCGTGCTACCGCCCCCCATTGTTTGGCATTTTGGTCAAAGTGGGCGCGGCCACCAATTTTCAAAAGGCCACATCTCCATAACCTGTTAGCCAAATGTGTTAATCTTGGTTGCTTTGGAAAGATAACGTCATAAGGAATCCAAACTTACCATTACTTTTCACGTCAGAGTAATTTGAAGAATGATGACCTTTTGACCTTTACTTTGAACTTAAATTTGACCTTGTGGATCACGTGACCTTGAGACAAACTTTGATGAAAATTAAACCCCAAGATGTTTTCTACAAAATATCCAAAAATCAGGGGTATACTATTTTTTGTTAGGTTTCTAGCTCATGTCAAAGTTGGCATAAGTGTTGCAAAATGTGATATCCCTATACATGAACACATTTCAGGGACAAAAAAATCCCTGATTTAAATCCACTAGTACACTGCAGGGACATAAAAATCCCTACTTTAAATCCACTAGTACACTGCAAAGGGATATCACATTTTGAAACACGTATGCCAACTTTGAGATGAGCCTAGAAACCAAATAAAAAATATTGTACTCCCAATTTTTGGGTATTTTGTAGCAAACATAGAGGGGTTTCATTTTCATCCAAGTTCATCTCAAGTTCGGGTGATCCATAAGGTCAAATTCAAGTTCAAAGTAAAGGTAAAAAGGTCATTATACTTCAAATAACCCCAATATGAAAAACAATGGTAAATTTGGATTTCTTATGATGTAACATTTCAAAAGAAACCTAGATCAACAAATTTGGCCAACAGGTTATGGAGATATAGACATTTGAAAATTGGCAGCCACGCCCATTTTGACCAAAGTACCAAACGATGGCGGGCAATAGCGCAAAAAACATTTGTGCGACGGCTCTAAAACTTAAATTTCAGCTTTTTCAGCCTAAATTACCCCATGAACTAAATATGAACCAATTTGAAGGGGGTGGGGTTTAAACTTTAATATTTTGGGGGTGATTCGACACGGAATGACCCTTATTTGAGTTCACCTTCCTTCACTAAACATATTCTGACTTAATATTACTGGAGTAACATGGTATTCATTTATGACTGCACCTCCAGTAACGGTAACCCCGGAAGTAAAGATCAAGCACTTTACACAATGTATATCCAAGAATAAAAAATGTTTCCCAAGGCAATGTCTACCATCTCACAATTTAGTTTATGATATATACAATGAAATTGCGATAGGTCAAAACCAGTTAACTCAAAAACCTGTTTAACTCAAAGTAAGAACTTATTCCTGTCAAAAGAATAGCAAATCATGTATAAACATGCCCATGCTTACTCCAAATTTCAGACTCGAAACTTGGTTAAGTCGAACTCAAAATCGCCAGAAATAAACTTAGCAAAGTTAGGCCATAGAAGAAACTGGAATCCTGTTGTTAAGTTAAGGTATCTCCCACGACCCCAGACTCCGATATATAGAAAAGCAACAAAGAGACTATTGGTGTCCTTAGTATCGTTGAAGCAGCCTTTTCACTGTGGTGCAACTGACAATGATCCAAGGGAACTCTGTCCAATCATTCAGGCAGCAAGAGACACAAAGCGGCTGCAGTGGTCGCGGTAGTCCTTTGAAGAAGCCCACCCAGTTGTAACTGCGCTCCCAGTACTGCGCTCTCAGTACTGCGTAACAAATTTGCAAACAAAATTTCAAGAGTCATTATTCAGGCATGAAACTTTTCCTGGGATCTGCCGATTTCCTCGTTTTTTGACTTCTCATGAATGCCATTACAAGTTGAAAAATACTATACAAAGTTTTGTGTGGTTTGGAGTTTCCTCGAGATAGTAAAGGCCCTCGCTGCTTCGCCGCTCGTGCTAGTCTTTTTACGTGCCAGCATCCGGGGGGGGGGGGGGGGGGGGGGGTGACGTGTCCGGATGGTTCGGGTATAGGTGCGTGGCACTTGACTAAAGGCTAGGGTTGCCCTTGGGTACCAGCAAGTTGGGATTGGTTTTGGGGTCAAAAGGTCAAAGGTCAAGGTGACAGTGGTGAGTTAAAGGTCAATAGTTTCCTAATGACAACTTGAGTTAGAAATGAGATTTTGGTGTCTAACTTCAGGAGGGGGTTGCCCTTGGTACTCAAACCTCTAGCCAGTCATACAATAGGATATCGGGCCGATACGCTTCGAAAATATCGATATGCTTCACATTTTCCGTGACAAAAAAAACCACCCAAGGTTTTCTCACTACTGGTTTAAAATAAGGTGTGTTGCTGAAACGAATTATCAATTGTTATCTGAGGCAAATAATTTTCAGAAAGGTTTCTGTAATTAATATAATAATATCTTTCACGACGAAAATATATGAACTGGCCGTTACAAACACCGATGGACATGATGGAAGAGGGCGGATCAGTCGACAAGGAAATGTTAATCAACAAAACGTCTCCTATAATATAATGCCAAACACAAAAATACCTTTGGTTAGGGTCACACCTAAAAAAAATTGGGTCGGTCGGTTGGCACGACATTTTATTTTTTAAATTTTTGTTTTTTGGAGCCAATACATGTGGAGATACACGACGGTAAATTACACTTTTAATGAAATCTTATACAATTTTTGTGTCACTGATTAGAGGAATACACAAGAAAACCAATGGCCTTAATGTAGGGCTCGCGCACTCGCTGTTTGCTGCCGGTGATCACTTTGTGAACAAAACGAATGCGCGCAACATACACACGCCCGGTGATTTTGTTTCAAAAAGTCGGATGTTTTCATTCCCCATTTATAAGTTAAAATTTTGAAATATTCCTCGTAATTTATAACTTATAGTTCAATGATGTAATAAACTTACATATTTTCCCATTGTGATTGTGATTTGAGTCGAAATTACACTTGTTTTTGCTGTTTGAAAAGTCTCATTTTAACTCCGAGTACGAAAAATGCTGCGCGCATGACATGTTACGTTCACGGGCCATGCGGCACGCACAGACCGGTCCATGCGTTCAAGATCCATGGCAAGAATTGTCTGCCCTGGTGACTGTGTTTAACTCGGTCTCGACGGTAGTGTAGCATAGCAGACGTCAAGAAACCATACGTCAGTCGAAAGCTTATTGAAAATGCCATTCAACCATCCACGTTCCATGATAATCGGCCTACGCGTTGCAAAGTTACGATTCTTTTTGTTTTTCCCAAAACTTTTTCATCACGAAATACATTGAAAATTATAATGGAACCTTGAGAATTGTAATTAGTGATATCGAAGCTTGAATTGCTTTTTTTAAAACCTTCAAAATATGATTGTATTTTAGAGTTATAGACACATTTGTGTCGCGATGGATTTTCATCATGGCGCCTTCTGTTTGACAGCGCGCGTCGTGTAAGCATCACTGTTTCGTTCCCGGCACGCGATAATGTAAACGCAACAGAAAATTATCACGTTTGAGATCGAGTGCAGCCAAATCATTGTCACGTGATGCGTATTATTGTCGCGTAATGCATATTCTACACTGGTTCCCTTCATGGCCCGTACCGTCAGAATATATCAGTGGATACCAGTGTAAGTCTTTCGTTTTCGGAAACCGTCCAGACTCCATCGCACGTGGTGTAAACGAAATGGAACTCGGAGTGTTTTTGCTACCGCAGTACCGGCGATCATTTCACTTTTTGCCCGCATCGTAGTTCCTCGATCTTAATAATCGATCTCTCCTTGTATCTCAGGTAGCATATCTAATAACTTTGTGGCCGTTTTTGAGAGTGAAATCTGATGTTTTAAAGTTTGTTGGGTGGCTATAGCATGTACGATTTTTGTGTACAATGTGATGGGCACTGATGTAACGTTAGGCCATTGGAATTACGCAGGAAAATCATTACGCACAGCGCATACTTTTTTTTTACTAAATTACTAGGCTTATGAGATTTGTACCAAAATGGGATAAAATTACCCAAATATGAGAGAAACTTCGTTTTATAACCTAAACGGGATACCCAAGTTTTATATCTTTGTTTAAATTTTTGTCAAATTTGGGGATTTTGGGCATTGAGAATTGGACTTCGGCTTGGGCCAGTTTACACGTTTACGCATGCCAGACTGAAATTTCTCCATTTGGCCAAAAATTTGCCAAAAAAAGTAGTTTTTTTTGTGGTCTTTTTTGGGTCCACATGCTGTATCTACACACAATCCTTGTGTCATCCAAATTTGGTGAAAATATGTTCTAGTGAATGGAAGTTTTGTTACTTTTAGTGCTTTTTGGGTAGGACTTAGTCATTTTTCAACCTTGCCGTTCATGATTTTTAGTGTAAAAGTACATTTTTAACATTCATTTTATTGCATATCAAGTTTTTTATCAACTCAAAACCAACTGAAACCAATAGTATTTGTGATAAACAATGGACAAAAACAAGTTAAACAAAACAAAAACAAGTTAAAGTTTATGCCTTTTTATTCAATTTCACAAAAATTCACCATTTTCGTACACATTTCCTATACAAAATAACGTCATTTGATCGACATATATTTGGCCATAACTTTGGATTGCATGGGTCAATTTTTGCAATTTTACCATCATTTGTTTTCTTTTTGGGTGGGCTTTACAATGAATCTCTTAAACAAATACAACCATTTAAAAAAAAGTTCACTAGCCCTACTTAATGTCAGCTCTATATGTGTTTGGATTTCAAGTTTGGAGATCTACATGTAGTTACAACCATTGAATGGCCAACTTTGGAGTTTCAATTCTATAATATTGACATTATAATAACATGTTTTATAAATCTAGATTTTTAATACCTAACAGAATGTTTGATATCAAAGGAATCCCCATTCAATAAACAATTAGTTGATTTTTATGCCCCGCGGCGAAGCCGAAGGGGCATACTGTTTCCGCCTTGTCCTTCCGTGGGTGGGTGGGTGGGTGTGAGCTTGTCTTACATACGCAGTGTGGACTTCCGAACAAAAGACGTCCACATAATGTAGGTAGCAGCGACGAAGTGTGGACTTGCCCACGTCCACACAGTGTTTCCCCATTTCTGGAAAACAGGTTTAGAGGCATTTTTGGGTTAGGTTTATCTGTAGCAGAATGAAGAGAAACACTAAAGGGAATCATTGAAAAAAAATTGGGTTGTAAGAGTTTTCACAGTTTGAGAAAAATGAGTTTTTCCACTGGTGTTCCTTAACTACACGAAAAGAAAGGAAAGTCCACACTAGGTATGTGAAACAAGTCTGTGTGTGTGTGTGGGTGGGTGAGCTTGTCTTACATACGCAGTGTGGACTTCCGAACAAAAGACGTCCACATAATGTAGGTAGCAGCGACGAAGTGTGGACTTGCCCACGTCCACACAGTGTTTCCCCATTTCTGGAAAACAGGTTTAGAGGCATTTTTGGGTTAGGTTTATCTGTAGCAGAATGAAGAGAAACACTAAAGGGAATCATTGAAAAAAAATTGGGTTGTAAGAGTTTTCACAGTTTGAGAAAAATGAGTTTTTCCACTGGTGTTCCTTAACTACACGAAAAGAAAGGAAAGTCCACACTAGGTATGTGAAACAAGTCTGGGTGTGTGTGTGGGTGTGTGTGTCCGGACAAATTTTGTCAGCGCGATAACTTGAGAAATAATCAACATATGAACTTCAAATTTGGTTTGTGGATTGTCCTTGGTAATCCTAAGAAGCCTTTTGCATTTGGGGCCGAAAGGTCAAGGGTCAAGGTCATAGTGGCTGAAACAATAGAAATTTTGTCAGCACGATAACTTGAGAAATACTCAACATATGAACTTCAAATTTGGTTTGTGGATTGTCCTTGGTAATCCTAAGAAGCCTTTGCATTTGGAGCCGAAAGGTCAAGGGTCAAGGTCACAGTGGCTGAAACAATAGAAATTTTGTCAGCGCGATAACTTGAGAAATACTTAACATATGAACTTCAAATTTGGTTTGTGGATTGTCCTTGGCAATTCTAAGAAGCCTTTTGCATTTGGGGCCAAAAGGTCAAGGGTCAAGGTCACAGTGGCTGAAACAATAGAAATTTTGTCAGCACGATAACTTGAGATATACTTTACATAGGAGCTTCAAATTTGGTTTGTGGATTGTCCTTGGCAATCCTAAGAAGCCTTTTGCATTTGGGGCTAAAAGGTCAAGGGTCAAGGTCACAGTGGCAAAAACAAAAGAAATTTTGTCAGCACGATAACTTGAGAAATACTTAACATATGAACTTCAAATTTGGTTTGTGGATTGTCCTTGGCAATCCTAAGAAGCCTTTTGCATTTGGGGCTAAAAGGTCAAGGGTCAAGGTCACAGTGGCTGAAACAATAGAAATTTTGTCAGCGCGATAACTTGAGAAATACTTAACATATGAACTTCAAATTTGGTTTGTGGATTGTCCTTGGCAATTCTAAGAAGCCTTTTGCATTTGGGGCCAAAAGGTCAAGGGTCAAGGTCACAGTGGCTGAAACAATAGAAATTTTGTCAGCACGATAACTTGAGATATACTTTACATAGGAGCTTCAAATTTGGTTTGTGGATTGTCCTTGGCAATCCTAAGAAGCCTTTTGCATTTGGGGCTAAAAGGTCAAGGGTCAAGGTCACAGTGGCAAAAACAAAAGAAATTTTGTCAGCGTGATAACTTGAGATATACTTTACATATGAACTTCAAATTTGGTTTGTGGATTGTCCTTGGCAATCCTAAGGAGCCTATCGCATTGGGGGTCGAAAGGTCAAGGGTCAAGGTCACAGTGGCTAAAACAATAGAAATCTTGTATTTATTCTGAGATCATAGGGATTAGGGATTAATTCATATAAAACCTACAGAAGACACTTATGCTGTCAATGAACATTCCATTTGACCAAGGTACTTGTAAGTTGATGTTAGAGTGGTGTTATGTCATGGAAACAGTCACGGTTGCGGGGCATTTGTGTTTGTAAACACACCTGACTTGTTTAAATTAGTTTTGAATCAGGTCTTTATCACTCATTACAAAAAAAGTTACAATTTTTTCCCATAGACCTTCGCACTGTCCAGGCGCGGCGAGAAAACACCGCGATGCGGCCAGACAATACCACAGGGCCAGCGGGCAAAGTATAGTTCCGATCCCACTCCACGCAACACGGAATAATGCGTGCACATGACTGTTATCACTGTTATTACAAAGTGCCAAACAAGTCTGGCAATGGCCGCTCCCGCTCCTCACAACGCAGCAACACGGAGCATGGGTGTACGCGTTATTACTGTTACCACGTAACAGTAATAAACCAATACAATTTCGTGGGATCACATTTTATCGCTTTTAAAAAAGGGTCGGTTGGGTGACCCAAACAAGAGGTATTTTTTTAAATTGTGGCATTGGTTTTAACTCCTCTTGGTTTTTGGTAAGAGAATTTGTGAATGCTGGTGAAAAATTGATGAATAAAGGCCGATCACACTAGGGCGAAAGCCAACGCCAATTTTTGGTGCATATTGAAAGTTGACATTTTAACTTTGGTGAATTTAGATTGCAGCAAATGTCAAGAGGTTTTTTTGGCTTCGCTTCCACGTGAAGGTTGAACCAGTGTAACTGCACAATCATAACAGTCACATCACCTTCCTTCATGTACACGTATAGTGCTGGTGAGGCCCCAAACACGGCTAAATACATGTAGTTGCGGTTTTGCATTTCGGAATTCTGCAGACTGACCGACCGGCTATTCCTATTTAAATAGCCTCTCTGGCACTGAGGCTGGCCCGGCGGGTCTGCAGAAGAACAAGCATTTTCATATCTTGTGTTATTTGAATGAACCGTTCTGGCCCGTGCCAGGACGGGTTGTCAAGGGCTCTTTCATTTGTTCAAAAAGTTTGCAGGATCCTTCAGAAAGAACGAGGCCCGCACGGGTAGTTAGTTTCAGGATGGGGCCTTACTGACTGCTCTGAAATAATAATATGAACAGTGTTTGTAATGTAAGGTTTCCCATAATGAAAACTGAATTATTTCTGTTGATGCAATCTCTGCAGTATGTGAAGGAGGTTCTGTGTTCCACCCAAGCATCCTGGACATCACACCAGAAGATATCCTAGCGAAATTTTTTGAGGTAAGTTTAACCCTAATTTTGCCAGATGCAACACTGTGCATCAGGTGTAAAGGTCTGTGGGATCTTGCTGCATTGAACCATCAACACCAGTGCATGAACGGCCAACTCTGAGACAATGAGAGCCAGTCCCATTCAACAATGTCACAGTTGTATCCTGCTGCAGTTGGTGACCACAGACTCTTTGGTGGTTTGGCCTTGAAATGTTCGACCAGATGGATCTCGCTGCACTGAGTGGGTTTCATTTTGGAATGTATTGCATGTTGCTGAATTTAGCAGGGTTTCTAGCCCAAATCCCCTGGGGTTATGTTAAAGTCTGTGATAATTTAAATATTTTAACATTTAAACTCTAACAAATATTCTTTGATGTTCTCCAATCTTTGAAATGAAACCTCTAATCTTATAAGCGACAATGTATTTCTGTAAATATTATTGTCAAAAACAACCTTTTTACTTCAAAGAAAGTATGGAATCTCAAAAGAAATCATCAGGGGTTGGTGCTTGGCCATGTATTTTTGGATTTACACTTGAAGAAGGTTCAAAGCAGTTTTTGCTAGAGACATGTCTTGATGACTTTCATACATTACAAATTGTAAACATTCTTTCAGTGTTTTAAAGACCGTTTGCACCGAGAGCCCTGACTGAGGCATAGCTTTCAACTTTTCAAAATTCCAATTAGTAATCAACTCGCGCGGTCATTTTCAACTGCTCGTATATTAACACTATGTACCAGCTTTAGCAACATCGAGTACAGGTACACGGTTAACATGTACACATACATGTGCATACCCTTCTTGTGTTGTGATTAATAATGTACTGTAGGCCATAGGATAATTTTTAAAATAAAAAAAAAATTAAAAAAAATAAATAATTTTTTTTTAAATTAATTTTGTTTTACTCGATGTATTTGTTTGTTCAAGTCTAATAAATAATAATAATAACATGTGTGCATATTTTTTTGAGATGCATGCTATCAATGTTGAGTTCATGTTTTTACACACAATGATTTAGGGCCACCGTATGCAATAGAAATATCCCGCCAACATACCATGCAAACGCATGCTGATTTTTCCTTTCTGGACGTTGTGATAAACTCAAACTCTATTACCAATTCTTCCAACCATACTCTTATTAAATTCCATGATTAAAATCTTGCACTGATGGGTCTCATCCCGGCAATAAGCGACCAATGGTGCTCATGATCGTCACTGAAAAGTAGTCACAGTACACACAACCACACATCCACGAGGTGCACACAAATGACACACCATTGAAACATATTTTTAGTCTGGTCCTCAAGTACTCCACTGTGCACACCGCATTGATGTCTATCAGGTGCTTGACCACATCGCTTATTAGACTTGTCACCAGTCCATCCATTATCGCAACATTTCGCCAGAAGTTTTCGGGCAAAAACGATACTTTTTTAGGTAGAAAATGGGAAATTCGTAATTTTTTAGTGGCAATTCGTATTTTCGTAATTTAACAAACAATTTGTAATAATTACGAAAAATTTGTAATAGTTGGCAGCTATGCTGAGGACAGGTTTTGTTATTCAGTTAAGAATGAAGTGTCTACACACGCTCACCTCATAGAAACAAAGACCTGTTCACAGAGAGTGCGCTCTTTGCAAGGGCTGTATTTACTGCAGAGTGAAAGCCACAGAAACTTGCATCTACTGTTGCAAACCCCAACATGCTAGCTCACCAATAAACTGATGTTTGCCGACAGTCCAACATATTTATCATTTGTTATTATCCTGTCACAATCACTAATCCACCTTATTTGAAAATAAAATATTAACTAAAATCTATACCCTGGCAGGTTATGACTTCAAATAACTGGAAAGACTAGTTCATACATAAAGTGGAAAGTGTGATTCGAGTTTTGATTTATCACAGACTTAACAAATAAAAAGAATTTAAGAAATGGGACAAGTTGATGCTGATTTTTATTTTTCCGTTTTCGCACTCACTTTTATCAGTGATTTTAATGGGTCCCCCCCCCCGCCCAAAATAACCTACAATATACAGGTATGAAAAAAATTGGCTTTATCAACTGAGTGAAATAATTGACCAACTTTGCTCAACCCTACAGGGAGTTCGTCGTGTAGCTAGTGTGTGTCTTCAGATTGGCTATCCAACCCAGGCTAGTGTACCACACTCCATCATTAATGGATTCAAACGACTCCTGGCCATTGCATGTGCAACTGAGATTGAATTCAAGGAAGCAGAACAGGTCAGTTTATCTCTTTGATGTGTTTAAATGACTTACGTGATTGATGATGATGACTCTCATGACGTTGCGAGTCTGTTGCTAGATGGTGTCAGTGCCAGCAATGGCAGAACCCACTGACATCAGTACCAGACTAAGAGCAATATTGGCCTGCACAGGCTGTCTGAATCAGTCTCCATTTATATTTTACAACTGTTAAAATCTTACATAAATGCATGAAGATGAATTTCAAATAATAAATAAAACAGAGGTTCTCAGTGTGAAGTCATTGTATGACATTGGGACCTTTCTTGTGCCAGGCATGCAACTTTTCCTCGGATCAGCAGATTTCCTCATTTTCCACTTAACACTGATGCCATTAAAATTTGAAAAACACTGTAAAGTCTTGTAAGGCTTGGAATTTCTTCCTTTTTGGGGGGTAACTTCCTATTTGCATGCCTGTTGTTTAATCCTGATCACAAGAGGACTGGGGCACTCGGTACAAATGCTCATTTGAAATTCCTCTATTGACTCGTCTCTTTATCGGCAAAGAGTAATGTCATTATTGCCTATTTTAAAATTTTGAAAAAATATTCAGCCTTGCACTCTCAAACAGAGAATACAATTGACTGGAAATTAAAGATATATTAGAATATTTGTATAAAGGCTCAATATGAGGGTTGTGAAATGGCACTTTTCGTGCAGAATTTATTTAACATTTGGTGCGTTCGTTCAGCTCACCCGGGTCGCCTCTGGTTAGCCTCGTGTCGTTCCACTAGCTCTGACGTCATTCCTGGGGCTCACCTGGGTCAGCCACCACAGACCCTGCTCGTGGAGCAGTCAGTGGTGGAAATACGTCACACGCATACATTGTTCATTCTAAGAAACGGACAAATATGGTGGTCGGACAGCAGAACAGATCAAGTGGAAACCAAATATCAACTTTATTTGAAGTAAACATAATTAGTTATTTATCTCAATGCAACTTAAGAGGCTATATTCCAGCCCGACAATGTTCCTTTTTTGCGATTGATGGAAATGCAGTAGATCTCAAAAGTAAGGCCCATTTCTAAAAGCATGTTTTGTCAATGGCTACGGCTCAGCTACGGATGTCACGTGAGAATCATGATGGCCAACATTTGAGCATTCGATTAGCCCAGCTCTCTTGGCTAACCCATCTGCCTTTACCTGAGTTGATGCGGGTGAGCTACTCGAATGTACCCATTGTAGTTGACTATGAGAACTCCCAAAATATACTTTTACTGTTAGAAGATATTGCTAAATTGACAAATTGAGTCATTTCTGTTGCATTATTTGATTGTCTACATATAGATGAAGGCATTCTTAGCTGATCCCTCAGCCTTTGCTGTAGCAGCCCCAGTAGCTGCAGAAGGTAAAGATGACAAAGCAGAAGAGAAGGCAGCGGAACCAGAGGAAGAGGAGGAATCGGATGATGATATGGGATTCGGTCTCTTTGATTAGACCAGTACCAGTGTCATTCTCTAACTCGTTACAAATACTGGTTTGTCAGATTAAAACAAATTATTTAAGTCTTTTTTATGCAGGCCAAAATCAAATCATACATAATTTCTGACAGGTTTACATAACAAGAACAAATATGACAAGCAAAAACATGTTACCTTGTTTGTCCTTTGAAAAAAAAAATGTGCATTGTTTTCTTATAGTAAGTAAAGAATTAAGACTCCATTGAGAATCCATTTCCTGTCATTTCTGCAATTTTTTGTTTCATTTGGAGCAGTAAATATTCCATAATGCAAGGAAAATTAAGGTTGGCAGCAAGTAACATGGTGAAACATTGTTGCCACACTATTTGAAGGAACAATTTATGGTTTGAAATGTTTTTCTTTGCAACTGACCAAGCATCTGTATGTGTTAGGGAGCCCAATCCAGTGTGAAATAAACCACACCTGAAGAATTCTGAACTCTCACTTACTCTGATTTTGATGTTTATTATGAACTCGTAATATGTGTGGTCGCCTGCAAAATGCTGCGCTGCACTGCAAAGTGCATCGATGATCGCCTCCCCCGCGTATCCTCGTCAATAATCTTACAAAAGTTGTCATAATGTTTGGGTCATATGTATAAAATAACAGCGTTGCTGTTGAAACCCCTCAGCCAGAGTCAAGTTATCATCTGGAAACCATTAATCTTTAACTCAACATGGTGACTTTGACCCCAGAACCAATCCCAACATGCCTGTACCAATGGGCAATCCCCTACCAAAGTTAGACACCAAAATCTCATTTCTAACAAGTTATCCGGAAACCATTTACCTTTAACTCACCTTGACCTTTGAACTTTTGACCTCAAAACCAATCCCGATTTGCCTACTCCTAAGGGCAAACCCCTACCGAAGTAACAATCCCAAACAACATTTCTAACTCAAGTTATCCGGAAACTAAGCTGCCCGGGCGGACGGACATACGGACGGACGCCGTAGGCGATGGCAATACCCCTCCAGTATGAAGCCCGGGAAGGGACAGAGTGGAATTTTTTTTTGGCATTTGCTAATTCGTTCGCACGAATTACTAATTCGTGCGAACGAATTAACAAACTCCAGTAATTCGTTCGCACGAATTACTAATTCGTTCCCACGAAGTACTAATTCGTTCCCACGAATTACGAATAGGAATTCGTGCGAACGAATTACTAATTCGTTCGAACGAATTACTAATTCGTTCCCACGAATTACGAATTAGTAATTCGTGCGAACGAATTAGGAATTCGTGCGAACGAAATAGCAATTCGTGGGAACGAAATAGAAATTCGTGCGAACGAAATAGAAATTCGTGCGAACGAATTAGCAAATGCCAAAAAAAAATCCACCCTGTCCCTTCCCGGGCTTCATACTCCAGCCTCTCGGCTGAGGGGTAAAAAACTAGCAAGTGCTAGGAAGTTTAAGCAAAAAGTAAAAGCATTTACTTTGGAGTACAAGCATTAAGGAAAAGCAAATGCTTCATTTTGTATGAATAAAAGTTTTCCTTTTAACCCTAAAAGGGCTGGGGTGGGTGGGGGGGGGGGGGGGGGGCTGAATCCCCCTCAACTTTTTTCGCGATAGCGTTAAAAGACAAATTCGCGACCCAAGCTGTTATGACTTAATAGCCTTGAGCCTTGCACATCTTTTTATACAAAAAACATAAAAATCGGACTACGGGTTGCCGCAAATGCTTCATTTCGTATGAATAAGAGTTTTCCTTTTAACCCTAAAAGGGTTGGGGTGGAATCTGCCCCCCCCCCTTCAACTGTTTTTGCGATAGCGTTAAAAAATTGTTTTTTGCGACCCGAACTATTATGACCTTTTAGCCTCGAGCCTTATATTATTACGCATCTTTTGATAAAAATCGGACCACGGGTTGTCGCGCAGCGAACAATTTTCCGGCGCTACACGCCGTGAAAACTGAATTTTCCCATATACGTCGTGTACACAGAACAGCATTACCATTCGTACATATGAATAATTAATTAGCCATAATTCCAAAACCGTTTGACCTATAGTCGTGAAATTTCTTGGGTATGTTCATGATGAGTTGCTCTATGCATGTACATGTACCGAGTTCCAAAATTGTTCGTCACTCGATGGCCGAGATCTTGGGGGGGGGGGGGCGGAATCCCCCCGGCTGAGTGGTCAAAATAACTCGGCCCTTTTAGGGTTAATACTTGGGGTTAATACTGTTTAGCATTTACTAGAAAACAGGTAGCAAATGCTTCAAACAGTTGGATTGTTTTCATGGACGAATGATTGCCCACAATACGGTTTCTTTTGTGTGTACGAACTGCCCCCCCCCCCCCCCCACACACACACACCCCCACACACGTGTGTAAATGCCGGCAATCGTGGACGCCCCATTGTACCTAAACCTCTTTCCTTTGTATGTACTCTAACTTTTTAGCGACAGCTCTCATTGGTTTTGTACACGATTTGAGATCGTGGACGTTCGGTCAATTGTGGTCGTATTGTTTGCGCCCCAATTCTTTTGTCCTACGTCCACGATTGCCGATGTTTACGTTAAGGAGAATACACGAGAAAGTGTGGATTCGTAATTTAAGAATTCACGAGGCGCGAAGCGCCGAGTGAATTCGTAAATTAAGAATCCACACTTGCGAGTGTATTCTTCGACTTAAACCATTGTGTCAACAGAAGTATTGGAAAGAATGCTGCAACCTGACGCCACTTTTTTCGTCATATATTATTTAATTGAAGGCCATTCGTTGCAAAAATGATGATAACACATGAATCTGGGACTGACAAATGTTTCCAAAATTGTTAGGAAATACTTAAAATGACTCTCCATAGACGTTGTACACAGCGCGGAAGTGGCGTCAGGTTGCAACATTGGTTCCCGGCGTGTTTCGTATCGACACACCCGTACAAGTCATTTTGTGTGTATATGCTCCTTACGACAAAATGGATATTTCTTTCTAACTTAAAGTAGATTTTAAAGTCACGGCGGAAAATCTGACAGTGAAGATGCATTGGAAATTTTCGGAAAACAAATTTCACGCAGACGGTCCTATTCATGCTCATTATGGAGAACACTGATTGTCCGACGTGTTCAAAGTGTGGATTCGTAATTCCGAATCCACACTTTACTAAAGATTCTTCGTTCCGAATCCCCACTTTGTGACCAGTGTAAGAGATTCGTAGATCCGAATCCACACTTTGAACAATAGTGTGACATCATAGCAATGGTTTAAATACTCACACACACCCAAGTTTACGTTACATATAAAGTGTGGACTTTCCATTGCTTTCGTGTAGTTAAGAAAAACCAGTGAAAAAACTCATTTTTCTCAAATTTGGAAAACTCTTTCAACCCAATTTTTTTTCTATGATTCCCTTCAGTGTTTCTCTTCATTCTGCTACAGATAAACCTAACCCAAAAATGCCTCTAAACCTGTTTTCCAGAAATGGGGAAACACTGTGTGGACTTGCCCACTTGACAAGATTTTTGATTGTCTAATGCCGATCTGCACGATCTTTCAATTTCAATCTAAATCGAATGAGCCAGGCGTTAAATTGAATGAAAACTTGTTGAAATTGGCCGGGAAAACCTATATTAAAAAAATAATAGTTTGCAAAGATTGGTGACCAATACACTGAACAAATGATTTCATTTTGTTCAGTCCCCAGGGTGCCGTTGGATAAAATTTATTCTTAATCATTCTCTGCGGAACTTAATTTTACGCCAACACTTCTCGTGTCGTGAACATACTGCGAAATTATAATTTCTTCTGGTTAAGAAATAAATAATAAAAACGCATAAATGTTATTCACAATACAGTGTATGGTATTATATATAGTTTATTAACGTGTTGTGTTTATTTGGGGCCGATTCATATGAATAAATGCAGCAGTTTTAAGGCAAAAGTATTTGCTTTTTTTTTTCAAGGTTGCCCAAACCCAACCTTGAAAAATGACCAGTAAATGCTTGAAATCTGAAGCATTTACTCCTTTTTATTCATACGAAATGAAGTAAACACTTCTAGTCTTGCACAAGCTTACAAGTAAAAAGTAAATACTTGTAGCTTTCAGCAAATGCTTTCCAGTAAAAAAGCATTTGCTTCATTTTTATTCATACAAATGCAAGCAAATGCTTGAAAATAGGTAGTAAAAGCAAATGCTTGTGTTTATACATAGGACCCAATGGCACCCAGAACAGAGGGGAATACTGCAGAAAACTGGATGCCAGTGTTGCATATCTAAGTGAATCAGCGTGTTAAACAGAGTTGCTATTACTGCTCAGGCACGTAATTGAGCTAGATGGAGAACTGTCTAAGAGGTATGGGGGGGGGGGGGATATATCCCCCCCCCAACTCTCAGACAAGTGGGGTTGGGCCATTGGATCATCCCCTCCAGATTTTTGTGGTGAGAAACAAAACATGCCGTTATCGTGCGACTTTCCAATGGTCCAAATATATGAAATAGTTGGAGAAAGGAGAACAAACAATACAAAAGATTCAGTGCCATGTTTTAAGTTAAGGCTAAGAGAGTAAGCGCGCAAGTTTCCATTACATGTACATTTGTATCATGAACAGCGCCCCCTAGTGTCACCATTCCACGGCCATGCAATTCTAGGGGTGAAAATGTATTGCGTTTGTTGAGTTTTGTGGGTTGTGTACTCTATGACTGCTTTTTTGCGACATTACTTTCGGGGGGGGGGGGGGGGGGGGGGCGCCATGGCCCCTCCCCCTGGATCTGTCATTTGACTGACATCCCTATAATCACTGTGGTAGCAGTTTACACAAAGCATACTTGGAAAATACATAATAGTTGCAACAAAACATGGAAAATAAAATGTGTTACAATATGCTAATTTAATGGGAAACTAGCTAATGTCGCATTTTGCTAAATTGGTGTCGGATAACTTGCCAACGAAATAAACGTTCTCGCCTCATTAATGAAATGAGAGGGGTCACTATTAGCAAAAGTTTACAGTTTAAGTTGAATATTGATATAAGAAATTCTGGCTCAAGACCTACCATACTTCCATACATTCAACAGAAAAAGTCACACAGTTAATTACGTACAGTTTTAATATTAATGGCTTGATTAATTTGGGACATTTGTATGAACAAGCATTCATGTGACAACGAACCTCAGAATATGATGACTCCAGGGTGCCAGTTTGATAGCTACCAATCATTGATTGCACATTTCTGAATAACTCCAAAATGCTCAGCTATACTATTTGGTAAACATTTGACATGTTGGAGGAATTTTTCAATTTTTTTTCACACCACCATCAATATCTACAAATTCCAGGTTTGGATATATCAAAATTTGGATTAACAAAGTGTTCTGTACAGCACCCGATTTCATGAAACTCATCATAACTTACAATGCATCGCAGCCCTGTGGCGCGTCCCTACAATCCGTTGCAGCTGTGATGCGTCTTGCGATTCATTTCACAAAACACGCAAGGGCGATGTGTGGTACAGGCATGCAACTTTCCTCGGATCTGCTAATTTCCTCATTTTAATTCTCATGAATGCCATTACAAATTGAAAAACACTGTACAAAGTCTTGTGTGGTTTGGAATTTCCTCGTTTTTTCTAAATTCCCAGTTGCATGCCTGGTGGTAGGTGTATTTATTGCACAACATGGTGACTTTGATGCATTTTCCATTTACAACTTTACACAATGTCTCGGTATTATAGTCCCATTTATGTAAGTTGTATTGTATAAAATTGAAAAGGACGCTTCTTATTTTGCGATAACCACTGGACATGTCGTAACTTGCGGCGTGTTTTAAGCCATTGTCAATGAACTTACGATGCCTTTAACACATCGTAAGTTTTGTGAAGTGAATCATACGACGCATTGCAAGTTGCGACGCATCTCAGCGCTTCGTGAAATTGGGTGCTGGTGGATTTAAGTGAAAATCAATGCATAGAAATACATCATTTGAATTGGAGACAAAGTACTGACATGTTGAGGGATTGTCCAAATAAAAGAAATAAAGAAATATGACGCATGATAAGCATGATAACTTCAGAGGGAACTGCTTAAAAACATTAACTTTTCCAAGGGCTTCATGCATTAAGATAAAGTTAGAATGCAATGAGTTTGTATATTGCTGGGATAGGCATCATTAAACCTTTTGAGTCATCGACAACCCACAAGGTCTATAGAAATTGGCAAGGTCCCACAAACTTTACCAGATCTTGGCACTGAAATATGATTGAGAATAGAAGAATGTTTCTGCTCACTTTTATCTTTTTGTTTGCATAACTTTGCTGCCAAAGCAGAACATGGAACTGAACCGAGATTGTCGTAACATTATGCGTACCATTATTCATTCTGGTTCTTGAAACTAACAGCTGATTCAGAATAGTGTTCCAGAGTTGCATTAAACAAGTAATAAGAGTGACTCTGGTTGACAACAATATGTGATGTTTTCAGACAGGCAAACCACTTGTATATCAAATTATCCTTTGACTTGTCTCTGGAGTTGTTCGCACAAACAGTACTGCAACAATTAATCCTTTGGTGCATTGTTCATGTAGTGGCTAACTGTTTGAGGCAAGTCATGAATACCAGTCTGACATGGGCGTGAAGTACTTTGTGATTGACAACTACTTGATATACGGCTCTCCACTCAATGTTTGTATTATTACACATGCCAAACACAACTCTTTCAAAAATCTTCATTCCCGATTAAAAGAGAACAGGGATACTTACGAGTACACATCCTTAACAGTGTTGTATGATGTACCTACTTATTCTTAATACATTCTCCTGTGGACCAATAAACTTGACTATGAAGTGCCACAATGCTTGCAATCCATGTTTTTCATAATATATGTCTTTTCACTTCTAAACTGCAATTTGAAATGTTGGCTATTTTAATGTAGTGTTGTAAAGGTGTGAGGAACTGTTCTAATGTGTCGTTTCGGTTTTGCGGTAACACCATGTGGTAATAACTACTGCTTAGAAGATATTAGTTCTGAGAAGAACTTGTCCTGCTTATTATCAACTTGCTAAGTAGTTTTTGTTCTGTTTAGAACAGTATTGAAAAATGATCAAAGTAAGAGTTGTTCTAATGTGGATCTTAAAACAAAATGAACACAGTCATATGACCTTCAGTCAACTGACTGTGGTTCGGATTTCAATTATTGATATAACAAAACAATAGCAATGTTTACTGAACAAACATTTGAAATTTGACTCTTACTTTGATCATTTTTCAATACTGGATTTAATCATCCATTCAAAGTTGTGTATTGATGTTGCAAGTCTCACTGAAATAAGTGAGGGGCTTAGGCATTAATGAGACATTGCAAAGAAAGGTGTTCCTTTGATACAGATCTCATGTTTGCTTGAATGTTTATCAAATAACTATGCAAGTGGTATTCTTGGCTTGCTCATATCACTATTAAGCTCTAGCAGAAATGACATACATGTAATGGGCACAATCTTCAATTTTATACAATTTTTATTCTTCGGAAAACTTAGGAAAACATATACTACAGTTGTTGAAGGAGATGTGGAAGCAAGCACCGCAAGCTGAGAAATGTTGAAAGCTATTCAGGTAGTGTCCATGAGGGCATCTGTGCTGGTCAGGGTACTGTCCTTCTGAATGCTATCAAACATGGTACACATCTCAGGATTACAGCGAATCTGAGCAACAAACTCCGTCAGTTGAGGATTCTTGTCTGCAATTGAACATCAAGATTGTTTAAGTACACGTAGAATATGCTAACAGCTATCAGTGGTCATATCAAAACATTCTGCCTCACATACACATTTCAAAAATGCTGAAGCAACAGTTAATCAATCAAATGGTCACATTTAACAAGAATTGTTTTGTTACATCGTGTCTATGATACTGTAATTCATTGGTCTAGAACAGCCACTTGTCCAATCTATATAGTAACCGTTTACTTCATATACACTGCGTTGCATATAAATTACTTCATACATTTATTCACTGTGTTATGTATACATTACAATAGTCTAGGGCTAGACATTGTTATTGTTTGATACGCGATAACCCGCCCCTGCGAGAGGACATTATCACCACCAACCAATATCACCCATGAACCCGTCAGGAACAACGTCTAGGCCATTTCTTATCAGTTGTGTAATGCCCATGCACCTGTTTGGCCTAATACATGCAGCGCGCATTCAAAACAGTTCATTGTAGTTCCTAACCAAACTCTTGAATCTTCCAGTAGTATACAAGATGCAGCAAGACTTTTGTGAAACTTCACTGGTCAGCTCTTTTGTGGTGTGTAGTGTGCATGCACACTAGTTTCCCCCATTTTTTTTTGGGGGGGGGATTTTACAAATTTTCCTAGACATTGTTCCGACAGATTCATGGATGATATTGGTTGATTGTAGTAACGCCCTCTCGTGGCGGTGGGCTATCATGGCGGCTGGTTATTGCATATCAAACCATAACAAGGTCTAGCCCCTACACTAACATTACTACAGCATTGCGCTAGGGCTGGCTAGCGCACCTTGCGACAGAGAACTGCAATCTCTCAATCTCATGTCTGGCAGAAGCTCACATTTATCAAAAGGTTACAGTGATTTAATCTATTTCTTGCATAGTAAGTTACCACTACAGTAGACTCTCCTTAGTACAAACTCTGTTAATACAAAATTCTGGTTATAACAAACATAAAGCCTTAGTCCTGACTGTGCATTTATATGCACAATGAATGGGACTGATGTTCCTCTTAATACAAAATTCTGATACAACAAACAATTTGGCTAGGTCCGAACGAGTTTGTTATAACGAGACTCGACTGTGTATTTAAAGTCGACCCTCGTCAGTATGAAATCTGTGGGACCTGGTCAAAATGTTGGCTTGCACAATATTTCACCCACAATCATGTGCATACGGTATAATGTAGTGACAAGGTGGTCGGTTTCTGCCCAGAGAGTGTTTTTTATTTTTTTATTTTAAGGAATGTGATGGGAAAGGCCAATATCTTCCTATCGGTGCATGTTTTGAAGGTCATGTTTGGATTATGAATTCAATATTCTTTTTTTTGTGTGGTAGGGGATAATATGAAGGTAAGACAATTTTGGGAGTTCATGTTTATTTGGATTCGGTTCGATCAAATTACAAAGAGGGGATATCAACATAACTTTGAGACTTTTTTTAATAATAATGTGGGAAATCGTTTTGGGTAATAAATTGTTGGTGGAAAATTGTTTTCTGGTGTGTGCCATGAAGTTTTAATTTGTTTTCATTCTTTATTTTTATTTGTGAATGCCCCAATCTCTTTTTTGAACTTGTGGTAGCTCTGAAAAAAAAATTTCCTTCATGTTCAGGCAGTTAATGAAAGTTAATTAAAGTCAAAATCATGATGGGCTTTGATGAGGAATATTCTGTAATTATGTTGCCACGGAATAGAAGGTAAAGTACGTGTAGGCCAATATGGACACCATGTTGGAAAGTCGTATTTCTTAAGCCAAAAATTGCTACTACGTACATGGCTGCTATACAGAACTATCATTTGTGGACCCAATGGTATTTATCATATTTACACTCTTATTTCCTCACTACACTATGCACACTCCATTTAAACCAACTGCACGTAAATGTGTTAAGATGCAGATGAACTTCAAATGGTTCCAAACATCCAAAATCATTGAATTGGTGAAATAGAAACTGGGAGAAATGGATACATGTAAATACATCAACAAACAATAAACGTAGAAGCGTTAATAGTAAGGTGAACTTACCACTATCTGGGATACTGAGCAGTGATGCTACAGCTCTCATTGCTGATCGCTTCAATTCATCTTGTTTCTCAAACTCCTGCTTGACTGAGTTTGCCTTGACCTTGGTTGTACATGTATTCCTTAATGGTTCAATCAGTCTGTCAAGACCTATGTGCCAATACAAATTCATGCAATAAAAATAGCTTGTACGGCAGCAAAATATCATAACTAAATAAATATATCGTCAGGCCCCCTAAAGCCACGCGGTCTTTTTTCTACGCGCTCACCTTCAATTTGTGTGTGACAACACGCGCGCGTATGCAAGCGTTACCTGCGCAGATAATGGAGGGTTGAGGATATATCAAAACAAAAAGAACATATTGATTTTCACACAAAAAATATTGAAACTGAGTTGATGAAAAGAAACAAATCCATCAAAATCTATTCATAAATCCAGGACCTTGAAAACATCTTTAACACAATCTGTCACAAAATATGCTGTAAAATTCGAGTTCTTGAAGTAAAAAAAAGATCTAAAACAAACAAACAAACAAACACCCCAACAAACAAACAAACAAAAAATGAACCATAACATTTTCTGATACATAACATATTTTGCCTAAATCCATAATTAATACATTCTCCAACAAGTTTATTAGTTATTTTGCAATAAATTGAAGACAGAAAGTAGTAAATGGTACATGTTGGTACTTACGTTGCAGTATTGCTGGAGGACATAATGTTGACAATCTCACTAACATCAAGTACGTCAGCATCTATAATATATGAAGTCACAAAAATGTTCATCCCAAAGAAGCAATTCCTGACCTGAACAGTTTAACTAATAATTTATTATTGGACTTTTAGTTGAAGATTTTTTTTTCTCTAAAAGTCCAAAAGAGAGAAATGTGTGCTAATCTGATATATTTGAATGCTTTGTTGGAATATTGTTTTTACCTTTAACTGCCATAAAACTACCCAATAGTCAGTAAAACATTACAAATTATGTCTATAATCAACTACAAAGATTTTGTTTTGTTGTCTTCTGTCTTATGAATACTTCCAATGTGCAAACCTTATCTTATTAGCTTTTTTTTTTAATTTTACAGTAAAAACTTATTGAGAAAGTCGAAAAAAAAGTCTGAAAGACAAAGGCACCATTTATGTGCTTCAATCATGTCCATGACTCTACCATGATTCTACTAACGTATGTGGGAAAAATCAGGCATAATTATCGCCTCTTTCTTCCAACATTCCATTTTGTACAACTAAATCTGAATCTTCCGAAAGTCGCACAAAATGTTGGATTTAACAATGGGATTGTTCATGTAGCCGTACCTGGCCAGCCATGTGCTATAAGCCGCGGCCAGCCGGTGCGGTTTATGTACAGTGCACCATTGCATATCATCGTGTGCTGTGCACGCACGAACCCCCCTATATTAGGCCCCAAAAAAGTCTCCAGTTTCTGGTATGGAGTTTGCCCCAAAAGTGGTGCGGCGACGCCGCTTTTTTTTTTTTTTACTTTTTTTTTCTTCAAATGTTGGCTGATGACTGCAAATGGTGCCAGACTAAATTTTGTGCAAAATATATGGGAGTCCAGAGAGGCCACATAAAGCTTATACTCAATCGTAACCCCATCTAAAAACACATTAAAATTGTGCAGCAGCAGGACTCCAGTCAAACCAGTGAGTTTGGCAGTTTTGAGACAGTATCTTACATTGAAAAAAAAAACTGTTTTCATTTTGCCGACGCGCATGGCCACGGGGACACGGGCGTATACCAGAAACCGGAGACTTATTTTTTTGCCTTACTGTGTGACGCAGAAAATCATGTGCACAGGTCAATGTTTAACTTTTTATCCAGCCGGAAAAGTGATAATTTTTACATGCCGTTTTCATCGACTTTACTTCAAAATTATTATTTAAATAAAACAATATACAGTGGAAAATTGTTAAAAAATCAAAATCTGTACGACAAATCATTAAAAAAAAGGAAAATTTCGTTGGAAAAGTAAAAAGTATGTTTCCAATTAAAATCGGAAAAGTTTCGTCTCTGAAGAGTGATGAATTATCTACTAACCTTGACATCATAATGATCCTTCAGACCATCTTCTAGGTGATTGAGGAACTCAAAGATGTCCAGTCTATCCAGACAGGAATCCAATAGAGTATACATGCACTCAAAGGCAGCCTGCGGAAGCAAACCTCACCACATTAATATCTCACACTTCATCTAAAAAGCATTGCTTAGTTCGGAGAAGTTGCACCTAACACGTTTGTTTTGTGCAATAAAACATGCTAGCTTAGAAACATTGAAAGAGTAAACATTCGCTCTGCACAAAAGTCAAGTAACTTTTGTACAGTGATTTGAGACTTGCTCTCAAAGACTTGAATATGAATAAAGACTGACCTAGGACTCAAATAGAGACTTGCTCTCACAAACTTGCAACTTGAATTATGACCCCACACCAAAGAATTGCTCACAATTCTGGTGGTCACAGTCACGTTTCATGTAACTTTGGTCTACATGAATGTTGCTTTTAAGGAGAGGTGTCCGCATGCACACATAGCTGCCAACTTTTCAAAATCCCAATTAGTAATCAACCCGCGCGGTCATTTTCATCTGCTCGTTTTATCAAAAGTTTTACCAACATTGAGTACAGGTACATGGTTTACATATACACATACATGTGCATACCCTTCTTGTTGTGAATAATTATGTACTGTAGGCCAAAAGATAATTAAAAAAAAAAAAAAAAAAAGATTTTTTTTTTTTAAAATTAATTTTGTTTTAATGTCTGTATTCGTTTGTTGAAGCCAAATAAATAATAACAATAATAACGTGCACATATTTTTTTTGAGATGCATGCTATCGATGTGGAGTTTCGAGTTCGTATCAATGTTTTTATGAATGATTTAGGGCCACCGTATGCAATAGAAATATCCCGCCAACATACCTTGCAAACGCATGCTGATTTATCTTTTCTGGACGTTGTGACAAACTCAAACTCTATTATCAATTATTCCAACCATACTCTTATTAAATTCCATGATTAAAATCTTGCACTGATGGGTCTCATCCCGGCAATAAGCGACCAAATGTGCTCACGATCATCACTGAAAAGTACTCACATACAGTACACAACCAGACATCCACGAGATGCACACAAATGACACACCATTGAAAAATACTTTTAGTCTGGTCCTCAAGTACTCCACTGCGCACACTGCATTGATGTCTATCAGGTGCTTGACTGCATTCTTATTAGACTTGTCACCAGTCCATCCATTAACGCGACATTTCACCAGAAGTTTTCGGTCAAAAACGATACTTTACAAGTATTTTTTTTCTCGTTAGGTAGAAAATGGGAAATTCGTAATGTTTTAGTGGCAAATCGTATTTTCGTAATTTAACAAACAATTCGTAATAATTACGAAAAATTAGTAACAGTTGGCAGCTATGTGCACAGCACACACCATAGAAAAGGTCCCCGACACAGAGTAAAAGAGTATCAACAGTGTAAAAATGGCTCAGGCTGTTATCGGTGGCCAGGCCGCTAACTGGTTTGAAACCACACATTTGTAACTGCTCTAGCTATCACACTATTATCACGTTATTTATGTTACATGTTTTTCCCCTGACAAATGAGGTGAATTAAGTATTAAATGAGCTTGCTCACTCAGTAAAAACAATAAACGAATTGGAATGTAAGTATATTTAGCACACAAACATGTACCACACACAGCAGTGAAATCAAGCACACATGTCCATGTACACATGCTTAGAAAATGGCAATGTAAATGACAAGCATTTGACTGGCTACATTCATCATCTGCAGTGGGGATTTACACCACCTGTGCCATATGCTTATTGTCAATGCATCAATTAAAAAAAGTGTCAGATTGCTTTAGTCTTGATCACGGCTAAGCTTTGACTTATGATGGTAGCACTGATATACAATATAAGAAACCAACCTTTCTGATGTCCAAGCCGTCATCAACTGTATGTTTGAAAGGTCCCATTTCCACCTCCCGAATTAGTTCCTTCTGCAATATCAAATTGATAACAGTCTATTAACCAGAGACTAATAGTATGAGAAGCAAAGCTTACAATTCTTTGATTTTTGATCTTACCAAGAAGGTATTTATGAATTGGAAGAGTGTGTTGGATCAGTTAAGGTACATGGTACTTGGTGAATTCCCTCCTGAATACTCCACATGGATGTCTAACAAGGAGGCCGCTTGTTTCAAATCGGTTATAACTGCTCTATCCCACAATTATCCTCTTATTAGCACTGACCTATGAGGAAGAATAAATAAGTTACATTCTAAATAGATAACTAACACCTGGTAAACATTTCTCATTAGACAAAGACAGTCACTCAAAAGAGAGTAAATCTAAACAATTAAAGATAAGTTTTAGAAAGAAAAGTTATTGATATGTTAAACAAATTAATGTTAGGAAAAAATGTTGCAACCTGACGCCACTTCAGCGGTTGTGTGCAAAGTGTATGGAGAGTCAAAAAAAATATTTCCTAAGTATTTCCTAACAAAACTGGAAATGTTTCTCAGTCCCAGATTCATGTCTTATCATTTTTACAATGACTGACGTTCATTGAGATGATATATGAAGAAAAAAGTGGCGTCGGGTAGCAACACTTTTCCTTAATTTTATAATTATTGGTTAAGAAACATTAGCCAAGCCCTTATTACTGTTTTGTAATTGCCCAAAATAGTTCAAGTTTGTAAGTGCTTTCACAAATCAACCCATTATTTTGCAGTGTTTTGCACTTGGGCTTTGTTACAACTGATAATGTAGTAAGTTGTAACCAACGGATAATGTATCACCAACCGATAATGTCACACAAATTGACCGATACTGTATCACTAACCGATAATGTAACAGCCTATTGACAGTCGATTGTTGTTACATAATCGGTCTTAACCGATAATGTAACAAATATTGACCGATAGTGTAGTAACATTTAGTACACTATCGGTCAATTTCTGTTACATTATCGGTTAGTGATACAGTATCGGTCAATTTGTGTGACATTATCGGTTGGTGATACATTATCAGTTGGTTACTACATTATCAGTTGTAACAGGCTTTCATTTCCCTGGAGAATTGCCAGCACTACACAAAACCCTGTTTAGAACAAGTTTGGACTAAAGCTTATAGAGTCTATCACAGCAAGACATATAAGCTGACATACATGTATGATTATTTCGTTATTTGTTAAAATCTGATTTTTGACTTACTCTGACTTTAGTTTCATTGTAGAGATTAGGCAATATCTGATCCAGCAGATCTCGGATTAACGAGGGTTTATTATGTGCTGCAGAATTGAATGTGACCAGGGACACTCGACGGACATTCAGGTCAGGATCTTCCATCGTCCTCAAGAAATCCTGGATACAACCTTTGAGAAGAGGGTCAATAGGCTGACTCTGTGTTGACAAAAAAGGAAAAATAACTGGTAAAGACTTTTCCAAACTTTGAAATACACAGAACTGAAATACACTGAAAAAAACAATAGAGAAAACAGTTAATAACAGAATCATATTTATCAATTATTTTTTAAATGAAACCATCATTAAACTATGTCTTGCTACCAGCAGTGGTTGTTGATATAATTGACTGACAATCTATTACCTTTGATTGTAATGTTCTGAACGTGCACTGTCAAAACTGCAATTATGATTGCTTCAACCCCAATTCCTCTTGAATTAGTCAAATTCACTCAGCCCAACAGACTAAGTGACTCTAAAGTAGCAACCAAACATAAACTACCATCTGAATCTCAAATAGCAGTGACACATGGGCCACAATAGCAAATACATTTGCCAACTAAATCTGCAACAGCACAAGCAATGTCCTTATATTAAGTAAATACAGACAAGTCCAATTTAGGTATTTTTAACAGCAGTTCTTAACAAAACTAATTGCAAACGCTAGGATACTGTTGGCAGGTTGTTCAATCAAACAGTGGACCAATGCTGCTTGTTTTGTGTTGCCTACCTGGTCAGATATAGTGAATTTGACTGCAGTCACTACGGTGCTTCTTGTGAATGCTGACTCAGAGGACAGACACTCCTGCAAATATCAAAATCAATTTTCAAATCATTTTCCTTTCATTACACATTGCAAGCCGACATATCAGCTTGAACATCACAGTACATTGCCTTATTGAGAAACTTAATTCCATACTTGAAGAATTAATACACCACTTCATAAACAACCATTCTTAGACTAGCGTCCATCAATACATCAATATTACTCGATTACTCGATATCATCGTGATATCGATTTTGTTGATATAACTTTTTAATCATATCGGAAAATCAAAAATTCAGTATAAGAAAATGATATCGGCAAAATAAAAGTCTGCCTGACAGAGTGTGGTTGGAGCACTGAAAAACAAAGCTCTGTGTCACCAGAAGACAATGCAGGCACTTTTTTGTTCGTCTTATTTATTTACAAAATAGTTCCCTTAAATTGACAGTAGATTTAAACTCATAATTTCAGTTACAAAATGTAGTTGCAACGTCCAAATACATACATGTTTATCACAATGGCTAATTATAAGCATCTGAACTTCCGAAGGCATTGACATTCTTTCTGGTTGTGTGGACAATTCTTTTAATGAGACGTTACATGACCTGTTATGACGTCACTTATCTATAACACATCGCTGTCCATACCAAGTTCCAACCCAATCGGACTTGTACAATGTACTTCAGAATAGGGCTTCGAAAATGCTCATTTAATGTGACGTCATGTGACACATGATGACGTCACCGTGACACAATCTCGGCGGACCATCTTTAGGTGGTGCTCTAGGTGTCTATCAAGTCTGAAGTCGGGCAGATTTATTAAAAATTTCAAATCCTATGGAGAAGATTTGGTAAAGGACAAGGAAAAACAAGAAGAAGAAAAAGAAAAAAATCTTATTGGCAACAAGAGCTGTTTTGGCGGACTTGAATGAAGTGTTGAGTGCTACATACCTTGAGTTTTGGGAGTAATGTCTGTGGATCAATGAGAGTCAGTTTGCCAAGGCATTCTGCTACTACATTCCTAGTTCCCTCTTCAGAACACTCACAATGGTTAAACAGCATTGTCCTGGGAATTAAAAATAACTCTTAATCATGTCACTTAAGAAAAAAAAAATCCTCCAACATGGATTAGTGGTTTGGGCTATAAAAATCTCTCTTCATGTAACGTTACGATTTAAAAAAAAATGTACAAGTAAAACCTACGTGAACACAATTACATCTTATAATTTTTGGTTTTATGTAACAATCTCAAATTTCAAAATACCTACAGAAGAAACTTTCAGAGATTACTTGGTAGTTGTGCAATTACTTTAATGCAGAGGGTGTATCAAAACAGAAAGGTAATCTGAAATCAATCGGCTCATATGTAAAAGTTAGAAAATTATAAAATGTCAAAGTGGTTTCATCTTAAAGGTTGGTTCATGCGCTTTCAATTGATACCATAATTATACCTTTTCACAGATGACTGAGTGCGCTTAATTGTTAAATAAAGGCTAAAAAAAAACAACTCTTTTTCCTAGTTTACTGAAATATGTGGTGAGTAAAGCTGTCAGAAGAATGCATTGTCGAAGCTGTGGACAGTGCAATAAAATGGGGTAGGCCTATGTTGGAGATGTTGTTGCTTAAAACAGTGCCTTATGTTGTCCACAAATTATTCATCATTGCAAAGATTTTGTTTTTCATCACAAACTATCAATGACATATCAAAAATCTGGAAAACAAAGTTTGTAATGGGCAAATTGGGCAAATGCCCAAGCTAATTAGTTTTGAGACACTTTTGCATTAGGTAGTTATCATTTTAATGAGTACACAAGAAATCTTTGAAATGATTGATTTAATCATGGAACACGACACAGTTGTTTATCACAGGGCCATACCATTGTATAGCTGGAGGGGCGTTTTCATGTATCAAAATCATTGAAAATTTAAAATTTTTGACTTGTTTTGACTTTTGGACCGAAAAGTTTTGATTTGTTTTTTACCAAAAAGGTATTTATGAATTACCCAAGCCGATCAAGCATCCAGACTCCAACTGGTCTTAAACAGAGTGTTTAATACCTCTCAAGCACATATTTTTTCTCTTATTTAAGATGGAACCACTTTGACAGTCCACAATTTCTTAACCTTTACGTATTATTCGATTGATTTTGTATTTCCTTTCTTTTGATACACCCTGTATATACCAGTTTATAATTTCTAGGAAGTTGACATATTGATGTTTGATACAGGGTGAATACAAGCAACCTCTGTATTAACACACAGAGCTTCTCACTTCCACATATGTTTCACTTCATTATATAGAACTAAAACCGATCATTCTCCTTACAACAATGTTGCACAAATATAATAATGTATAATATATGCTTACTTATAAATTCTTATTTCCTAACTTACCAAATGCTGGCCACAAATGGTTTGAGGTGATCCACTGCTGTAGGGCTGCTACTCTGACATGCAATGATCTAATCATGACAGTAGAATAGACATTTATAACAAGCTAGTATCTACCAAATTATGAGTCACAACAAACACATGGCGTTTAAAAGTTTAATTGGATTTTTTCTGCAACTTTCCTTGTGCAACTAAGCTTAGAAGGCAATGAATTTTCAACACTCTTAAGTCATCCATGGAGTGGACTAGTTACACGATCTCCATGACTGCATAGTCCTCATCATAGTCCCTGAACAAACAGTACGATCTCAACCTCTCCCATTTTTATTACTCTCTTTGCTAGAAACATCTGCAACGCTGGCAAATACCACTCAGGAATCACACAGATATGCTGCGGCTTTTATTGCAAATTATCAAATCAAATCACAAAGGGTTCACTTTCACTAAATATTAAGACTACACATTTAGTTGAATTCTGGGCAGTTATGGCTGAATGAAAGACCTCTTTTTGCTGGTAATCAAACAAGCACAGGACTGTCAAATTGTACAACAGAGAACTCTTTACTTTTTCCCAACTATCATTCTCATTATACTCATGAGAGAGTTAATGATATGTTGGACCTCAAAGGTAAGCGGGTAGGAAACATACTGCAAGAACTCCCATTATTGGACAAGGTTGAGATGGTGCTATGCTAGATCACCAGTCCAACAGCAATCACTTTGACCAGCAGATATGTTAAGTTGATTTCAAGTGTAGCAATGCCTACTTCAAAGACAAGCACCTTGTTATTATGTTGTGCCCATAGAGAGACAAGCACCTTGTTATTATGTTGTGCCCATAGAGAGACAAGCACCTTGTTATTATGTTGTGCCCATAGAGAGACAAGCACCTTGTTATTATGTTGTTGTTGTACAACTTTATGTACTAATTGTCCATTGACTGGACTCAAGTTGTTTTGAATGAACAGTCATATTTTCTGTGGTGTTTCTAATTATTCCAGGCATTGGACTTCATTCTGATTAACAACTTAAATGGGATAATAATACAAGTTTGGTATTGGAAGATGTGCTAGTACATAGGCTTAAATAGCAAGTCTTATTGTTCATGGTGAGCAACAATATACAAAGTGGATTTCACATTTAATTTAGTAGCACTCACTATTTTTTTAAACTGCACCTTCAAATGAACCAGAATTCAGAAGCATACAGCCTCAATCCTCAAAAAGCACAGGTTGTTTTGGGAGGATTGAGGTGGTTTGTGGTTAAGCTGTCCCGTTTCAATCTCTGAATAGTGAGTCTTGGCAGGTTGATCTTACCTCTTTCAATGAGTGCAGCAGAAGATACTGTCTCTTGGGTTGATTCTCTATCTCATCCAGAACAAAAGGCAAATACTCAGGCAAATTGCCAACACTAACATTCCCTGATACAAACACCAAAAGAGAGACAAAAGCCATTCATTCTCTTGAATAAATCAAGCAACATATCAATAGTCTCAGGTGAAAAGTCTCTTGTGAATAAAATTTGGGCCAATGCATATTTATTTGCAGAAGTATGATGTTTAAATGAAGTATCTATACAGTATCAGAGAGAAATATTATTGCAGCCAAAACAAAATACTGGACAAATGTTCCAAGACAACACATGCACATGTTGGTAAGCATGAGACCTCAACCTGTACATTCAGATAATAGAAGACACCTCCAGCAGAACAGTGCAACACAAATGGTGCATGGATGGTACTAGAACCTTGGCTACTTGCACGTGCACATTTGTACGTCTTTTATGGCTGTGTGAAACAAGCTGCTTTGTTTTGTCTTGTCTACCCATGATACCCTTTTTTGACAGGCCAGTCATCCCTGATGAGTAGAGAAACCGGTACTAGACAGACACTTCCTTGACACACACATTATTCCTATAATATTAGACTTAAGTCTGTGGCTATTACAAGACAATGCTGTAAGCCTGACCCAGTGCAAATGAAGCTGCTGTCTTGACCTCTTCACTAGGTGCCGAGAAGGAATCCACAATAACCTGTTGCAATTCAGGATGTCCACTCAAATCACTGTATTGGACAAAGTCAATTCATATCAAATCAATCAGTACCAAAAATTGATTCATGTTTATAAACTTTTACAAAATTTGTTCGGACACATGTATGCATTTGGAATTATTGTAAACTAGAAATTCACAAACTTACACATGTCGACCGATTTCTCCCAATGAGTACAAAGCAAAAAGCTGCACAGAGTCTGATGACTTTGGATTCTAAGGCAAAAAGTAAAAGAAAAAAAAATAGGCAATACAAAAGTGTCATGAATTATGTGGACAATACTGAAATTAAAGGCAATTGTTAAAAAATTAATATGACTTTAACTTTAGTTTCGAGAGACTAACTTCTAGAAAATAGAACTGTTCAAGTCAAGCCTCTTCAAGATTTTATGACCAAAATTTTTTTAAATTTTTTTATATATTTTTTACCAATTATTATTTGGACACAAATGTCCAAGCTGCACAAGCTTTCAAAAATTGGTATACAAAATTGTCCCACAAGTTATTCTTATCAGTTCTACCCTCAACATTTTATCTTGGCACCCATATCTGACAACGACAAAACAAAACAACATTAAAAACAGAACAAAAGTGCAACCCTATATTTTTGAAATTCAATCACATCTGATGAATCTGAACATGTATTACAACCTGATACAGCCATGCCATACCTTGACATCATTGACAAACTGATTGACAACAATAGCGCCCTCAGATGCACAGGAGATGGTCAATGCTGCTACACACTTAGCAATAGAGTGAAATGCCTGCAAGTAACAAAGTGCGGTAGTATATAGAGATACTTTATCAGCAAAAACTTAGCTAGAGTCATCTGAACAATTGCACAGTCAGATGCAATACAGTCTTCTAGTCAGATGAGCAGATGATACGATGTCAATGACTGAGATTGTCAAGGTAAACATTCAGTTTGATATTGATAACACACTACAATCTCTACATGGTCTCTCTTAATGCAACATGGGCATTATATCAAGTCTATATTATAAATGGACCACTCTGGATTGGGCCCCTAACAGCACATAGCAACAACAAATACATCTTCCCTACCCTAATGCCACAATGAATGGTCTTGCTCTGTATGGATAGTACAATGCATCTTTGGGGTCAATTGGGAACATGAAATCCCTTGATTTAAATCTTTGGCCAGTCTTATTCCTTCCATCTTGTAGTGCTGTCATCAAAATGACTACCTTAAAACAATAATTTGTGGACCCAAACCCCCCACTTAACTACATTCCATCTCACTGGCACACCACTCAAATGAAAGATCTTGTTGTCCCCTTTGATACCACATTTCAGGTTGCAATGCTTGTAGTTCTGAAGATTTCATCCATTTTCCACCTTTCAGTCATGCCACTTTTGCTTGGAATTTCCCAAACCCATATGAACATTTTTCATTTTCTTCTTAAAATTTTCAACTAAAAACTTATTCAACAAAAGGATAATACTTAAATTAAATTAAATGAAAAATAATAAAAAGGGTTTGTCAAAGACTGTTGTGATAACTTATTGGGCAGTACATGTTGTGTGTACAATTTTGGACACAATAGTCAGAACGGAACAACCTCTAAATATTTCATAAAGAAACAGAAAGTTTTAGCCATTCCAGTACACACATCCATATATGTATTTTTGACAGGTGTTGCAGCTGAGGATTAATTAATTAATAGAAACTTGTTAGAAAACTACATGTGACAGAACACATGTACTCAGAATAAGTAATGTCTTTGACAGGATTTCAAGAAACAAACTCAATTTTGAAATGAGGTAGGTGTTGTAAAATATATGTGTGCACAGCCTTTGTAAACAGTACACCTTTATCATTATTACTGCGCTAGTAAATTTTGTTGGGATTTTTATTTGAACATTCTTGAAATATCCCTTTCGTACATTATAACCTTTCTCACAGACATACTTGATCTTTTCAGTATCCACATATCTCCCAAACGTCATGCAAAAAAGTTTTCCATTATACTTTTTGTGCAAATGTAGACCTGAATAAATGCTTTCAGTGATAAGGTCCCTTAAAAAGTGACAATTCCTCATTATTTAAAAACCTTTTGGTTTTGTGAGACTGTAGCCGTACCTGCTTGTGCACTGCATAGGATGGAGACTGAGTATCGGAGGGACTGTAGATGGGAAGTGATAACATCTGTAACAGATCTTGGAATCCCAAGCCAGGAGTGTTAGTAGCTACCAGTGACTGGAAGAACTCTAACATTGCGTGAAGAGCGCCACCTACAATGTCAATATTGAAACTTAACAGTCAGATGTGAAGGGCACTGACACTGTACTTATTCCAGTCTGTCATTCATCTATTCAGTAATCATTGGGTGTTTAGCTGGCTAATGAGAACAAAGTGAGGTTGGCCAGTTTCCTGTCCCTCAACTTTATGACCAATTACAAAGAACTGTTGCACACTCGGAACATAACAGTGATGTTTTACATATTCATCATTAAGACGCTACTAACATATACTACTACTTCATTTCACACTAGCCACTAATTTTCAAATGGTCAACACTACTGAGTAGAAGGGAAAATACGACCTTGTAGAAGTGGTGACTTGATCAGTGAGAGAATGGCAGGCAAGATGGCATCTCTGGTCTTGGCTGAGCTGGATGGGTGAACTTGACACACAGAGGTCAAGAGGTGAAGGGTCAACTGAGAAATATGGAGGTCACTATCACTGATGAGAGGAGGCAATTCAGTCAAGATTCCATCCACCATTGGCATTGTCAGGGCTGATCCTGGTAAGAATCAAGAATTGGGAACACGTTATGAAAACATTCAAGATACTGGAAGACACAACAATGCTTTGTATAAACTATGATTGATTCAACATTGATTTCACTAAACTCAACAAGGAAATGTGTAATTGATATCCAGCACAACGAATGACACTGGATTTGACCCAAAGAAGGCCTAGCCCAGTCTCTAGGATAGTGGGATTTTGCCAACAAGGACCTTGTGCAGGATGCTATAGTGGAGCCTCCAGCTTTCAACCTTGGCAGGTGACAGTGGACCACCCTAAACAGGATTCACACCCTATATGCACATCATCTCTTCAAGTGGAAGTTCCAGGACAAGTCAGCATGCGATTGCAGCCACCCAGACCAGACCAGACCAGACCAGACCATCCCTCATGTGAATGATTGCATGCTGAGGAAGTTCCCAGGGGGCAACAAGGAAATTCTCCTAATGACAGATCATGCTCCGACCTGCCTCACCAACTTGGACCTGTCTCTTTAGGCTACTACGCAGGTCATATGCAAGAAGAAGAAGTAGTTGAGAGGACTTACCGTAACTTTTGAGCAGGATATCTAAGGCTGTGAGAGTGGACAACTTGAGAGCCCTGTGGTTTTTACGCAAGAATGAAGCAAGGATTGGGACTCCCTTTACCTGCAAGACACAAGAGTTAAGACTAGCAGATATTTTTGACAACATAGAAACTAGTTTAATAGATTCTGGACTCCCTGCAAAATTGTCCCTCCGTTGTTATTGAAGAACATTTCAATGGAAGGTGCATTTCTCACACACAAAGACACTAAGTTTTCTACAGGGTGGTTAAAAAAAAGGACACCCACATTTGACAGCAATTTTCACCTATTTTTAAAAATTATTTTTAACTGTCGATTCGTAGCTATTAAAGTACTGTCATTAAAGCAAATGTGACGAAAAAAATCGTCGCATTTGCACATTTTGTCGTTGAGCTATGCTAATTTGAACATTTCATGTGCGAAACCTGTTTGTCCACGGAGGTATACATGTACTCTCAACACAAAATGCATCAAAAAACGCACTAACAATGAAGCCCACCTTAATATTTGAAAGGGCATGACATTTGATTATGTTATGTAATGTTATGCAACATTGAACTTAAGCCGACAGCTCACTGAGTAGATGATCTTAACACTGACATGAATAATTGGACAGCTTCAATCAAAGTTACCAGGGCAAAACATATTTTGGTGGGAAGGTTTTTAAATCTTTATGAACTACGAAAACGTCCAACTTACATAGAATGACCTGTGGACAAGACTGATTTTGGTGACTTGTATTCAAATCAGCATAATATCACTATTTTTTGCAACTTTTACTAAGTTTTTTTACCATGCATGGTTAATGGCCTATACTTTACTACTATGTGAAAAAACTATTTAAAATAAGTTCATTAAGTAGGTGAAAATTGCTGTCAATAGTGGGTGTCCTTTTTTGTAACCATCCTGTACAAGTTTAGCCCTAAACTGGCCACCTACGGGGGCTGTAGCACAGACAAACCAGTGCATGTCTGCAATGTGTTCTTCACTGGCTCTCCTAGGCAGACCACAGAGTACTGACTACAGGTACTATGTTCATATATCACTGACTTAATTTCTAGTATCATCAATAAATTGTGCACACAGCAATGAACTACATCATTTGTCCAACACTCTTACCAATATTGGTGTAATGTCAATCTTGAGTGGGGAGCCAGCAATCATTGTCAAGGCCTTGACGGTTGTCAGCCGTGTTATCTCATTCTTCAGACGATCCAAGAAGATTGGAAGACAGGTGCTTAACTCTGCTTGAAGATGATCACCAAGATTACACAGGACCTGGCCCCTAGGGTGTTGAATCAAAGGATCAAATCATATAGTCATGTTATAAGCGGCATGACAGAAAAAGTAGAACGGTAGGAAAATACTGAACATGGTTCTCAAAGGAAAAGATTGTATCACTCGACTGGGTGTTTTTGTTCAGGTTCACTGATGTTAAAAGTCTTCATCAAGATTTTATTGATGACTAATCTTGATGACCCGTATGTATATTTAGTGACTGCTTAATTTATGCTAAAATACCAGGTTTTTTAAAAGGTAACTTCGGTAGAGACAGGGAAATTACGTCTATCAGCCAAAAAACCTGCAATAACTTCATCTGACTGGTCTTAAGCCCAGTTCATACTCGGCGCGAATGCAAAGGCGAAGCAAATATGATGTCAAGAAATGTTTGCTGCGAAATTCGCCCGAGTTGAAATGTGCTCAACTTTTACGAATTTGCAGCGCGAATTCGCGTTCGCTTTCGCGCCAAGCATCAACCAGGCTTTAGGAGACCATTTTAACTTGCCACTTTGACTGTTTTAAACAATCTATACTAGTGGAGAAATGATGCCAACAAATACAATTTCCATTTGTTAAAGTTTGATTTGCTAAAGTGACACATTATACATGTAACTTGAAGCTTTTGCAAATAAAATAGTAATGTCTCATGAACACTTTTGTAAGCTACGTCAGATCAAAGTGTGGTGACTTCCCGACTAGTGTTTTTCATGTACAAGTAAGGAATTAAGAATTTGTCTTTTTCTATGTATTCAATAATATTTTCTATCAATTTTTCTGCTCATAACTTGAGTTTTGGAAAGTTTTGAACATTATTGGATAAGCCAGCCATGAAATATTGTAATGTCAGTCACGTGTAATGTCAGTCACATTCTCTTTGCGTAATATAATGTAACTCACATTATTGCACACTCTGAAGTAGATCAATCATCATAAGTCATGCATAGCATCTGCTTGCAATAAAAATGGAATATCAAATGCATCCCTAGTTTCCTTTCCATGACGGCAACCTACGTGTCTGCAAGCGGAATGCTGATTCCATACGCAATAAAACTGCCACCTTGTTTGGACTATATATAACAGAGAGAGATTTTGATACAATGTTTCTGAGTGAAACCTAGCTCTATCAAGACGATCATGTTGTTATTGGTGAATGTTCCCTTCCCAGTTATTCATTTATTAACTTTCCCCATGGAGGAGCTGACTATCCATGGCGGCATTGGTGTGATCTATAAGACCCATCTGAACCTCATGGCTATCCCTAGCCCAGTCACAGCCAGCACCTTTGAGAATGCCTTTGAGACTGATCACACCAAGCCCATACTTGTTTTCTGTCTACAGACCACCCCCTTCACAAGCCAATAGGTTCAAATTATCAGAGTTCTTGACAGAATTTGAAAACCTCCTGGTCAAGGCAGATAACATCCCTAGTAAACAAGGCATGCTAAGTGATCTTGCATCCAAGCCCGAAATCTTCCAAATGTCTCACTACCTTGTCTAGTGCTGACCTCCAACAGTATGTACATGTATCTGACCCCACTCACACACACGGACATACTTTGCTGACCCCACTCACACACACCGACATACTTTGCTGACCCCACTCACACACACGGAAATACTTTGCTGACCCCACTCACACACACCGACATACTTTGCTGACCCCACTCACACACACCGACATACTTTGCTGACCCCACTCACACACACTGACATACTTTGCTGACCCCACTCACACACACTGACATACTTTGCTGACCCCACTCACACACACTGACATACTTTGCTGACCCCACTCACACACACTGACATACTTTGCTGACCCCACTCACACACACCGACATACTTTGGACCTTGTTATTGCCTGCCAGGGTCTTGACTTGTTTCATGATTGTGTATATCAGAATCTGATGTCAGACCACCATGCCATCCCCTTCACACTCAACCGCAAACAAAACTGATTCTCCAAGAATTCATTCAGTACAGTGTGACTTTCTTTCTATGGAGTCTGATGAAAAGTATGTGTTGTCAATGCTAATCTCAAGCGCTTGCTAATCTTCACAATGTCCACCACGAGGTCGATTTTTGTTATTCCACCATTCAAAAAATCCTTGACATTCAATGTCCACTGCGAATTCTTGATCGCACACTACGCAATGGAGCACCCTGGTTCAATAACAATATTCATGAAGCAAGACGAATCAAGTGATGACTTGAGTGGAAATGGCAAAAGACCAAGCTGGATATTCCTCAAGTGGATTATCAATCGCAACTCACTGTACTAGCACATCTCATCCAGACTACCAAAGCTACATACTTCAGAGAGAAACTGGCCGCGAGTAAAACTAAGGTCGTGTAAAGATCTTTGTCACAACTTTGGCCATTTCTTTACCGCCAAAATTGTTAAAATGTTATCTGAGCTGATTGTACATGTAATTCACAGCTTGTTACGTCACAATCCAATGATTCCAAGTTTCTATTATTCCCTCAGATATTGCTCTGTCAAATATTGATTGGGTTGATGACCAGCAGACACAGAATTGTCAGTGGCACACCCAAAAACTATTGCTCTCTTGATCCTATGCCTACCTGGTTGCTAAAGGCTATTCATGTCCTTGTCCCATACATTACTTACATTGTTTAATTCCTCATTATCTACAGGCACTTTTCCATGTTCCCTTTGTCAAGCCACTGTTCCACCTTATCTAACATTCCTTTCCTCTCCAAAATCTTAGACAAGGTGGTTCTGAGCCGTGTCAATGATCATGTCAATGGCAACCATCTCCACCAGACATTGCAGTCTGTTTACATGTTCAATCATAGCACTGAAATGGGTCTGTTTTAAATTTAGGATATTGCACTGATAATTCCTCCTCAACTGAAAAGTGCAAATGTTGCCACATACATGAACAAAAAAAGAATTACCTTGATTTGATTTTACATTATTTTCGTAATGCAAATACATTGTACAAAAATGCATTCCATGTATGTTGCCTACATTGGGAAGTTGGGTACATTTAGAATTCTGTTATATTTTAGTTCTTCATAATATTCAACCGAAACTGCAAGCAAGTAAACATATTGATTATACAGTATTATATTTTTATATTTTCAAGGAAAGATACAAGTACACCAAAGGTTAAACGTTGAAAATTTTAATAGTTTTACTAAATGTTTAAAAGGATTAAATGTAAAGTCCCATCCTTAATCTGTTGTGCATTAAAGTTAAAGAGAAATTTCAATTTTGTGCAAGTGTTTTGGTGGGGGTTTTTTTGGCGTCTTTTTATATGATGTCAGTCAGAGTAAACAGAGTGCCCTTTTAAGCTGAGGATGGACAGGAAAGATTGATGTGTTTGTATCACAAGACATGTTCAGGTCCATCTATTGTTCATGCCAAACTAATAAATGTTGAATGTACTGGTTTTGTATCTAGATTAGACTCAACTGCCTGCAGGCTGTAAAAATGTAACGTCAGTCACCGTGGAATTGCCAAATATAATATTACTTGCAGCTGATGCATCCACTCAAATAACAAGAGCATACATTTCCTTGTGCATACAAGATACACTGCATTAAACTTCTAGAACAATGCAGAATAGTTCCTATAAGCTCCAGTCATACACGATGTAATTGGTAAGTACTTACATGCATGAGATGGCCCTTTCTTTCACCTCTTGATCAATGTCAGCAGCTTTCAGTCTCATTAATGTACAGTTGTACAGATCCAACACGTAGGCACTGTAGTCAAATGTAGTCTCTGTATCTGATCACAATGAATAAGTCCAAACCAAAACTTGCTTAGAAATATCAGTGTTTCCCTACAATAGATAAAGACTTCAATAGCTCAAATATTACGATCTCATCGCACAATGGCCAAGAAGTTGCAGCCCAATTAAATATCAACTTGGCCATCAGAACGTTGTCAAGTCCATACGTAAAGCAGCCAACGTCCACTTTACAAAGTGACGAAACATTCACTTAACAAACTGACGATTTATGGGCTCCGTGCCAAGTACCCCTTCAACGACCAGAAAAGGAGAGTTGGAGGTGACCCAGACTGGATCCCGATCCATCCACTACGTATTTCGAATGATCCTAAGTACTGGTGACGGGGAATAGTCTGGGAGACCATTGCAAGTTAAATTTGAACGTATTTGCATGCCCATGACGCCTGACGCTCAAGCAAAGACACTGTGGCTAATAGCTTTGGCACATTTAGGAAGTCATGCATACATTTAGGAAGTCGAGCGAACCAGTACGCCATAGTAAGCACACGCCGTCTGTCCCATCCCGGGGCTCTCAAAAGTGGTAAAAACGCACCCTCTTTGTTGGCGCATGGAGCCAATAAATGCCACATAGGTTGATTCTAGGGGATGATCGTAGGTGAATTACATGGAATGTATAGGCCTACTGAGTGGCCTACTCATGACAGTCAGCAGTTGGAAAGTCAAACCCATGAAATAAAATATGCAATTATTTTTCACAAAAAGATTCTTTGAAAATATTATATTTTTGCCTTGATGAAGTATCGGTGTTTTATAATGATAAACCCAATCACTTTAATCTGTGAGAATATGGAGACAAGCAGCAACTTACTGAGTGGTTTGATGACCTTGACAATAGTCTGTGTGACTAAGAGAGCTTCAGAGGTGATCTTGTAGAAGGAATCACCAACTGCTGAAACAACTGGCTGTATACACGCAAAGCACAGCAATCTATCAGACACTCAATCATTCGATCTTGTTAACACAAATGCTTGGGTGTCATTTCTAGTGATAAATATATATTTAAAAGCATAAATAAATAACTCATTAATATCAAAACAAATACATTAGGATAATTTACAAGCAATAGAGGAATATCATGTAATGACCTGCAACACACATCATACTCATCTACCAATATACAATTAGTTTCAACCTGACGTTCATGTAATAAAAAACAAACAATTCCATGGCACATCCTGGCGATCATAAGAGGAGAAAATGTAATGAACTTACAGGCACAATAACAGCCATATGAGGGTGGAAGGCCTGTGGACTATGATTCACCATCAGACAATTCAGAAAGGATAATGTATCAATCTTCATGTTGGAACTGCTGTTCTTGTCCCTGTGTAGTTGAAAGGATCAGAATGAGCATAAGATTCCATTTGAAAAAATTACATATTACCATACTTAACCGGAAAATACTTCTGATATAATGTAGAGCAAATCTAATAGACATATATACAAACTTAGTGCAGCATTCAACTTTAGGTTTAACTTCCTATCAAACCAAACATCCAATCCGGTTCGTTAGTAAAAACGTCATTCACGCGCACCCACCATTGATTACTAGCGCTCATTGGCTACAACCGCTCGAGCTGCGTTAACTTCCGGTTCCAATCGTGCAGAAAGTGCTGGAGGTGACGTCACACTAACGAACCGGATACAGAGTGTGCCAAAAACGTGCAACATTCAGAAAACATATAATTAAAACTGTTTAATGTTTTTTTCTTCAATGAAATTATATTCTACACATATAGACTGGCAATGAGGTCATGGGCGTCGCCAGGATTTTTTCTAGAGGGGGGCAAAAAATTGTTTTGCCAAAAAATGCTTGTATTTCTCAACACATTCTCGATTTATCAGTTTTAAAGGGGGGCAGGGACATTTTGCCCCCCCCCCCCCAACTCATTAAATTTACACCACTTTGTCTTCGCGCCTCTTTTTCTTTTCTTTTCTTTTCTTTTTTTTTCTTCCTTTTTTTTTTTTTTTTTTTTTTTGCTTTTCCAGGGGGGGCAAGTGCCCCCCCTTGCCCCCCCCTCGCGACGCCCATGAATGAGGTCACTACTAGTGCATGTCTATGCGCCCCGAGGGACTGTGAGTGACTAGAAGAGGGTCCTAATAGGCAGGCCCGAGGGGGCACAGACATGCACTAGTAACCAAATTATGCCAGTCCGCATGTGTTTTATAACTCACCTTTGTCCAAAATATAAAAAAAATATAAAAAAAAAACTTTTCTAAGTTTTATATTTCAACTGTTTTAATACTCCAATTAACTTATAAGCACTTCAACTGTGAGCAATTCAACAATTATAGGAACGGTTTTAGTGTCGTCGCTTCAGTTGTTGAGTTTGAGTTTTTTAGAGGGCAATGTAATCGGTCAAAACCTTTGAGTGTAGTGCCCGATCGGAAATTACGCGTGCGTGATGTCTTGGCGCACGTCTAGTTCATGCTGATGTGAATTTCATGCACTAGCCTATATAAGTGAACCACACGTGACCGTGTTTCAGCCAACCAGGATGAAGCACCAGCAAGAGGTGTGTTATGACTTACATTAAAGCCTGACTATTTCTCAATCCACTCCTGTTTACCCCATTCTATTAGGATCCCTAGACCCAGAAATACAATCAATTAAGTGAAAGGGTGTACATTTTACTCGGCCACTCTCAGCTGGACATGCTGAATCTGGGTTATGCTAGGTTTACACATTCTCAAATTATTGCCACGAGTACCCCGATCTATCCCGAATAAAAATTCTTGATGGCAATTGGGAGAAATTAGCCCCGATTCGCTGTTTGTAAGAATAACTTAAGAATGAAACAGAAATAATCAAGAACTAGGTACGAATTGGAAGTCGAATCAGACCCAATTAAGCCGAATACATACATGATATTGATACATTCGTAATGATTCCGCATGATTCTGGACTGTTACCACCAAGAATAACTGTGCGAAACTTGTAAGAATGCTGTAAGAATACCCAGAATTAGTTACAAATACAACAAGAATAATCCAAGAATTGAAATTGGTTCCCGAATCACCCCGACAGTTTTGAACATGTTGAAAATTGTTGGGGCGCTTCCCGATCTTTAACAATCTTTCATCGAACTAACAGAATCATCCCGAGGCAGCCAAGAACCATTCCCCGATTTACTCAAGACTTATTATTCGTGGCGCTTCGTCTTAAAAATCGGGAATGTGTGAACTTAGCATAAAGCATTGAATAGGCATTGAAGTTGGTGACAACACAGGTGAGAGTGCCCCAAGCAAAATGTACACCCTTTCACTTAATTGATTGTATTTCTGGATCTAGGGACCCAAATGGAATGGGGTAAAAAGGAGTGGATTGCGAAATAGTCAGGCTTTCATGTAATATATAATTTCATTGAAGAAAAAACATTAAACAGATTTAATTATTTGTTGTCAGAATGTTGCACTTTTTTTGGCACACTCTGTATACAGCAGATTGAGATTGATTTGTCATTAGCATTTCACAACGTAGTAATAACATCAGGTTATTCTGCATTGTTTCAATTATTGGCCAGAGGCAATTTTATTGAATGCATGTTACCATGAGCGTCAACACAGGGGCAGTTCTATGTCAAGCAATGCACCTACACATTCATTTTAAGCGAATCGAAACAATTGGGGTATCCATACAATTTACCGAACAGAATTTAGGTATAAATTGCCCTTTTCACATGGACCCACCCATTTAAGTGGCATATGCTCATCAAATCAGCTAAAGTCTCAATGTGTAATGACTAACAAGCCGACTTGCTTACCCCAATGAGAATTGAATACCAGGTATGATGGCTGGGATGTGTTCTGCCAACGCTCCTGGTGATACACTGATCAACTCGGTCAGTAAAGAGAAACAACCTTGACGAGTCTTGATACTCTTCTCTCTCATCTGTTTATGCAAGGCACGAACGATGTCTGGAACTTGCAGCCTCAACATTGATATTGGCCTGAGTAGGGATCAAGATATGACTTGAATAAAGAGAACATGTGTAAGTGACTTTCCAATAGCCCTTATTGCCTAAAATCCACCGACATTCAATTCCTTGATTCACTTGACTTTGAAAGATTGAATCCCGAGGAAGACTGGATATCTCATATCAGAGATTGTTCTGTATTTATGTCAAGAGTGATACAAGAAAAAATAGATGACATCCAATTCAGAAGATTCTGCGAAAAATACTGCACCAAACACATGATGATAGTCAGTCTGGTCTTATGCATCATTATGATTGACCAACTGAGTAAGGAATATCTGCTAAACAAGTAATCAGGAAAAAAAGGAGACTAACACTAACCCTTCCTCATGTTCCATGGAGTCTGGATCATAAAATCCTGTCACAATTGGCTTGGTCTGCTTCAGCAGGGTTATGAAGGCATGGAAAATATCGGACTTCACATTTTCCTCACGCTCTGCAAGATATAAATTGACCGTCAATGCTTCACTCAGTTGACCATCAGAAAATGTTGAGTGTGGGAAAGTGTGATATGATTAGACATCTTGATCATAGCCTCTTTACAAACATACCTTTAAATCTTGAAATAAGAGCTGGCGAGACTGAACGATAAAACTCATTCAGCATTTCATGTCTGGAGCCAACGATTGCCTCCAAGCATTTTGCTGCAGAGCGCCGTACCTTCCAACTCATGTCATCATCATCACTGTACTCATCGTCAGATTCCCTACACACACAATTGAGGTTAAAGAAAGTTGGTTCATGTTGAAGAATGTTGGAGAATTTTGCTGCTACAATGCATAACACTGATTGAGCGATTTCCCTTGATTTACATCCATACAAGTGAATTTAAACTGTTTGTACAAATTTCATCGACTGCCTTACAAAAGTGTGTGTTAATACTCTACAAAATAATAGGATGCCACATACGGTTCACTAGACAATTTTTTTAAACGATATTGCTCACCGAAAATCTCTAGTTCCATCTAGACATTGTACAGTAACTGATTATGCAATAGTGAATCAAACCATACTATCGGATATTAACCCTAACCGCCCTGACCCTAACCAGCCAGCATGCATTGAAGCCGTCAATGCGTGGACTGCTGCATGATGATACAGTGGCCAGCATGCATTGCTACCGTCAATGTGTAGTCTGCTGCATGATCATACAGTGGCCAGCATGCACTGCTGCCATCAATGTGTAGTCTGCTACAGATCATACAGTGGCCAGCATGCATTGCTACTGTCAATGCATAGTCTGCTGCACGATCATACAGTGGCCAGCATGCTTTGCTGCCGTCAATGCTTGGACTACTGCATGATCATACAGTGGTCAGCATGCATTGCTACTGTCAATGCATAGTATGCTGCATGATCATACAGTGGTCAGCATGCATTGCTGCCGTCAATGCTTGGACTGCTGCAGATCATACAGAGGCCAGCATGCATTGTTGCCGTAAATGCGTAGTCTGCTGCATGATCATACAGTGGTCAGCATGCATTGCTACTGTCAATGCATAGTCTGCTGCATGATCATACAGTGGTCAGCATGCATTGCTACTGTCAATGCATAGTCTGCTGCATGATCATACAATGGTCAGCATGCATTGCTACTGTCAATGCATAATCTGCTGCATGATCATACAGTGGCCAGCATGCTTTGCTGCCGTCAATGCTTGGACTGCTGCATGATCATACAGTGGCCAGCATGCATTGCTACTGTCAATGCATAGTCTGCTGCATGATCATACAATGGTCAGCATGCATTGCTACTGTCAATGCATAATCTGCTGCATGATCATACAGTGGCCAGCATGCTTTGCTGCCGTCAATGCTTGGACTGCTGCATGATCATACAGTGGCCAGCATGCATTGCTGCCGGCAATGTGTAGTCTGCTGCAAGATACAGCAGCTAGCATATATTGCTGCTTCATGGTCTTACCCCTCTTCTTCTTCCTCAGCATCTGCATCCATTGCATCTTCATCCTCGTCACTCTCATAGTTATAGTTTGGATCATAGCAGATATACTGTAGACACAACTCAATGATCTGAAACAATAGCAAATATTACAGGTGAATTAACCACTCCTTGTTTATGGCAAGTTTATACTTTGGCTTGAAATGGCTACTCCTGGGGACAAAGTGATACTGTGGCATTATACTGCATTGTTAATTCCATTGAATGAAGGCAATCAATTATGCAGTACTGGTAGACGTCAAGGTAATGGCCACAATGATAATGGAAGGAGCAGTCTAAAGCTTTGAGCCCCTCATGACGTCTAGGCTGCCATGTGCATAGTGGTGTGCATTTACGGGTAGTATAGGAACCAGGTACCCTACTGAAGCAAAACACGGGTACCCGGGCACCCATAAAAGAAACCCAAGCCCAAAATGCAAATGCCGGGAGTTGCTGTTCAGATAACCCTGACAGTCCTGAATCCTCCAATTCCAATACGATTTTGCACACCCACTAGGGAGTTAGGGATTTATTGAAGCAGAGCTGCCAACCTCCAAATTCCAAAATCAGTATTCCTGAAGCTGAAAATCTGTATTTTCATCCCCAAATCAGTATTTTTTTCATAATTGATGAATAATGCTTGAAAGCCTAAGTAAATTGCCACTACATATTAATACTAGTAGTTAGCTGAAACTAACGGCATAACTTATATAATGCTTCATATTTCTGTTCCTGTTTCAACATTTTATTCTGAAATTAGAAAAATGAAAATGTTTTGACCCTTTGGTCAGAGTTCTTCTTATTAGACCTACATGCCATTTAAAAAAATATTTATAATAAAAAATTGTACTTCTGTATTTTTTTAAATTTCCGTACAAAATACGGAAAATCCGTACTAGTTGACAGCTCACATTGCGCTGACAAAAACAATGGCATGTCAGGTGTTACCCAGCTGGATACCAGTATCTTGGAATAAAGTGAATGTTTGATGACCTTAAGATTTTAAAATAATATGAACATGCTTACAGTCAAGACATGTTGCGACACTTCTTTTGGACAACGCCTGACAAAGGATTCAAAAGCCTGCCAAAGAAAAAACATGCAAGAGTGATTATTTAGCTTCAGTGACCCAACACCAAAATCATAGGATCATTCCAAACTGGGAATCAACTCAGTTGTGGTCATGATCAATGAAACAGTCAATTTCAGCAAGTGCTAGAAGAATATTAAATATGGGTTGATGCCTCTTTCCGTTCAAAGAGCAGGTGATTCAGATCAGATTTCTAATAAAATACTTTATCTATCATAAGATGGGTTCGAGACTTCGAGTCTCACCCGAGTGATTTTTTCCAACTTTCACTCGGGAGGTAACACACTGAGAATACAGTGTTTAAAAATGTCCGTGAAGGGCAAAACCTAATTTGAAATACTTGATCTTTATGAAAGTGATTACATCTCTCAATGACTTCATATTAGCAATCCACTACTACAGTTCATACATGGATACTGTTAAAGCTATCCTAACCTTAAACTGTCCAATTCAATTCAATTTCTTACTTCCGAGCCACCAAGTACAATTCCCATATCAAGGCTACTTCTCTTTACTGAGGAAACAACCATGATAAAATGTGTGCATGCTGTCTATCTCTATGTATTAGCTACCTGGATGCAGTATTCTCGTAGCTCATCATCATCATCAATCCTGCAGAATTTGACAATCAGAGGCATGATCTTCTCCAAATGTTCCCCCACTCGGTGACCAGCATGGCGACTGTAACCAAGGAGATGTCACAATAAAGGAATAGATGCAAGTATATATATCAAACTTGTGGATGACAAACTATATTTCATGCTGATGGGTTCTCATATTGTCTAATATGAGAACCCATAGGGAGTATTTCAAAAAAAATTTTTTTAACAGTGCCCAGCCAAATTGAAATGCATAACACCATCTTCATATTCTTGACTGCCAAAAGCCACACAACGCTAAGGGACATTATAGTACAAATATGATGTTGCTTCGTATAACAGAGCTAGAACAGCCATGACGCTGATTTGTACAACATACCTACATGTAGAATGCGTACAAGGTAGATGATGTGCCCCAGGGTGTGCGCATGACAACCAGAATCATTTGCATCTTGGGCAAATGACCCTCTGGGGCAATTGACATTTTGCCTCGGGTGCCAAATGCACCCCTCGGGTGTTCAAAAAGCCATGGACTACATCTAAACAGATAACAATTGTATAATGTTGCTTGTGCTGCTGTTGAAGCATGTGTGATGTATATTAGAGCATGGATCATTACAAACAAGCTCAAGTTGAATGAGACTTAAGGGTTTGCATGGTCACTAGGAGGTTTGCGGTAATACCATGTGAATTATGTCTCTTTGTGAGTTGTGTTGTTCTGAGAAGAACCAGTTGAATGACTCTGAAACAGAGATCACATCACTATGTCACAGAAGTCACTCCAGAAGTGGAGTGCTGTGGCTTTGTGGTTAAGGGCATTGGATTCGTGGTCTGCGGGTAAAGCTGCAGGTTGTGGGTTCGAGTCCAGCCTGGGTTCGTGGTGCGTGTGCCCTTGGGCAAGGCACTTTGTCACTCATTGCTTCTCTCCACCAAGGAGTAAATGGGTACCTGTGAGGGTAGAGATGGTCACTGTGATTGAATTAGCTTCCTTGCGCGTAACAGGCAGCATCGAGCTGTATACTCCCCAGGGAAACAAGATGGTATTTGGAATGTTTCATGGGCCCAATGAGCAGGGGTAATAATGATGTTGCGCTGTGAGCGCCAGTACCTGGTGGATACGTGAGCTGTATAAATACCCACTATTATTATTATTATTAAGCCAAGAGCTGCAGTCACTTAAAATAGGACTGTCCGAATTTAACCAAATGCTGACGTACGGAATTGTAGAACCAGAATAGATCACCATTTAACAAAGTCAAGTCATATTAACGTGGTTTGCTGCTCTGCAACACATGCAGTTAGGACTACTGGAAACCTGTGCAGGTATCTTGATTGTACAACTGAGATACTTGTGCATGCTTTTATTTCTTTATCCAGACTGAATTACTGCAACAATCTACAGTTTGGACTTCCAAAAATGCTGTGCTCAAAACACGACAGCACAACTTATAGTAAAGGCTACTGAACATGAACATATTTAGCCCATACTACTCTGGTTGCCAGTCAGGAAGCGTATCCTATTTAAGATGCACTTAATGGTCTATGCGTCAATCAAAAGAAAGGCTCTTAGTTTAATCTGAATAACCAACTTTGTATCCAGCATACTTGGATTCGGCAGCCCCAAAACAAGTGTAAAAATAGATGTGTTTCCATCTTTTACTAAAACGGTATTTGTAATCAGCTAAACAGTATACCTGATTGCACCTATGCACTGTATGTATGTCCTGGTTGTAGATGGGTTCGCGTTTTCCCGCAGCTCAGTCATAAGGAACTCCATAAGATCAGCAAAAAGCTTATTGCTACTGCTCATGACTAGATGACCTGATGATAAATGAGAACAATATTAAGATACAAAGCATACTGCTAAGATGGTATTTTTAAACATAAAACAACGAAGACATTGATGTTTCCAACCACTATCCTGACAAACACATTTTGCATCGCTGGCTGTGGATACTTCAGCAGTTCACACAAAAGCAGACATGTGAATGTTCTAATATAATTTAAAGTGCGTTAGTCCGTGCTCTGCTAAAAAAATGTAATGAAATAAAGTTTTCCCTGTTATTGAAACATGGGAGCAGATTCGTTTGATTGAAAAAAAAGTTGACCTTAGTCTGGGGCTTTGCATGTCCATTTTAATTAACCATTTAATTAACTGTTTAACTTACACTTCTTCTATCAATAATTAAAACATAGTTACTGTTTAGCCCATCCCCCCAGGTTGGATATTACTATCTTTTTATACTTAAACATGAATGAAAAATATTCCCCATAAATTTTATGGGGTTAAAATTAATAATATAACAGCCTCCCAACCCCCCCCCCCCCACCCCCTTGGATTTCCTGAATGCATGAGGTAAATGTTAGTTTTCAATGAAAAGAGAATAATCACAAGCCTGTATATTCAACAGACGTCAATCATACAGCAACACAAAATACATTCCGGAGGTGTCATTAATACAATTTTGTCTGCATCTCTTGTTATTACTCAAAACATTTAATAACCTCAGCTCATTACATTCAAAGAAATCCCATTCAATGTTCAAATATATTCTCCAATGGGTTTATTAACTATGAGTTTTGTCAGCTTTTTATGTGTTTGTTTCTTTTAAATTTTGAGCCAAAAAAAAATAATAATAAAAATTTAAAATTGAAAATACCCATAGGTTGCAGAAATTCCTAAATCAAATTCCAAATAAATTCTAGGAGAAAATATACAACAAAGCTTCTTTTTTTTTAACAGAATAAACCCGTTTATTGTATTTATTTACCTCCCTCGTACAGAAACATTGAATAAATTCCAGAGTTGAACTCAATGTAATTTAAGTTTGGATCTCTCTTCAAATGGCAACAGATTACAACACAATAGCCTATTAAATTTAAGGATCTCTCAAATGAATTTCCGATAGATTTCAGGGGGAAGTTAATAAGAATTTCTCTATTCTTTCTAGTTTTTGAAGAAATATAATTTACAATACCTGCGCTCTCTAAACTTATAAAAATTTCAAACTCAATTGCCAGTAATATATGTATCTCATATGTTGAGCCCATTAATTTGTGGATCTCACAGGGTTACTCTGAATCATCAGTAGCACAATGCTTCTGACATTACTGGGTACCACTCTAAGTGTACAACCATTCCATACCTGGATTAGTCTGGCCCCAAACTACAGAACACTGGCCCCAAACTGTGAAACACTATTCCCATCAACATCAGGGACTCCCCATCTGTCACCATTTTCAAGCAACGTCTTAAAAGCTTCTTTTTCATGACATCATAGTCCTCTCTTGTACAGCGCTTTGATCTATCTTGTAAAAGCGCTTATGTATACATTTATTATTATTGTTATTATTGTCTACAGAATCCTGTCCATACCTACCTAGTGCTAAGATGGCTCTCTTACGTACAGCCATCCTGGGACTGTTGAGCTGTGGTAGTAAAGCACTCTGTATTGCCGAGTGGAAACTCATCAACAATCCTGAAATGAAATGTCAGTATTGTTAACCTGTACCATGAGAGGTTTCAATGTGTCCTATAAAGCCTCCTAAAAGCAAAATACAATATATTCTGTGTACAGTCTAATCACCTGTGTATATCTTCAAAATTAGCACCACATAAAACTCATAAACCATTTCTTTCCAAAAGTATTTTCGTAATTGTCAAAGCCTCCAATAACATGCAAGAATAAGAAATGTGACAAATGATTATTTAAAATAATGTAATTGCTCATAGCATTGGTAGTAGGCTTGTGTCTTCTTGTAAAACCAACCAACTGTTATGCTTTGCAACAAGATTTTTCAGTGTGCTATTATTAGTCCAAAGTAACATCCAATATATTATGACTAGGGTCATAAAATACTTATGTTTTATACTACATACCTCCAAAGCGGATGAGAAGGTCCCCCAGTATATCTAACGCCTCTAACTTGACAGACACATCTTCTTGCTAAACCACAAAAAGAACGAACAATGAAGATTGATATATTACAGTTGCTGCATAAGGCCAAAAAAAAAAAGTCTCCGGTTTCTGGTATGCGCGCGCGTCGCCGTAGCCATGCGCGTCGGCAAAATGAAAAAGGTTTTTTTTCAATGCAAGATGATGTCACAAAACCGCCAAACTCACTGGTTTGACTGGAATCCTGCTGCTGCACAATTTTAACGTGTGTTTAGATTGGGTTATGGTCGAGAATAAGCTTTATGTGGCCTCTCTGAACTCCCATATATTTGCACTAAGTTTAGTCGGGCACCATTTGCAGTCATCAGCCGACATTTGAAGCAAAAAAATCAGGTAAGAAAAAAAAAAAATCCGCGTCGCCGCACCACTTTTTGGGCAAGCTCCATACCAGAAACCGGAGACTTTTTTTTTTTGGCCTAATGTGATTAAACCCGAAATTCTCAAAGTACCCATTTAAGGCCAAAAAAAATAAGTCTCCGGTTTCTGGTATGGAGCTTGCCCCAAAGTGGTGCGGCGACGCGGCTTTTTTTTTTTTTTTTACCTGTTTTTTTTTTTCTTTTGGCTTCAAATGTCGGCTGATGACTGCAAATGGTGCCCGACTAAACTTAGTGCAAATATATGGGAGTCCAGAGAGGCCACATAAAGCTTATTCTCGATCATAACCCCATCTAAAAACACGTTAAAATTGTGCAGCAGCAGAATTCCAGTCAAACCAGTGAGTTTGGCGGTTTTGAGACATCATCTTGTATTGAAAAAAAACCTTTTTCATTTTGCCGACGCGCATGGCTGCGGCGACGCGCGCGCATACCAGAAACCAGAGACTTTTTTTTTTTGGCCTAAAGGGGAGATTTTACCTACAAAAAGACTTCTAATGATAAAAGCGTCCAAGCATCCAAGTAAAAAGGCAGGGTCTCCTAAATATCTTTATTGATGTCTCAATTCAATGAATCGTTTTACTGCCAGTACATCTAATTTTCACACACCCTTTTCACTGTTAATCCATTATGATTATATTTTAAGTTATTTTCTCTTTTGGCATCTGAAAATAAATTTTTAAAATGAAATTATGAAAAATGCCATGCCAAATAAAAGGACGAGTGCATTTTTGGGTATAACTTTTTGAAACCCTGACTCGGTCTGGTGGCCGCTGCCTATGGACAACAGGCCAACTGATATCTCCTCTGGTCTGATGGCCACTGCCTATGGACAACAGGCCAACTGATATCTCCTCTGGTCTGATGGCCACTGCCTATGGACAACAGGCCAACTGATATCTCCTCTGGTCTGATGGCCACTGCCTATGGACAACAGGCCAACTGATATCTCCTCTGGTCTGATGGCCACTGCCTATGGACAACAGACCAAATGATACTCCTCTGGTCTGATGGCCACTGCCTATGGACAACAGGCCAACCAATATCTCCTCTGGTCTGATGGCCACTGCCTATGGACAACAGGCCAACTGATATCTCCTCTGGTCTGATGGCCACTGCCTATGGACAACAGGCCAACTGATACTCCTCTGGTCTGATGGCCACTGCCTATGGACAACAGACCAACTGATACTCCTCTGGTCTGATGGCCACTGCCTATGGACAACAGACCAACTGATACTCCTCTGGTCTGATGGCCACTGCCTATGGACAACAGGCCAACTGATACTCCTCTGGTCTGGTGGCCGCTGCCTATGGACAACAGGCCAACCAATATCTCCTCTGGTCTGATGGCCACTGCCTATGGACAACAGGCCAACTGATATCTCCTCTGGTCTGATGGCCACTGCCTATGGACAACAGGCCAACTGATACTCCTCTGGTCTGATGGCCACTGCCTATGGACAACAGACCAAATGATACTCCTCTGGTCTGATGGCCACTGCCTGTGGACAACAGACCAACCACTATCTCCTCTGGTCTGATGGCCACTGCCTATGGACAACAGGCCAACTGATACTCCTCTGGTTTGATGGCCACTGCCTATGGACAACAGACCAAATGATACTCCTCTGGTCTGATGGCCACTGCCTATGGACAACAGACCAAATGATACTCCTCTGGTCTGATGGCCACTGCCTATGGACAACAGGCCAACCACTATCTCCTCTGGTCTGATGGCCACTGCCTAAGGACAACAGACCAACTGATATCTCCTCTGGTCTGATGGCCACTGCCTATGGACAACAGACCAACTGATACTCCTCTGGTCTGATCACAGACATATAATAAAACCTAGACACGACATTTGCTATTGCGCCTGTGAGCAAAATGCTGCGCGTATAGAATAACTAAGAAGTATGAGCGTAAATCGAAGCCATATACATGACATTCGCGCATTGCGTAATTAAGCCACGTGACGCAGCCTGATTTGCTCACAGAATTTACAATGTAAAAGCAGATAATGTCTTGTCTAGGTTTTATTATATGTCTATGGGTCTGATGGTCACTGCCTATGGACAACTCACATGGCTAACTCACATGGGATCCACAACGTGGTAGAACTAGAAGGAAACTAAGCTATCCTGACACTGACATTCAGCAGCTCACAAAATATTAAACCTCCTGAACGCATTTGCCAATGCTGCTTCCGCCGTTTCATGTGTGGGCAATCGTTGGTGATGTTTGGCCACACAATAGATCCTACTGTGAACTAGACTTTTAGCTTGATAATTACCTTTGCGATTGCATTAGTCAGTCTTCCTGTGATACTCTTACAGATGTTAGCAGCCAGTGGACTGGATGCAGGAGGCAGCTCATTAATCACAGTCTTCAGTCCTAATACAATCAAACAATATCAATGTCACTATCTCAATTTGTACATTACATGTACATGTGAGTATCATTTATTCCCAGCTAACCGCAAGGAATACACTTTATCCCCTGAAAATTACAAATGGCCATAGACCACACCCCATACATTTGTGTACCACACTCATACTTCAAGTGTATTTTCAAGGAAACACGGTGTAACATACATGTACCTATCCATAAAATAGACTGCTTTGCGGTGTTGGACCAACAGCATGTGCACAAAGCCAGGATCAATTCCTTCAAGTTGATAATTTGAGTTGACAAACAAGCATTTTGGGGTCGAGACATAACCTTCTCCATTCATTAGAGCTATGCTGCACACTTCATGAATGTACTGAGTGAACCCTGGAACCTTATGCAGAATTGCTGCCATGTCCATATCATGGAACCAACAGGTAATTACCCCCAAAAAGCCAAACAAACAAAAAACCCAGCCAATATCCAACTCAAAATCCATTTTCTAAAGGTGGGATGCTTTAGGCTTACCAATGCTTGATATATCTCGTAACTGCTCCTTCTCTGATAACATGTTGTTACAAAGATTGTCCACAATGGTTTCAACTTGATACTCCTTCACCTTAGAAACCAATGGACCAAGACTGAAACAAGGAAACATTATCTCTTATCAAATGTAGCTGCAATTGTACACATCTCATAATATGAATACAGTACAGTGTTTCATACAAGAAAATAAACATACAACATGCACTGTAACATGATATAAACAATGACTATGATTGCTGAAATATATGCAGACAGAAACCCAAATGATATTACACATCAAACTCATGATTCAAGTATCCAACCAACCATTTCACTGCAAGGTTCTGCACCTCCCCATTTTTATCTTCAAGCAATTTCAACAACATTCTGACAACCTGTGGAAGAAGCAATGATAAATGATTACATTACATTTAACTTGTCACAAATGGTCAAGAAGGTTCCTTTCGAAAACCTTGCCATTTTATCCCCTCCTCCCCCCCCCCCAAAAAAAGGGGGGGCGCCAGATTGGGTAAGAATGATCAAAACTACTTTAAAATGGCCCAATAACACAAAAATTACATACACTGTAGTAGTAATGCAAAAAATGATCATGCTGACGGGTGCAAATAAGCATTCTGTACATGTATATCAGTGTTAGTGATATTACAATATTATATTATATTGAACATTACAAGCTGAACTACTACATTTCCTACAAAAGGGGGAAGTTAGTGACAAGGCCAAAAAAAAAATATTTCTGCTTTCGATTACATGCCTTTCAAAAATAGGGTCGGTCGGTCGGAATTTTATTTTTTTTGCCAATTTTTTTTATGCAGATTGAATGGGGTATTCAATTATATGCAAAGTTTTAGCCTGAACTATTTCCATTGCACTACGAAAGCTATACACAAAATGGCCACAAAAAGTGAATAAAACCTACCTTTAATTATTGTCAAGATATTTACGTTCGATAATTTCAAAAAATAATTCAGGTCGTTCGCACCATATGCACAACGCTAGTCAAGACGTGGAGAGCTGGCCAAAACTCCGAGGTGTGTGAGGCGTGCATGTGTGGCGAGTGGCCCACCATGGGCTGACAGACGTGTTTTTACGGTCAAAAATTTTGGGAAACACGCGGCATGTATCACTCCAAATACGAGTAGTGCGATCTCAAAATGAACTCTTGAACACAGAAAACACATATACAGACAAGCTAGATCAATTCTGTAAATTAACTTGCGAAAATGTTCTTTCTCCATCGGTGTTTTCTTGGCATTTTTACGATGTCGAATCCGACCAGTTGACAGTGGCCTGCACTAGCGCGCTATAGGTCGCATAGCTATGGACTGGTTACCGCATTTTCATCATGTCTTCTAAATTGGCCCCTGCGCAGCGCGGCGGGTACCAGTCGTCGCCACGTGATTATAGTCACCGTGACATCGAATTGCGAAGTAGTTATATCGCGAAGCGAATTTGTAAAAATAACGGAGGTTTCTTTTGATAAAAAGCGAATGTAAGTAAGAAAACAAATAAATACAAGCATTTTTTGATGCAAATGGGTTGTTGAGAGGTATTTTGTGAAGACAGAAAAGACAAGATTTTATTTTTATTTATTATTATTATTATTTTTTTTTTTTTGGGAATTGCCGATAAATTTTTTAGGGTCGCAGCCTAAAATAGGGTCGGTCGGGTAACCGGAAGCAGAACTATTCATTTTTTTGGCCCAATCTCTATGCATCTTACCATAGGCAAACCACAATGAACAAACAGTCCTTACTATTTGGCTTACCTTTCTCTCACTATCATCATCCAACTTGATAGAATCTTTCTGCAGTTCAGACATCAGATCGTTGGTAGCCATAAATCGAAAGTCTTTGTCGCTAGATGTCATCTGCCATGGAAAAGTTATAAACACCTATAAATTGGCAGTGAAATCTCAAAGCGTACACGTACATGACATCACATGGGACTTGATACAAATATTTTGCCATTACACTTACTCTGCCTTTAAAGACAGGTAGGAACACTGGTATTTACCCAAAAACATACCTACCAATTGAACCCTAACACTGCCAGAAGCCACACCAATGCACACAGTGCGTGAGGTATAAAAGTCTGCACTAAGCCGTAAAATCACCCGGCCTTAAAAATAGGGTCGGTTGTGTAACCAGAAGCAGAAGTATTTTTGAAGTGTCTCATCAATGTCGGGGGGAAAAAAAGAACGAAAGCGGTAGGCCTAGTCTTTTTATTTAGTTTACGTCCAAAAGTTTGTGAATTTTTTTTCCACAGGCGCGACTCATCAGGTCACCCAACTCTCATTGCAATTTTTTTCACATCAAGCACACTTTTTTTGTCTGTGAGGATGTACATAGGCTAAATGTTGCCTAGTAGTACATGTACATGTGTACATGTAATTTCAGCATTTAACAATGGAATATTTACTTTTGCCACTCCTAAAGTGGTTGGCACACAGCGCATGAGAGTTTACAAATCGCGCGTCCGTATTGCATGCACGCAGCACCAATGCGCTGGGCGCACAGTGTACGAACTCTGTAATGAAGCACAGTCTACAATCACAACAGTCAACACAATTTAACGTTATTTTCGAGTTTATTCTCCGGATTACATCGTCCATCGTACTTTGTGGAATTTCTTATCCCCCCCGTTCCCATAGATAAGGACACATAGAATACATGGACGTTAAAATTGGCTTCATAAAAAAAAACAAATTTTCGCCCTGTTTTGACAACTTCATATCCTGGACTCCCTCCATACGTATGGAGGTAAGGGAGTCCACTGGGCTAATGGAGAGTCAAGACAATTTTCAAGAAAGAGTCAAGAAAGTATTTCCTAACAAAATTGGAAATGTTTTTCAGTCCCAGATTCATGTCTTATAATCTTTTTTTGCAATGACTGACCTTCATTAAGATGACATATGAAGAAAAAAGTGGCGTCAGGTTGGAACATTTTTTTCGAAAAAGCCTTCTGTCATCTGAAAAATTTTCGGACGCAAATCTTAAACTTTCATTCTCCATGTTCTCATGGCCTAACCGGTACCCTGTGTGGGGTCCTACTAAAATGCGTCAAAAAGCGTCAACAAGCATCACAGGTCTTCAACAAGCATCAACAATTTTGTATATGCTTTTGAACAGTCCGAGTAACTTGGACCCAACTTATCGAATGTACGCTGGGCATGAAGACCACATCGCGTCGTTCAAACATTAACATTAACATTAACGAGTCGGAAATTTAACGTGTTCACGATCGCGAGGGGAGCTCTCGGAATTGAACGGGAAATTTTACTTTTCATCCGAAATTTTACTTTTCATGCGCAATTTTGGGTTTTGAATACAAATACAGGTACCCTGTAACAAACAATTGTCCATACCCATCTTGCACGTGTGTATAGCATTGCGGACTCTTTCATTTGTATATATGGGGGAGTTTTTTGTTTCCAAAAAGAAGGGGATTTGGAACTTCGAGTTTATAAATAAGCTACTTAACCCAATTTATAGAGAAAAATACAACATGAACCTGATTTCATTTTTCTTAAACAATGTTAAAGGGAAAATACAACATTTGCAAACATCAAAAAATAAAACTACCAAATCATTTTGAAATACCTTGCTGGACTGTTAGTGAATGACAGTGTAAAGCATCCTGTAAAATCATGGCACCTGGTATACTGTCATTTTCAAGAAAAGTGGTATTTTTGTATCAATTTCCAACGCTGATCGGCCGATCAGCGTTGGAAAAAACTGGCTTTATTTTCAAATACTGGCCCCAATTGACCATCGCACTTGTTTGCAATCGATTACAAACCTATGAACGGGTACGAGCCAGCTAGACTTGTTCCCTGACCTTACAATTCCCCAATGTATGTAAACTGCTCTGTTTCTTCTTATATGGAGTCAGGGAACCAGACTACAGGAAAATGATTGTTTTCTTGGTTTTTATAGCATTTTCGAACCCAAAACCTCAAAAAAGTCAGTGTAACTATATTTGCTATATATTTCCAACCCCCAATTCCATCCATTTCTGAAAATTACATTAAAAGCAAATGATGTATATTCCCTTTAAATCATAAAATAAAGTAAATTAATGACCGCCACCTGGGACCAGAAGATTTTGGAATCTATGAATAATTAAAAACACAACATGTACTAGGCCTACTTGATTTCATTTAAAAATATTATAAAATACAACAATATTTATGACCGACACCTGTGACAGGAAGATTTGGAATCTATGAATATTTAATAAGCTCTAATTTGCATACCAACCGTTAATAATTTAAAAATCCTGTCATCGCGTCACAAATCCTGTCAATCCCGTTTCTGGCATCACTACTGAAGGTGTTCTTTGTTGCCATTTCTACCATATAAAGCTGTTTTTGATTTTCCAAAACGTCTACAAAATTTGATGACGCTGGGTTGACGACTGTTGAAGTTTGTTGACGCCAGTTGATGCTTGTTGACGCATTTTTGGTAATCCTTACTTTTAGGACACCTCTATTTTTTACGAGTTTCAGTTCTGTTCAAAACTGATTTTTGCAGATGACTGTCCAGTACCAAACTCCAAAGTGACTTTTGCAGGCTAAAGCAGTCATTTTTCTTCATATAAACTCATGTTAGTTGTAATTTTGAAAGCACTTTCAAAGAAAATGTGACTTTCCTACCTTTTTTCGCAGTCAGACGTGCATGTTGTAGTTCTCACACGCGTGAAAGCCCTATATAATGAAAGCCCGATGCTGATTGGCTGCTTAAAAAAAAATTAAGATGTTTATTTTTTTATCAGCCCATCAGCTGATCAGCATCGAGTTTTCATCACATCGAGCTTTCATGTTTGCCATCTTGGTTTTTGAGTCAGTTTTCTGGTTGTTATCGTCGTCTTTTACCCTGAATTTCCCTCATAAATCAAAGCCCTGCCCTCTTTCCACAAAATTAAACCTGCTGATATGATATTCAACATGTTCAAGAACTGAAGAAGGTGTCATTGCCAATTGTTCAGATGTGCCAAGAAATATCATAATGTCAATTTTGAGTGTCATTTAATCAACTGTTTTGGTGAGTCTTTCCCTTCCTATATAGGAACAGGGTCCTAAAAGTAAGGATTACCGCATTTTTAGTAGGACCGCCCTGTGTGACACTGAAAGTGAAACTGGAACTAAACGCTGTGCTGTGCTAGCTATCTGACTCGAGACAAGTCACTGCTCAATATTCACATAAAACCCTGCTTTACTTACCTTCTCCAAAAGATTGGAGATGTGATAAGAAACACTCGCCATGGTTCAATTATTTCTCTTGAGCTGACTTCTAGTACCTGTATTTAAATTTTACAAGTAGAGAGCAGAGAATTCAACCAAAACTTCTGTTCTTGTCTACCACTAACTAGCAGACATGGCCGGCCACATTAACAAAGTGCGCGTGCGCGCTTGAAGTGACAAAACTGTTATCAAAAGAGGGCGCAATACATGCACCGACAAGATTTAGTTGATCGATTGTTGTCACAGGAAGAGCCGGCCTCTTTTTTCCTTTTGTGGGGTGGTGGTAATTCGCTGGGAAAACGGTGAAAAACAGTATTCATGTAAATTGCTGAGCTTATTCCACCCTAGAATAGACAAGCCTTAATGAATGAAATGAATGAATGAAAACAAATATTAGGTTCCTGTTTGATGCCGATAAGTCATGCAGGTTAAACTTCTGTAAAGGCAAAAATAAATGTTTGCAACAACACTTCACAAATTTAAATAATGTAAAAGAGAATAAAAGAAAAGAAAAGAAAGGAAAGTACCTGGAAACAGTTTTTGGTATCATCCGCCCCCATAAAGGTTCTACCGCCCTACCGGGCAGGCCTGAAAGCCATGAATTTCTCGCGGCTCCCGACCATGGCCAACCTTTTGTTTCTCTTCAGTGGTGATAAACTTGCATTAGTGAAATCAACAATTTCGCGTGTAAAATAGGCCTATAATCGGTGTAAACGGTTAGAATAAAACACCGACAAACAGGATTTGAAATTATGAATAAAAGACTAAAACAGTGGCTCAGAAGTCAGAACGGCACAGAGGGGTGATGATGGGAGGAGTCGAGTGCATCCAGTCTGTCGATGGACGTGTCGATCGACGGCGCGGCTAACTTTCGGGTTTTGCTACTCGCTTCAAATCCCAGCCCTAAAACACAGTTGTGTGCAGCAGTCTTATCTTACAAACAAAATTTCCTTTGAAAAAAAAAAAATCGTCAAAAATGGCAGCCAATTTAATTTACTGCAGCGTGTTTCGTTTTCTTGTGAAACAGAAGCATGGATTAAAAAATACGCATTAGCCTATAGTCAAGCAGTAGTCAGATTCGCCAATCGTCTAAGCTTTTGTCTAAGCAAATGGGAAATGCACTTTAAATCCTGGGTTTTTTTAATGAATTTTAATGCAGTAAATATTTTCATTTCATTGCAATATTGCAAAACTAATTATCAAGTAGCTGGACAGTCCCTTTTTTGAAGAAAAGAAAACGGATTTGGCCCTATCAAAATATTGCCCAATCATATTGAGAAAGTTTGGACATTTGCTCGTCGCAAAACTGCGTGTACACGCTCAGTACGTGTGCTCATATCTTGTTTCAGGCCCGTTCCCTGATCCCAGACTATGGAACTTTTTATATGCCAGCGGCTAGCGCGGAGCACGTAGCCATGATGGCGTGGGGATCGGGTCCAGGGCCCACCGGTCAGAATGTATAATCTTTGGCCATCATGGGGTTGGCCGGCCGGATTTTAGCTTCGCGGGGTTTTGAGCAGCGGTGCTTATTATTTACATTCTCCATCTTTTCTTCTTCCCTTTTCCTTTCCCCTTCCTTCTCCATTCTTCATTATCTATTTTGCCGACAGCACCATGATTTTGCCGACAAAACTGACTAATGGGGGGGGGGGGGGGGGGGGGGGGTTGAGTTTGGAGTCATTGAATCAGCTATCCTGAGCTATAAACTGTAGGCTACAATATTATTCGGGGGCAAAAAAAGTGTGGAGGCCGGGGGGGGGGACCAAACGACGGGGTCTCGTCGCAATTCTTGGTCCCGTCGCTTTTTAATGTTAGTAAAAGTATGACAGACCCCCCATAATAATGGTTGTCTTATGTGGCGACTGTATCCTTTACAGACAGATAGACAACATCAACGATAGACAGGATCTTCAAAATGATATTGACCACCTCTGCACATGGGAACAACGATGGCAAATGAAGTTCAACAAGTCTAAATATTACACCATGCAAATTACCCACAAAAAAGAAGCCAATTCTAGCAGATCACAAGCTGGGGGATATGACACTACAAGCTGTAACCAACCACACTTACTTAGGAGTCGGAATCAACAACAAATTAAGCTGGGCAACTCATATTCAAAGTATCACCGCAAAAGCTAACCAAATCCTAGGACTGCTACGTAGAAATCTGTACAGCTGTTTTTCTGAAGTAAAAGCGAGGGCTTATAAAACGCTAGTCAGACCTCGTCTAGAGTACTGTTCATCAGTCTGGGATCCCCATCATAAGGAACATAAATTACAGCTGGAAGGGGTTCAACGACGATCTGCCAGATTTGTCCTCAACAACAACACAAAGAGGGAGAGCGTCACCAAAATGCTGTCTCAACTGGAATGGGAGCCCTTGGAACATCGTAGAGCTGCCCAGAGATTGACCCTCCTCTACAAATCTGTCAACAAAATCGTTGCCATCAATACGGACTCATACCAGGCCAAACCTAACCATTCTACAAGTACAAGACAACAGGCAGCAATCTCTTTCATCAAACCATCCGCACATAGGCCTAAAGATTGCTACAAGTTCTCATTATTCCCAAGAACTTTTGCAGAATGGAATAAATTACCACCGGAAATACGTCAAGCACCAATTTTGTCCCTCTATCTTTTTTATTCTCTTTTTGAGTCTCTCTCCCTCTCTATATCTTGGTTTTTTTTATTCTGAAGGAAAAGGGGATTCGCCCCTTACTGGTCAGTCCAGTAAGTAAGCAGCTTGCAGCAGCTGCAATAAAGTGGAAAATAACTGGGGAAAACATGGCACAGTTTAACTCCCTCTTGAGCCAAACCTGGATCCGCAACTGCATCATTATGTTTTATTCCAAAAAGTAAAGCAATCCATTCAATCAAAAACTTCCAGGATTCTCAGAAATTGATGGATCATGTCAGCCCTCTCATTGTATTGTTTACATTCAACAAAAGTTGAATTAACAGTAGAAAGTACAACCGAGAATGACTTTACACGCAGTATCCGAGCAATTTCTTTTATTTGTTTTTCGGGGAGGCGGTTACAGGATAATCTTGCATTCTTTTTTCGACCATATATGGAACATTTGAGAAGCGACATTTACAATTAACCAATCCGTACTTTCTGCCTCTCCCTGGCAGTTTTTACTGCTTATTACATAACTTCACATCTAATTGGATGTTCTTGATCTCTATCCTCTTTCCCTCCTATTTATTTGTTGTGGGATGGACAAGGATTTCCAATTAAGTATTTCGGAGTCGGTGCTTATTCTCTTGATGCATTACACCGACAAATACAATGTGAAATCGGACAAACTGGTCCCAAGCCTAAATTGTATTATGACTGAGATTTTGTAGAGTCAACACAAGAATCCAAACACAATTTCCAGATACTGCACCCCACCAGATCAGTGGTGTATCCGGGAGTAGCAGGGGCGGATCCAGGAATTTTCGCAGGGGGGGGGGTGTTTCATCAGCAAAAAAAATCTGAAAATGTACACAGGTTTTTTTCTCCGGACACTTAGCCTCCGTAAAATCAAAAACTGGGGGGGGGGGGGGGGGTTACCATATTTGAACAGGAGGACATTATACCAGTATACTTTTTTGGGGGTGTCACGGGCGGGGGGGGGGGGGGGGTTTCGACTTTTTTCCCCGGAATTTTGTATGATATATATATTTTTTTTTGACAGAGCTGGGGGGGGGGTGTTGACCCCCCCAAAAAAACCTCTGGATCCGCGCCTGGGTAGGTTTCCCAGGCGATATTTTGCTTGTTTTTTTCGGGTTGATTTTAGTTTTGTTTCTGTTTGATTTGTTTGCTTGTTTTGTTATTATTATTTTATTATTTGTTTTTTTTGTTGGGGGGGGGGGGGGGAAAGATGGGGATGGGTGTTTGGAAATAAAACGACACCACCTCATCAACCTTTACTTGACAGTATAGTGATTCCCTCCCCCAATTGGGTGATTTAGATAGTGACTAATTGTATCCACCTCTGGATCCTACACCTGGATACCCTACTGCCCTAGACGTAGCATTTTTCCAGTCTAGCAATGCACACTGCAGAGTCTTTGAAATCATTATCACACATGTGCCTTATCCCCATCCCTCCTTTGAAAAACACAATAAATTTGCGCGGATAAGCATTCATTAGATATGTTTAGCAGTTTCAATGTGCCATTTTAATAAGCAGGGGAAGGCTGAATGAGTTGATAAATTGTGTGGGACAGTTTAAGAGGTCATTGTAAAGAAAAGAACAACATGCATTGTGTATACAAATATTATACACTGGAATAAAATACATAAATTATAGAACAGAAAATTGGCAAAATTACAGCTGAATTCATAATTCAAAATAAACGATTTATACTTTGACAAATTCACAAATAATAAGGCACTGAAAGTAACAAAAGGGCAGCACAACATAAAACATTTCATTATTATAAATGTAGTGAATGTAATATATATATATATATTAGTGTAGTTGTTTCCAAGTATTTCTTTCATTTGGAATTTTCCTTTTTGATACAGTATTCTTCAAGCATGTTTCAGCCGCAAGCAGCTTTTCCCAAATTAGCATTCATACACATACTGAACCTGAAGGTAAACATTCCCACGTATAGATGTACATTCATGTAGGTCACAACTTGGTAACACTGACAATTACACGCAGGCACTTCCTCATTTCTAATGTTTCAACCATTTTTCATACTGTGTCTTGAATATGGTACAGGACAGTTTCATATCAAGATTGCAAAACTATAATGTCATATCAATTACTTCACTTGGATAATGTGTAGCATAGCTTGTGGTACAGCAAATCTCTCAGCTTTGATGTGTACGGTGCAGAGTACATGTAAGTCATATCTTTAAAAAAAGAAGAACTTGGCCTTAATGACATGATATATATACAAAAAATAACCCCCCAAAAACTGTAATGTGGGACGTGTTTTGTTTTCACCATGGAGAATGCATGGTGCCATGTGTCCTGAGCTGAAGGGAAAAAAAAACACCACGTGCCACACCATGCACATACGACTATGTTGTCACAGTGCCAGCATCAATCTTAAATCCCTGATGTCCAATTTTATCTCCAGCTATTTTACAACCCTGCATGATAGCTTCTAGTATGCTGCTACCCCTGGAAAGGGCATAAATGACTCCAGCGTTGAAAGTGTCTCCAGCACCCACAGTATCTTCTATCTTGGCAGGTGGAAAGGCTGGGGAGTGTACAACTTCACCATTTGGTCCTACAGCCCAAGCTCCTAGCTCACCCCAGGCACAAACTACTACAGCACTGCAAATAAAAAGGCAAATATACTTAACTGAATCAAAATAAAATATATCGAAAATTACAATAAATGTCTTAAGATGCCATAGAACCTAATGAATCAGCCATTTGATTAATAAAAAGAAACCATCACTGAAAAGTGAACAATTCATCATTCAAAACAGTACTTTTTCACTTGCAGGCCTAGGAGTTATGTTCATGTAGTTGCATGTTGGGGTCATTCCATGTCAATTCAACACGATTTTGGACCTGACCCTAACAGATTGAAATGATATTTGGTGTGTTGAATTGACACGGAATGACCCGTAGTCTTATGAAATCTGCTGCTTGCACACTCTGCTGCTTGCAGACAAGTATATATATTTTTAAAAGTTGAAGCAATAACTTACCCCGGCTTGACATCTTTACTAAACTTCAGCACACACTCTTCTCCATTTTGAAAACCAGATTCTTTAGCTACGTCTTTACTTAAAAAAACCTGAACACAAACAAAGAAAAGGAAGTAAATGGAACCACACAAAGTAGGCGTGTGATTTTGGCATTGGCAGCGGAACCAGGTTGGGGGGGGGGGGGGGGGGGCAATTGTCCCACCCCCACCAACTTGTTCCAACCGGGGGGGGGGGGGGGGGGGGATGCCATTTGCCCCAAATAGTGTAGTGTACAGTGTAGGCTCTATATCTGGCTAAACAAAAATAAGTTTTACAGTCTAGTGTCTTGGGAAATAACATGTTCGAATTATCACTTTCAATTATCAGGAAGGCCTACATATAATATGTCCTTTTCAAATTTGTAACGGCCAACTGGCTGGACCAGTGACCGGTGGTGATTGGCCACCACTTTCAAAACTGTTCTGCCCCCCCATGGATTTAGGCTACTTCTTTATGATATAAAATTCAAATCCCTTTTGAAAATATAACAAACATATAGCAGAGTTTCATCCACATATAAGTGTTTGTCCAAACTTCAGTTCAAAAACCAGCATTCACCAAGAAAAGGTAGTGTGTGAAACAATTTGATAGATGACTTATGAAACTAGCTGATTTCATAGAAGAGGCATATCAGCCATCATTCGACTTGCTTGTGGACAATCTTGTCTGTTTCAACATGAAAACTTGTGTGGCATACAGACTTTTGTGGCAGCCCAGTGGGTAAACAAGCCCAAATCAATGACCATAAGGGGCAACATGCATTTTTTGCATGGTGGTTTGGCTTGCAGCACTATCATGCTCTCTACCTGGGACTCAAATTTGTATGATATTCATAACACAGACAGACAGACATGACCCGAACATCCTCTCACTACAGACAAAAGTCTCCATCACCGCCATATTTACATCCACACACATAGTCGGCACATGCACAGTACAGATAAATGTATAAGACATTGCACTCACGACATCTGCCTTTGGAAGTAGTTTACAAAAGGAAGGTTTCAATCCAGGTTTCTCCAGTTCCAAAGATATTTGAATTCGGTCATGAGATTCTATGAACTGTCCATTGTGCATGACAACCCTTTCACTCATTTTCAGCACTTCTTCAACATTTCGACCCTATTTGGTTAAGAAATAAAGAAGCAATGAAAGGTAATTAAATAAAAACTGACGATTACTTTTCATTACAATAAACAATGCTTCAGATGACTTACCATAGGACTCAGTGTGTGTAATTTGTATAAACACCTTAACCCTCACCCACAGATTTTGTACATTAGCTGAAGCCAAACATATGGCATTTGCTATTTTTGAAATTCCAAAGTGTTCCATACGCATAGCAAACAAAGTAGCAACAGATATCATTATATGCAAACACTAATGTGAACATTGTTTATATTTTTTTTCTGACCCACAACAGAGTTGGGTGCAAAAATCTCAGCAGGGGGTAGTTTGGGAAAGTCCATAAAAATGTTAAATTGATGTCATTTTAAAAGTATTCTTATATTTGTTTATAGTTCAATTAATCAGATAAGTGCAGATTCTATGGGTGAGATAGAAACATGGGTGAGATAGAAACATTGGCTGCTTCACAGTTTGGTAGTTAAACATGATCTTTATAACTAGAAGCTTGACAGATAGCTGAGGGAGGTTTTTAGCAACTACTAGTGAACTTGTGAGGTATTTAAATGACAGAGAATACCTCAAAGTGGATCCACGTGTAGTTGTTGAGGTTCAATAATTCAAAGTCCTCATACATCACTTCTGGGAGGGATCTACAATGTGGATTTAATCAAAGAGAAAACATAAAGAAATAACAACTAAAACCAAAATTGAACCTTGACAGTAATGTCAATATTTAATTAAGGGTAAAGCAGGAGTTTACATTTGCTGTTGCATTTCTGGTAGTCCGGTCTGACGTTGAATGATATGCTTCAGTGCTAGTAAACCAATTTCAGTGGACTGTTTCATATCTTACAGAGATGAAACTGGCCTATGGGAAAAAATCGGAAAATAGGCCAAACAAAAATCCGTGTCTGAAATCTGGGCCGCATCCCAGTTACACATGTACGTATGTACAATAACAACATTTTACGATGAGAAAAATGTTAAGTGTTTTCATAAAATTAAAATGCCTGAATATATGGTTAGAGTAACGGCCTTATCAACAAAGAAGTTCACTTCCTACATGTACTTAAAGGGAAAATACAACATTTGCAAACATCAAAAAATAAAACTACCAAATCATTTTGAAATACCTTGCTGGACTGTTACTGTTATGACAGTGTAAAGCATCCTGTAAAATCATGGCACCTGGTATACTGTCATTTTCAAGAAAAGTGGTATTTTTGTATCAATTTCCAACGCTGGTTGGCCGACCAGCGTTGGAAAAAAACTGGCTTTTTTCAAATACTGGCCCCAATTGACCATCGCACTTGTTTGCAATCGATTACACACCTATGAACGGGTACAAGCCAGCTAGACTGGTTCCCTGACCTTACAATTCCCAAATGTATGTAAACTGCTCTGTTTCTTCTTATATGGAGTCAGGGAACCAGACTACAGGAAAACGATTGTTTTTCTTTGTTTTTATAGCATTTTCGAACCCAAAACCTCAAAAAAGTCAGTGTAACTATATTTGCTATATATTTCCGACCCCCCAATTCCATCCATTTCTGAAAATTACAGCAAAAGCAAATGATGTATATTCCCTTTAATTGAGAAAGTCAAGGAAAAAGTTTGAAAGGCAAGTGCAACACTCATGACACCATTCAAACATACTAACATAGGTGGGAAAAAATCATGCACTATCGTCTTTTTCTTTCAACAACTGCCAGTGAAATATACCACTTATGCTCTCTTTGCCATCCTCAAGATCATCATGATTTTTAAAGCATTGCATTTTATTTTTGATATAAATGGCCTATTCCCCTACCCTACCAGTGGAGATAGTCAATGCTTCAACTTGTTGCCAACATTTCTATGATTGCTCAAGGAGTTTCAGGAGAACATTCCAAGTCAGGTGACTTGAATGGCAACAGAGCTAACACTTGATTTACTCCTACCTGTTGCTGTGCAGAATTGTTCTAGTTCCTGAGGATGAGTTGACAATAATACATGACATGGGTGGCTTGCAGTTGTTGTGGTATATGCAGTGATCAATGAGAACTCCATATTTGTGAAAGTCTTCCACCATTAACCTGCAATAAAATACAACATAACATTGTTCTGTAATTCTATTGCCAAACATAATATCAGCTGGGAGTGGCAACCACATGGTGATGAGTAAACATCACACAATCCTTTCTTTGTAATAACCTCAACCTAATCTTCTAACTTTGGCAACTTAAAGGCATATAGGATCATTTACTTTTCAAGCATTTTGTTCGTTTGCAATAATAACACCACTCAATATCCAAAGAAGAATGTTCAAAACCTAACCTGTCAAAGTTGCAACCCAGCCACTTTTTGAGAAAACAGTTACAAACAATGCACAACCTTTTGATCACATAACACGATTTCGTCGATAGCAATCTTTACTTACAAAAATCAGTCAATTGACTGACGGAATAATTTCAAGGGGTGTTTAGTACCAGTACAATCTTTAATCAAAGTAAGCTTTAAATACAAATAGATAGGCAGTGGGAAAACTTACCGTGATAAAGTACTGTCTGCCAGTGTACCAATAAATTCAGTCTTTACTCCAAGTTGTGCCAGAACAACAGAAGTGTTGGCAGCATTGCCTCCCCTCTCCCACAACTGATCCTGAACTCTGATCGTTTTAAAGGTAATATAAAACATTTGCTTTCGCTGTAATTTTGAGATATGGATGGTTTTGGGTGTAAGTATTTTATAGCAACTATCGTTACACTGACCTGTTAAAAGTTTAGTGTTCATAGACAAAGATAGATGCTAGAAAAACCAAGAAAGAAATGATGTTATTGTAGTTCTGGTTCCCTGACCCTAATTCAGACGAAACAGAGCAATTAATAAACATTAGGGAATTGTCAGGTCAGGGAACCAGACTAGCTGGCTTGAACCCGCTCACGGATGTGTATTACCGATTGCAAACAAAATGAGGACTAACTAAATTTGGGGGCAGTATTTGAAACAAGTCAGGTTTTTCCAATCATCGTTGGAAATTGATACAAAAAAACGATTTCACAGGATACTTGAGACTTTAATTTAAAGGTATTTTATGATAATTTATTAATTTGGTAGTTTTTTTCTTGACATTTGCAAATGAAAACTAAACCATACACATTTAGTGAATCATTATATTGAATGCAATCTGAAATTTAACCAAGCAAAGGACCTTATTCACTCTTACAGTGTATGAGACAAATCTCCATCCTCCATAATCATTCACTACATTGCATATGCTCGTAGCACAAGAAAACAAGTGCGAAAAATGTCATCTCTGTTCGGAACAAGTTTTCAACATTTGGTGTATGCAAACACACAAACAAACAACCCAACAAACAAACAAACTAAAAAGTGTGGTACTAGAAAGAAAGTCAAAGCTTCATACCCTGGATCCCTATCATTATATATGTATGTCAGAAGGGTTGTCACTGCATAATAAATGTTGTGTTACACAAGTAAAAAAGAAACTTAAAGTTGGTCTCAAAAATGGTACATAAAAGGTCAAGATATTGTTGAAGTTCTTACTCAGCGGACTTCTGACAGCTAATGATGGTGTAGGGGTGTCCCCTAGAATATTAGATTTGCTCAAGTCCTGACATGCTTGTGTTGGAACACAACTGAACAGCCAGAAAATGTAACACTGTATTAATAAACCTATTTGAATTTGGTTTTTGACTAATTCTCTTGTTTTACAATAAACATCTACTTGCCTCATAAGGACACTTGCCCATACCTAGTGTCTGTGTCTTCTAGTGGGTAATTATCCAGCACATTTATGATGTCAAGGCATACAAGGCCCACAATAAGAGTCCTCCTTTCGCCTGTATGACGGGATGAGTTACTCATGTCACATTCACAGGCCATATCCTGTCTTCTTTTGTTTTCATCACACCTGTAAGAAAGATTACATTTTCATTTCTATCTGGATGTTTACACACATGTACTATAATTAAATAATTAAAATTATAGGCTGTGGCTATAAGTTGAGTATTGTGCATGCATATATGTCAGTTGTCATGTGAATGATTGCCGCAGATTGGATTTTGTCTTAAAAAATCCTCCTGAGCCACGAATCAGAAAGAAAAGATGAACTCTGTTGATCAATGAGTTAACAACCATATATAGATTTGCAATGTTGTGTTGCAATGCTGAAACAATAGCAACTGCATGAGAAACAATTTCACATACACTTTGATCTACTAGTAGTCCATTGTTACAATGGCGTTATTCATTCCCCATACAGCTAGAGAAAGTCACTTTTGTGTGTGGGTCTGTTGATGAGATCAGAGCCCAGACTCTGAGGCACATGCAGATCCATCCACATGTTGGGCAGTGTACACCCATTGCATGAGGTGGTTGCATGAGGTCCTTAGCAAGCCTGAGGACTTCTTCAGAGGCAAAAGCAGAGGCACAAGAAACAAACATGTGTCATTTATGATTTATACATTGTTTTTTTTAGTGAATGTGTTATTTATTTTTTTTAATTCATGTAAGACTTATTCTTTGGGTAATTTCAAGTTTAGAAGTTACACATTACACATGTACTTTACATTTAATTAATTTTATTGTACATGTATTTTATTTTATTTCATAATAGGCCAATAGTATGCCCAATTTTACTTTTCGTGCGATAGGAGGTGTGACTTATATTTTGTTCTTGCCCAGGCTATTTTTTACTCATAACATTTTACGACTTTATTTATCTCTTTATTTATTGACTTCAATTTTGTCTAAATAATACTTTTTGTATGCAGTAAAATATGAGTAAGTTACTAATAATATGTTTGGAAGTGTTTATATTTCAGTTTTTATAGTTCTGATTTTATTAAGGGAATAAATGTGTGCTCCGGAGGTTTTTATCACTCGTTTAATACCGCTTAGAGTCTGGGTGCTGATAATTACCCGAGCCGAAGGCGAGGGTAATTATCAGCACCCAGACTCTAAGCGGTATTAAACAGAGTGATAAATACCGACCGAGCACATATTTATTCCCATTCATAAATACCTTATCCGTAAAAAAATATCAAATAATTCGTTCAAAAAATCCCGATTTTGTTCAACAAGTTCACTTCATGCTTTTTGAAACATCCCTCTAGCAAAATAATGGAGTGTTCAGCTGGCGAGTAAGATGTAAACAACCCTTTTATGGAGATTGACGCGCGCGTAGCATGTTCTGCGCGATGTCACGCAGAACGCACCTGGGGCGTTGCGTTTTGAATTTAGAACTATAAAATTCTGTCTCGCTTGTAGTGTTGCGCATGCCTACGTGAGGATTGTGAACGTTCAACCAATGAAACGTTAAGAGGCACTGGATTTTTAGGAGTCCACATTTTGTTGTGACACTGGAAAAGTGTTTAAGACCAGCTAGCCATGTCTTTATCATCTGTTTAATACCGGCCACGTGACGGGCTCTCGACCAATAGGAATGGCTAAACTGTCTGAGGTATTTATGAATGTCTATTATCTATAGGCCTACCGGGGTATTTGTGTTTTCGTTATGTTTACAGTTTGGATTAATCTGAAATTAAATTGTTGTTAAATTGAGGAAAGATGGCGTGAACAATGATGCAATTATTATTTGTTTTTAATGAAAACAATGAAGCTACTTGAATCATTATAGGGCTATATCATTAATTTTATCAAACATTTTCCAATGGAATGATTGAAAACATGTCCTCACGATGGGTCCAAGTTGGTAGTGGGTCCAAGTTGGTAGTGGGTCCGAGTTGGTCTTGGGTCCGAGTTGGTAGTGGGTACAAGTTGGTAGTGGGTCAAAGTTGGTATGGGTCCGACTTGGCATGGGTCCGACTTGGTTTGGGTCCGAGTTGGATCGAAACCACAGGTAGGGCCTGAGGAATTTGTTCCTATGACTTTATGAGGCTACACAGGGTTCGACTTTAGTGGTAGCCGGCTAGCCAAATACTAGTCAAAACAGCGGTGGGCTAGTCAAACTATTCCTTCAGTAGCCCGGATGGCGAGTCAAACATTTATTGGGCTATATGGCAAAGATGAAAGGACAGGAAGAAATAAATCAATTCAGAAAGCAAACCTGTATCAATTTGTGTCAAATTTGATTACGATCTGTTTATTAAAAACACCAAGAATATTGTCTCAGGATACACGCTTTACATGTACATATGTACATTGAACTTGTTTATGAGACACTCTATAAAAGAAACACATGTGGGCTAGTGAAAATGCCCGCGTGCTAGTTAAGAGTCTGTTTAAGTAGTCCAGCTGGATAGTGGAAAAAAAGTTTAGGTCGAACCCTGTTGATAATGTTTGTTTCCATTTTTCATCATAGATTGTATCAGTGAAGGTCAGTCATTGCAAAATTGTTGAAAAGACATGAATCTGGGACTGACAAACATGTCTAATTTTGTTTGAACATACTTTGAAATCACACTTGACTCTCCAGAGACTTTGTACACAACCAAAGAACTGGCGTCTCGATAATACTTTTCCATCATTTCCATTTTACTCAGACTTTGCTTTTGAAATGAGATTCCCATTACAGTTTTAGTGGTTTAGCCAGCCATGAAATGTTGTAATGTCAGTCACATGTAATGTCAGACACAGAGTCTTATTTGCATATTTTCTTAATTAATTAAAACTATCACTTTACATCTCCTTATATGTACACATGGTAAACACTAATGCTCTTTTACTGGCATGGCTCCAATTAAGGGTTACACCTCTATGTTCCGACACCCCTATGTTACGACTGCACATATTCCTATTCCTAACCCTAACCCTAACCGGGAGTAACACAATCTAGGTTGTCGGAACATAGGGGTGTCGGAACATAGAGCAGTCACCCAATTAAGAGCATAAGCCAGGCATGTTGGACTCGTTGGATGCCTTGTCTGCTTCATCAGAGCCATGGACATGATGGAGGAAGCACTGACTTGCATGACATCGATTGGCAAAAGGAATACAAAGTGACATGAGCCGCTCACTTTTCCCGCTGGCACGGCTGGATATACGGGCAAGAGAGATTTTGATTGAAAACCCAACACCATGTGTTCTGCAATAGTTTGAGGTTTAACAAAGCCAGTAAAATGTATTGTAACCCTCACCGGCCTAGTAACACTAAACAGAGAGGGAGCCTTCGTCAGCTAGTTACCGTCGACGCGTCCTTAGTTTCATGCATTGGAGGATATAGGAAAGAATAGGATTCGTCACTTTCGTGTCAACTCATTCTGATTCAACTCGGTCCCAGGTCAACTTGGTCTCCATGGGAAATTGTACGTAAAAAGATATTGTAATTTTATTGTAATAACATGACGATCTCAAGTGTTGGGCAACAGGGGCAGTACGACCGTACCGTATGTGCACCAGCGCAAGCCAGGAGTCACACAAAATCAATTAATGCGCTTGCAGTTGGGTCCTAAGTGCACGCGCGATCCAGAACTAGGCAAAAACAAATGGGTCATTCGTTTGCGAATTTTCAAATATTAGAGACTCTACAACTTATTTTGATTCAACAAACATTCGATGGAAGAGTTTATACGACTGTAGTGCTTGAAATTCGAAATCACACGGTACGAGTGATGTACCGAGGAGAAAATTTATCGTTGATTCACAGCTCCCGTGATTTTCTACAAACGGTCCAAACATGTCAAACTGGGAGTCAGAAATCTCGCCAAAATTCCTGTTCTAAAGATGTCTAATTTTCGTGAAATTTCATGTTGAAATTTGAATACGCAAACTTTAACGTGTGCAAACGAATCTGGAAATTTCACGAAAAATAGACATCTGAAAAAGGCAGCACTTTCTGATTAGCCTGTCAAGCGCAATTTGAGTCCCCCTCACAAATTTAAACTTGCATTTATTACATTGCTCCATTTTAATTTGCATCCTCACATTACAACTTGCAAAAAGGCGATCGCAATTTCAGAACCTTGCGGGTGGGATTTTCATTGATGAAGAAAAAAACATTCTACTTAAAACACAAGTACACGGAGAAATGAATTAATAAATAATGGAATAAATTAATGACCAATAAAAATAATAAAAAGGGAAATTCACTAAGCGTCAATGAAAAGAAACACTGAGATTTAGCAATGCTTATCAGAGAAGTTTTTTAGGGGCGGGGCAGGGACGGGACCGGGCAAGCAATCAATAAGCACAGTAGCGGCGATTGCCTGCAAAGTGTACATAGTAAAGTTGTTCATTAATGGAGACCAGCTTCAAGTTGTTTGCCTTGTAAAACAAATTACCTTTTTATTTATATTCTTAAATGTAAATAAATCATAATGTCCAATGTGTAACCCGTTGTTAACGTAAAAAGAATGATTATTGGCTTTTCCGCAAAGTTGCGGAAAAGCCTTTGTTTCTCTACGAATTTTTTTTTTTTTTTTCCTCTTGGGACTTCCAACCAAAATGCCATAGACTTTGTGCACGTTTTTTCTAGCAAACACTTTTGGCATAAAACAAAGTCATATGACAACAAAACTTAATATAGTCACAGAACATATAGCAAAGGTCTTTCGCGAAGATAGACCCAATGATGACGTCATCATGGGTCATGTGACGTCATCGCAACGTTGCATATTTCAAAGCCCTATATCTACAGAACGGTATGTCCGATTGGCTTGAAACTCAGCATGTGGTTAGACCGGGAAGTGTTATAGATAAAATTTGAGATGACGTCATCGATGACGTCATCATGACGTCATCATGTGATTTTATATTTAATTTTGAATTTTTGAAGACTTTTGCCATATCTCACTAACGCAATATGATAAATTCGAAATTCTTTTTGTATTAGGTTCGCTGGGCAATAGATGTATGCACAAAATTTGGAAAAATGCGTGACGTCCTGATGACGTCAGCAAAAATGCGATTTTTTGAAACACTTATAAGGGAACGTCCGATCGTCATGAAACTTGGTGGGTGGGTAGATAATGACACTAGTACACAAAATCTTGAATGACGTCACGATGACGTCATCGGTCGATTTTTAAAGATTTTTTTAATATTGCTTATTTTATTCTGCTTACAAAATTTAACACTTTTATTAATCCGATTGTTTTCAAACTTGGTACAGACTAAAACCACAATAAAATAATGAGCACTGCCAAGTATTGTTACGATGACGTCATCATTAGACATGTGACATCATCGTTAACTTGTATATTTTAAGCCCCTATATCTCACGAACAGTACATCAGATTGGGTTGAAACTTTGTATGGGGGTAGGCTCGGATGTGTTACAAATAAATATTGAGGTGACGTCATCATAACGTCATCGTGTGATTTTATATAGATTTTTGAAGTTTTGGACCTTTAAGCCATATATCACGAACCCAATATATTAAATTTAAAATTCTTTTGGTATTAGGTTTGTTAGGCAATAGGTATATGTACAAAATTTTGAAAAATGTGTGACGTCATGATGACGTCATCAAACATGCGCTTTTTTGAAACACATATAAGATAATGTCAGATCGTCATGAAATTTGGTGGGTGGGTAGATAATAACACTAGTACACAACATCTTTAATGACGTCACGATGACGTCATTAGTATATTTTTTACGATTTTTTTAATATTGCCAATTTTATTCTGCTTCGGAAATTTAACACTTTCATTAATCCGATTGTTTCAAACTTGGAACAGACTAAAACCACAATAAAATAATGAGCACTGCCAAGTATTGTTAGAATGACGTCATCACTAGACATGTGACGTCATCGTTTGTATATTTTAAGCCTCTATATCTCATCAACAGTAATATTTAGATTGGGTTGAAATTTGGTATGGGGGCAGGCCGGGATGTGTTACAAATAAATATTGAGCTGACGTCATCATGACGTCATCTTGTGATTATATATATATATTTTATATATAAGACTTTTGCCGTACCTCACAAATGCAATATGCCAAAATCAAATTTCCCTTTGAATGAGGTTTGTTAGACAAAACATAAATGCACACAGTTTTGCACCAAACCAAAAACATGACCCCAATTAAAAAAAACATCATGCGGAAAAGCCCTATGCTCTGTTGCAAACAGACATAGACCTCTAGTTATCCCTTCGATTGTTCAAGTTTTTACGTTATAGTAATCATTTACACTACTTTTAAAATGCTTTAATATTACATGTTACTTGTTTTTACTGTACAATTAAAAACGTACAAGTTTATTCTTAAAAAAAAATACAAATTTAATTAATTCAGCAATTAAGTAATAGGACGGTACAATAATTTATATATTGTTTTTAGAAATACTTGCATAAAATTTTGAGCGCTGTGTACACTTCAAAAATGCATAATTTGAAAAAATATTAATTAATGAAGACATTACTAATTTAATTAATTAATTAAATTTATTACTTTAGCAATCATTTTATTGCAGGCTACTTAAAAACGCTATGCATATAAATTGGTAATTATTTTAAAAAGTAAATAAATTTGCAAATGATTTAATTACTGAATTCAATTTATTAATCTAATTAATTAATTTTACTTAATGAATAAATATGTTGTTTATTAAACTAAAATCCTAATGAGCCATAATCAATAATACACATCATTCATGATGCAAAGTGCATTTTGTTCGCATTTATACCACTCCTTATCTCTCCAGTTTCTACACAGTCAACATCATTAGCATATTAATAAAATGTTTCAAAAAAGGCATTAAGGCATTGATGCCAATGTCTCCCGAAGCTCAGTGATGCTATTAAATCGGAAAAAAAATCTGCTTTAAAAATAATGTTACATATTTATCTGCATGAGTATAGGCCTACCTGGAAAAAAAATAGTTTAGCGGCTTTGTATGCGTGGGCAAAATCTATGCAGTGCGCAAGTTTAAACTTGCGTGCGCAATTTGTAGCAAGGAAATTAATGCGCGCGCAAGTTTAAACTTGCGTGCGCGCAGGTTTAAACTTGCGCGGGGGACTCAAATTGCGCTCGACAGCCACATTTAGCATGGGGCTAACCCACATGAGAATTAGAATCCTAAATGCGGAAGCGTCTTCCTGTATAACAGTGAACTTTGGACTCTAACAAAAACCTTGGAGAACCAAATTGATGCTTTCCACAGACGTCATCTTAGATACAAACTAGGAATTCGCTGGCCAGAAAAGATATCAAATGAAGACCTGTACACCAAAACCAACCAAAAGCCGTGGAGTGTAAACATCAAAACAAAAAGATTGAGCTGGCTCGGTCATCTACTGCGTCTGCCACAAGACGCACCAGCAAAGATTGCTCATGACGAAATACAAAGAAAAGTGAAAAGACCGGCAGGGGGGAAGAAACGAACATGGTTAGACACAATTAACAACGACCTCAAACCCCTAGGCAGCATAGACCTGAACAAGGAGACCAATGACAGAGCTGGCTGGAGACAACAGATCCGACGCGCAATGTTTAATTAGAAAACGAGTGCGCAACAGACGACGATGGGGCTAAACTTGAAGTTGCTGCAGAAAATGTTCAATTTTTTTCCAACCTCCAAACCTTCCTGTCAGGCAATGTTTGGCCCTCTCGGTTAGGTAATAATAATAATAATAATAAGCAAAGATTTATATAGCGCCCAATCCATCGAAAAGACAATGCTCCAGGGCGCTTACAGAGTAACATATACAAAATCCCTTTAAACACAAAGTAATTATTAGAATTAACAAGAAAAATGTAAAAATCAGTTTAAAATCAGCATGAAATTACAAACAAAAAATGACAAGTAAATATAGAAATATACAATATTTTAAATAAAGGTAAGTAAATGTAAAACAGACCAGCTGTGACCGCATATACAATAAAATGTTTGTTAAAAGAGACATAGGCCCTACACCAAAACTTAATTCCTAAAGAAAAATATAGAATGGGAAATAAGTGCTAAAATAAACCTTCAGGGGATAGTAAAAACCACAGCAACTACAAATACATGTGTCTATAAGATCATAAAAATGCCTTTCGAAAGAAATAAGTTTTCAGCCCGGATTTAAAAACATCGATACTTTCTGTTTCCCTGAGGCACGAGTTCAGCTGGTTCCATAATAATTTAGGGGCAATGGCGGAAAAAGCTCTATCCCCAAATGTGCATAATCTGGTGTTACAGTGCTGTAGTCTGGTTTTATCACATGACAATCGTGCGTGTGTTTTTACGTGAACTGGAACAAGTAGTATGCAGTAATTCACTGAGATAGTCAGGGGCTAGGTACACTCTAGTGTAGGTTCGAATCTATGAAAAGTCAACAAAAACGTGAAATTTATTTACCAGAATTTCGCTGAATCGCTCACCAAGGTCCTGTCGTGAGCGTGAGCATGGCCTAGGTAAACAACGACGATAGCTGTCAACTCACGTGACTGAGGGCGCTGTGCTCTCAAATTGCACAGTACACGTGTAGTGTGTGGACCGGACGTACACACATACAGTACATTTGTACATGTACGTGTACACAGAACGTGTACGGATTTGCGAACGGTGGCAGACGGCAGACATGGCAGAGCGTGCAGAGTAAACTGCTTTTGGTGAGCGCAATTCTGGTAAATTTCACGTTTTTGTTTGACTTTTCAGAGATTTGAACCCACCCTAGCCCCATAAATGTGACCTATTTACTGGACTACCACCGTAAATATGCCACATTTATGGGGCTAACTAGCCCGACTGCATCTGGCCGTACTACCGCAAGCAGGCAAGCTGTGTAGCCCAGGTGGACTCCCTTTCCTCCCTATCAAGTATCATGCCTATGTTACGGCGGGAGTCCAGGGTATGAAGTGCTCAAAACCGGGCGAATATGACCAATATTTTAAATATTTGTACCGTGTTGGAGAAGCTACTTTTTACGTCTTAGTATTCTATGAGTCCTTATCTATTGGGCTGCGATGCTGACCAACGTTAATCAGGAAAATAAACTCTAAAGCAACGTTAAACTTGTACTTTTTGTAGACTCTTTTCATCAGTTTCTCACAGGTGCCGAGTAGTCCAGTCGTAAATGGCGTACGTACGGCGCGTGCAACGTGAACGTGAAGTGCGCACGTGCAACTTCCTTAGTTAGTAACCGCCCTCATACGCATGCGCACTAACTTGTAGGCGTGGTCGCCTATCCAATGACCGAGCGTGTTTTCGTGACAGTTACTAGAAACATGTTCCGGCTTTTGCCATTGGTTGAGCGTTTTTGCGACTTCGGTCGGCTGGAGTGACATCACTGTTCCAACCAAAACTAAACAAAGGAGAGCGCTAGCGATTCGGTGAGAAACTGATGAAAAGAGACTACAAAAAGTACAAGTTTAACGTTGCTTTAGAGTTTATTTTCCTGATTAACGTCGGTCAGCATCACATATGGAATTCCTGAACACGCCCGATCAATAGATAAGGATACATAGAGTATGAAGGCGTGAAATAAGCTTCTAATTCTATAACGAGGTAAAACGTAACAAAAATTAGGTCAACATTTTGGATGGTATTATGTAGAGATTTCTCATCCTGGACGTCAGTCGTAATGCAATGAAGACTTCGTCCAACCTGGGCTAGCAAGCTGTGTAGTACGGCCTGTGTAGTACGGAACCTTTTCTGAACGTAAATTGAAATTTTCACTCACAATTTTCTCCAATTTTCATCGGAATTTTTGCAGAAATGAGTATATATAGTTGCTATTGATGTTTCATCATCCCATTACTGCCAGATTCAATTGTGTTTATTGAGACCATCATCACTTTATGATTGAAAGAAAACCGGAGTAACTTTCGACTTTGCGAGTTTTGTGTGAGGCACATACGTACGTCACACACACGTGTGCGTACCGCATGGCGCCAGCCGGGCCGGTGCCTACAGTGGACGGCCCCAACGTGGCTTCCAGGCAGGGTGACATCATTTTTACCGGCTCGCGGTTTGAACCATTCGCTGGTTTTTAAAGGCCAAATTTTTTATCCTTTCATTTTTTTTTCAACCCAAAGTATGCATCACTGTTTTTATGCCCCGCGGCAAAGCCGAAGGGGGATAACTTGAGAAATACTTCACATATGAACTTCAAATTTGCTGTTCCACAGACTTGTCAGCTTAATTTAAAGAAAGAAGACATTTTCTTTAAAAATTTATTCAATTTTGAGGCAGTGATTAATACGGGCGATGCCCAATAGTGCGCCTCCAAGAGTTTGCAACGCGTTGGCCAATCACAATGCGCAAAATCTGTCGACCCAATGCGCGTTTGGAAAAGGTCGACTGATTTCGCGCATTGTGATTGGCCAACGCGTTGCAAACTCTTGGAGGCGCACTATTGGGAATCGCCCGTATTAACCACTCTCATTGTTGAAGTTAACCCCTCATAGCCCTATGCCTTCAATGTGGCCACCACCTCTTTCCACATAAAAGATCTGCAGGAAGTCTAGTCCATTTCAACCTTTGCATAGCACACCAGCAAGCAATCATAGCCAGGTAAAACTTGGCCAAGTGCAGGTTTTGACCCTTGACAGATTAACAATGATGATGGCTTTTGATACACCCTGTATGTGCAGTGTAATCGCAAAGTGACCTGAACATATATTATAAAGTGACCTGAACATATATATTTTTCGCAAAGTTTTGCTTTTATTTTTGGGACTTGAGTCTTATTAGCCTTTGCTCGGGTCGAGTCAAATCGTCTGATGAGGGACTCAAGTCAAGACATTTGCTCGCAGTGACTCGAGTCGAGTCATTTACCCTTAGCGACTCGAGTTGAGTGGAGTCACCAAAAATTGTGACTCGAGTCGGACTTGATTGAAGTCATTGACTTGAGTCATTACAACTCTGATCCCAACTGCTCTTTTTCATTGTGACATGTATTCACAAGATATACACACATACTGTTGTACCTGTGCACTTGCAGTACTTGCTCATGTACAATATGTTGGCTGAATTTGAGGTAAAACTGTGTTTCCATGCAGTAAACCAATACATGTATTTAACCTTTCCTAGGAAAGTTTGAAGAGGTACAGTTAGCCAATGGGATGCATGTCATAAAGTTGGGCCAGAAAGCCAAGAGATAATGTTTATGCAAGAAGGGAATACCTGAGAATCATAATGAAATGAAGGATCTTCCAAAGAATGTAGAATGATTTCTCTCCACTTTAGGTACATGTACCGGTAGTTCCTGTTCCATGTTTTGTAGGAAGTCAAATTATAACTTGATAGTTTATGTGTTGATCTCCAACAGGTCACAGCAACATTGCGAGTTACTGTGATGTGATTGTAATGCAGACTGAAGTGAGCTGTTGGCATATTTCCTAAGCAGTAACATCGGAAAAGCATGGATTCCACAGTCAGTAATGCAGAGAAAGCGGACGTGTCACATGAACCGGTAACCAATGACTTGGATGAGCATGCAGTACCAGTCAGGAGAAAGAAGCAAGCAAAGACCTGTGCTGATACCAAGCCTGGAATCATTTACCTCAGCAGGATACCAACCTTCATGAAACCTAAACGCATCCAGCAAATATTCAGTCAATATGGAGAGTTGGGAAGGACATTTCTGCAAGCTGAAGGTATGGGAATTCCTGCCGACAAAAACCCACAGATGTATCAGATTTTTATTTCACACTGAAGAAATCCTGATATAGATTATATCAACTATGATCAAGTAGATCAGGTCATAATTTTGCAAATTAACTATACTACACTACACTACTATGTAGGCTAGACTGAACATGATTTAAAGAACCTCACGTGTACATGTATGTGTTAAATAAAGTTAAGACATTCGAAGCTGAACGTTGATAAGGCTAGAACCATTCCTATGACATGAAATGTTTTCATACTGTGGTCATACAATGCCAAAGTTGAACACCATCCAGGGAGCCTCATCGTGCTGAATAAAAGTTGTCTTTAGTTGTTGCAACATGCAATTTGGACATCAGTGTTAAGGGACAAACTAGTCACTTTTACATTTGTTTTGACTTTTTTTTACAGATAAGTATATTCGTCAAATGCGCAAGAAAAAAGGCGGTAACAAAGCTCGCTGCTTCTCAGAAGGATGGGTTGAGTTCAAGGACAAGAAAACTGCAAAGAGAGTGGCACTGACTCTAAACAACACCAGAGTGAGTGGCCAGAAACGAAGTCGCTATTATGATGACCTTTGGAGTATCAAGTATTTACATCGCTTTCAGTGGGCACATCTTGCAGGACAATTGGAATATGAACAACAGGTACAAAAACAACGAATGCGTGCAGAAATAATGCAAGTAAAAAAAGAAACAAATGTTTTCTTGAAAAATGTGGAAAAGAGCCAGTGGCTTGAGAGAATGGAAAATAAAAAGAAGAAACAAGGAAAGGAATGGACACACAGAATACAACAATACAAACAGCGTCCTGCGTATAGAACTGAACCCCGCTCAGGCAAAGTCACAGGCAGTTTACTAAGCAAGATTTTCGCCAAGTCCAAATAAAATGGTAATATTTTGCAGACATACTGTACAGGTTTGTACATGTTTTTTGGCAATATAAAAGGCATAACTATCAGGGAACGTTTTCACAAAGTGGTTTTCAGTTTAATAGAATAGAAAATAATAACTGCATAATGGATATTTTTATGGATTGAGTCACTGAATGATCAATGCCACCCATTATGTGTATAAACACTTTTGGAAAAGTATGCACCATAGGGTTTCTGTTCAAGTGCTTCATTATTAGTATTTGCTTCAAATGTAAAAAGTAATTAATGTGTAATAATGTGAATCACTGATTACAAGCCTGTTGGTCTTGGACCCTAGCTAGCATCGACATTAGTTTACTACCCAAATTTTTAGCAATCGGGGAATTAGTACTTTACTTTCCTGATAACACTGACTTTTGAAGTCGGTGAGCTACACCATAAATATACATGTACATAACGGTATATGACCAATAAGATATGAACTGTAGATTTAACTCTTTCGCTATGGTGAGCCGCTGACAGCAGCACACAAAAATTGTACATGTTGTACGGCAAGCCGCTGGCAGCGGCTCGGTGACGTCGCTGTGAATAAACATGGTATCCCCATGACGTGTGCCTTATCTACATAATTTATATCATATAACCTCTGACCCTAGTTTGAGCCGCTGCCAGCGGCTCTCCGTCTCGCCGGGGTTTGCTGCAGGTTATTGTGAGCAGTTTGTTTACAGAGATTCATTTAAAGATGGTGGCGTCCACATCGACACACGGTGGAATTTCCAGCGATTTATTACGTCCAAACATGAAAAAATCGGTAAATTAAATTCCGTAGCGAAAGAGTTAAGTTCCCAATATGTGCATGTACTTATCTTTATCTCGTACACTGTAATCCTAAACATGAGTTATGTGTTGGATTGAATGTTCATGTACGACGTCATGTTAATTGTGAAAATTTAACTGAGGGTCATTGCCCGATGGATCTGTATTGAAAGGGGATACAAAGTGAATGACCAAAATACAATATACAGGCAATGTGTTTTTTTAAACCTGATGTTCCGTTTATTCTTTTTTGGAAGACTCAGTCATTTAGGACATCATTTACCCTTTTCCTACTTACAAACTGTTTTAAGCCTTGTGATTTCCTATCCCGGGTTTAGCTTTTTGTAACCCTGGGGTTTTTAAGCCCTGCACTCTTTGAGCCCATTTGTTTAATTAATCCAAGTTCTCTGACATGTCTGAAAGCCGTTACAAGCAGTGCCCTGATTTTACAGGCAAACACATAGATCTCGGGACTGGATGTGAGATGAGATGGGGTTGGCAGTTGGGCTCAGTGTGCAATAACCCACTTTATATAATTGACATACAGATCCTTGTCATTTGATTGGTGGAACTCACATCACGTGACATTCTTTATTGCTCCCATTCACACCACCGGGGCTCAAAAAGGCCCATGGCGAACGGGAAATACTATTCAACAGTTAGGATCATTCTTGTTCCACGACACGGTATTTGTGTGCAAATGCATGCTGGTGCATGCGCGCATTCAGCTTTGCGCGTAGAGCGTATTGTTCCAAAAAGCCAGCGCTGCAGAGTTGGGTTCAAACATTTTCGTGAAGGGATGGTTTGGAAGAGAGAAATACATTTTCCACCGATTTTGTATTGAAATAAAAGTTCAAATATATCAAATGACAAGGATCTATATGTCAGTTATATAAAACAAATATTGAATGGCTTTAAATTGAGAAATGGGAGGAATATTATCGCTTGGTAAAATCTGGACTTTCCCAGTTCACTCGGCTTCGCCTCATGAAATGAAAAAGTCCAGATTTTATATATTCCTCCCATTTCACTCCGAGCCACTCAATATTTGTATAACATGTATACCTGTAAGAGCAACCCTGTCAATGAACCCCAAGGGCAGGGGTCAATGTGGGGTCTCAACCCAGTTGAACCCAGAAAAGGAAATGTGAATGCAACCTCAAACTGGGACAAGTTGGTTCTAAGACTTGCTGTTGAGGTATTAAACCTGGCACGTTAATAGTGGTAATTCAGTCCATAAAATAGCAGCATTCTGGAAGGTTATAAAAGGTACTTTATAAAAATATCAATTGCAAAATTAAATTTTAGGTTTGTTATTAAATACAGCTCATAATTTGACATCATAGGAAATTGTAAAAATATTGATTGATTGAAAAAGAGATTGTAAAAAAAATTATAAACATATCAATTTCAAATTAAACTTCAGGTTTGTTATTAAATACAGCTCATAATTCGACATCATAAGAGATTCATAAGAGATTGTCAGACATATTGCTAAACACTAAATGCATCAATAGGATAAATTATTTTGATAAAATTTCAGTTTCCACATATCATTTGATAGCTTGAGATATTGATTATGAAATTGTTCACATACATTGTACATGTAAGGGAAAAGTTACATTAGTAATTAAAGGGAATATACATCATTTTCTTTTGCTGTAATTTTCAGAAATGGATGGAATTGGGGGGTTGGAAATATATAGCAAATATAGTTACACTGACTTTTTTGAGGTTTTGGGTTCGAAAATGCTATAAAAACCAAGAAAAACAATCATTTTCCTGTAGTCTGGTTCCCTGACTCCATTTAAGAAGAAACAGAGCAGTTTACATACATTGGGGAATTGTAAGGTCAGGGAACCAATCTAGCTGGCTTGTACCCGTTCATAGGTGTGTAATCGATTGCAAACAAGTGCGATGGTCAACTGGGGCCAGTATTTGGAAAAAAAGCCAGTTTTTTCCAACGCTGATCGGCCGATCAGCGTTGGAAATTGATACAAAAATACCACTTTTCTTGAAAATGACAGTGTACCAGGTGCCATGATTTTACAGGATGCTTTACACTGTCATTCACGAACAGTCCAGCAAGGTATTTCAAAATGATTTGGTAGTTTAATTTTTTGATGTTTGCAAATGTTGTATTTTCCCTTTAAACAAAAAAATTCACCATGGAAAAATAATTTGTGGTTTTTACAAACAGTTCTTTCCCAATCACTAAAATTGAAAGTCAGCTTTTAAGGTTGTGGCTGTGAAAACTGAACTTAAAAGATTGTGTAAACACAAAATTAGGCATGGTTAAAAAGTAAATAAAAAATTCCATGAATGCTATCAATTTTACAAATGTTATCAAAGGAAGGAATACTTTTATCATTGTCGACTCACCCTTGTTTTAAGAAATTACAGTGAATGAGTATAAGTATTTCACAATACTGACCTGGCCATATCTGATATTCTAAGAAACTTTTAAGGTGAACTGACATACATGAACTGGAATATCAACCTGATAGGTCTGGCTAGGTCGGGGGCCGCCCGATGGTTCTTTAGGCACAAAATTTCCATAAGAGGGGGTTCGTTAGTCCGAAAATGAAATAAGGTTCGTTAATCCGAACATTTGATGCAATAGTCCGAAGGTTCATTAGTACGAAGGTTCATTTATCCGAAGGTTCGATAGTCCGAATTAAGAATAAGGTTAATCAGTCTGAAGGTTCAAAAGTCCGTAGCGAAAATAAGGTTCAATAGGTTCATTATTCCGAATTGACAATAAGGTTCGATAGTCCGAAAGGACTATAAAGTCCGATAGTCCGAATCGACAATAAGGTCTGATTGTCCGAAGTGTCATACTGACGAACCGCATTGCCCATTCGGACTATTGAACCTTATTCTCAATTCGGACTATTGAACCTTATTGTCAATTCAGACTATCGAACCCTACCGTATATTCGAACCATCGAACCTTCAAGGGCGGATCCAGGGGGGGGCCAAAGGGGGCCATGGCCCCCCCCAAAACGAAATCAATTTTTTTTTTTTTATGTGACATCGCAATAACGGCAGGCATTGAGTACACCACCATCTTTTCCTCAAAAAAAAACATTGGTTAAAGTGGTCAGAAATTGCCTCAGATCGCACCACAGAGCATCTAGAATCCAAAAAATTTTCGGGGCCCTTAAGCGGGCCCCGAACCCCACGCCGTAATTTTTTGACCCACTTTTTGGGGGGACCAAAAATTTTTTGGCCCCCCCCAAAATTGTGTTCTGGATCCGCCCTTGCGAACCTTATCATCTATTCGGACTATCGAGCCCTATCGTCTATTCAGACTATTTATTTATATTTATTTTATTTATTCCATTTCTTTACCCAGGGTATGCCCAAACAGTTAAAAACTGGTTTCCATTGGGGCCCTGCATACAATAAATAATGACTACAGACATGTATAATTATACAATATATTACAAATACAATAAAATTCAATACAGTGAGATAAAACATTATTTGAATAATGCATAGGTGTTAAGCAAATATTATAAATACAATATGTTTTGAACCTTCGGATTATCGAACCTTCGGACTATTGAACCTTCGGACTATTGAACCTACGGACTAATGAACCTTTGGACTAATGAACCTTCGGACTATCGAACCTTCGGACTATAACTAGCTAGGTCACACACACAAGTGCACCCACGTTTGTTTATGGTATAAATCGAGGATTTACTTGTTCCTCTTCCCCTTTTCTTTGTTCATACTGTAACTTTTTCGCAACAGCTCTCACTGGTTTTGTACACGTTTTCTAACCGAGGAGTCCTCGATTTGGTTCCTGTCCTTGATTCATCGATGATGTTACACGTGTGTGTCCTCAATTTACACCATAATCAAATGCAAGCAATACATGTGTGTGTTGTGACTTGAAGAGCATACTTGTACATGTAACCAAGTCACTGTACACACTACATGTATAATGATTTACAGGTTCTTCATTTATATATAAGGTAATATTGATATTAAACTGCATTTAACACAATTTAAAAATGAAATAAGACATTATTTTAAAATAACTAAAATATTACCACAAAAAGCAGGAGATTAAAACGAAAATTTACAAAAAAAGGACTGATTTTGAGACTTGTAATTTAAAGCAGATATCGTTCCAATGACAAGTGGATTGTGTGTCCATAGGTACCAGAAAAACAACAAAACAAAACAAAACAAAACAACACAGCTGTTTGTTTTCAGCCGTCAAAGTGCCTGAGTTTTGGAACAAAATGACATAAAAGAGTTTAAATTTAAGGAATGCAAAAAAAGTGAGGAAATTTGTCACATGTATTGATGCACATTTTAAGGCAGTGGTATGTATCATGTGTGGTTGCTGAAAAACGGTAAAAATTATTTTACATCGTGTGAAACCTATCCTTATTTTGAGATATTTTCTTTTATTATACTTTTAGAATATTGCTTGTAGAATTATTGATTGTAACAATAAGGAGAAAAAGACACTTGACAGAACAACTCTGAAACACTTCAGCGAGGAAGGTTCATGGAGATTATCCAATTATTCAAACATCTCCCCGAGATTTTGCCCCTAAAATAATCTTCAGTGAAGTAACAAATGAATACATGTAATTCATCTTAGTCAGTGGAGCTAAGTCTGGAGTTGACGTGACTGCCATAATGAGAAATCTGCCTGATTTAACGTTGATATCGTTGGTGGCACTGTAAGATAGGACTGAATGGAAGCCCTTGCAGCTAGCATACCTGATAGTATGCATTCATTAGCAGGGACTCCATGGACAATGCCTGCAATCATCCCTCCAGCCAAACTGAAAAGAAATGGATTCATAACGTTAAGACACCACAATAATTATCACTTTACTAGAAGAAAACTTTACTAGAAGAAAACAAAAATATATGCAACTATGTAAATGTATAAGGAAGACTCTACTCCTTGCACACTGTTTACCCTGCACCAAAGGCAACACAAATTCATTGTTTTCTGTGTGGTGTGCCCAAGTGTCAGCTGCCGGAGTTTTTAATCAGATTTTTTTTAAAGTACATGTGCATGTACATGTAAGCGTTCTTGCAGGGTTTTTTTTTGGGGGGGGGGGGGTTAAACACGATATGTCCTTCAAGTTCCTTGATTTTTTTTGCTCAAAAGTGAGGATTTTCCCACTTCCGGTTTTCAGTAGCAAGTACTTATTTCAAAGGTAGGCTTTCTGTGTTTGGGTGAATAATAAATAATTCGGATATTCAGTCGGATACATCGGACGAAAACGATGAAGAAAATGTCTGCCTGGAGATGATTGTGTCAAGTCGCCCCCTGACCATGTTGCCCCAGATTTTCTTGACCGCCTACATGGAAGCTGATTCCATCTTGGGATCTGGGTGCCATTCTTCTGTCACTTGCCAAAGCTCTGTTAAACCAGCAAGTACAATGTAGCTCTTCCCTCCACCAACTTACGATAAAAATCATATTTTTATTGGCTGCTGCTACCGCTTGCTGCAGAAGCTAGCTCTAAGCTCTGTCAGTGGAACCAGAACATATCCGTTGGGAACTTGGTGTTCGTCTCACAAAGAACAAGTAGGCTGATTTTTCGCATATTTTGACATATTTGTGCCAAGTTGGACACCCTTCTCTTCAGTAGCGGAGGTTAAGTGTTGGTGCCCCGTGAGAGCCCTGAAATACTACATTGCTCGCACTCAGCCTTTCACATGGATTTCAGAGGCTACAGATAGTCCTTCCGACAATTGTGGATCGAAATCACGATCACATGAAATATGCAGTGTGTCAACTTCTTGGTCCCATTTGCTCTGAGTCTCTCTTTCAGATATCTTGAAAGCAACCTGCTGGAAGAATCCATCCACCTTCACATCATGCTACTTGTAGGATGTCATGCAATCGGAGGGACACATGGACAGGAAAGTCCTCCAAGAACTTGCATGATCAGAAGCCCGCAAAGCTCCTCTAGAATACATAGGCAGCTCCCGGGTATGTCTAGACAACCTATGCATGATCTTTAGATTTCCATGATTGCCTAGTTTAGACTTTCTATTACCACTGCATGTCCGTTTTCTGTAATGGAATTCCTAAAATTCAAAGAGATTTTCCATTCTAGTAAGAAAACACTCGCCTCTGTTTACCATCCCTCCCATTTAGGGAACTAGTTACCAAAAAACCCACAACAACAAAATAATAATAATAATAATTTATTAATTTATAGTGCGCAAATTCCATTTAAAATATGTTCAAATGCGCATTACAGTCATAAAAAAATAAAAAATAAACAGACGTATATGCAAAATTCAACAATACAATGAACACTGATACAGGGTACAAAAAATCAATAAAAAGCTCTCATAAAAAGATGAGTTTTAAGTAATTGTTTAAAAACATTCAGGCTACTTGCTTCTCGGATATTTAAAGGGAATATACATCATTTGCTTTTGCTGTAATTTTCAGAAATGGATGGAATTGGGGGGTTGGAAATATAAAGCAAAGATAGTTACACTGACTTTTTGGAGGTTTTGGGTTCGAAAATGCTATAAAAACCAAGAAAAACGATCATTTTCCTGTAGTCTGGTTCCCTGACTCCATATAAGAAGAAACAGAGCAGTTTACATACATTGGGGAATTGTAAGGTCAGGGAACCAGTCTAGCTGGCTCGTACCCGTTCATAGGTTTGTAATCGATTGCAAACAAGTGCAATGGTCAATTGGGGCCAGTATTTGAAAAAAAAGCCAGTTGTTTCCAACGCTGATCGGCCGATCAGCGTTGGAAATTGATACAAAAATACCACTTTTCTTGAAAATGACAGTATACCAGGTGCCATAATTTTACAGGATGCTTTAGACTGTCATTTACCAACATCCTATTAAGGTATTTCGCAAAAACTTGGTAGTTTTATTTTTCGATGTTTGCAAATGTTGTATATTCCCTTTAATGGCAGTGCATTCCATAACTTAGGTGCAGCACACTCAAATGCACGATCACCAAGGGTGACCTTGGTTCGACTTGCTGAGTAACTGAGGAGTGTTTTGTCATTGGAAGATCTGAGATTGTAATTGGATGAAGATCGTTTTTGGATTAGATGGCATAAATATAAGGGAGCTAGACCATAAAGAATTTTATAAGTTATTAACAGAATTTTAAACTCAATCCTGAATCTCACCGGAAGCCAATGTAAATCAAAAAACAGTGGGGTGATATGACAGTACTTGTAAGCGTTACAGACTAGTCTGGCGCAGGAATTTTGCACACGTTGAAGCTGTGATATTTGAACGTCAGGCAATCCATAGAGGAGGCTATTGCAATAATCCAACCGACTAGAAATAAAAGAGTGAATTAACGTTTCAGTACATTCCCTGGTCAGATACTTTCTGATACGTCTAATATTATGTAAATAATAAAAAGCCGTACCACACGTTTTTGTGATATGAGTAGACATTGTCAAGTTAGCATCGAACCAGGCACCCAGACTCTTCACAACGGAGACAGGGGAAAGTCTGGACTCCCCAACATTGATGCTGTCAATATTAACCTTAGCCAATTGTTGGCGAGTACCCATGATAATAAATTCAGTTTTATCATCGTTTAACATCAACCCATTACTGAGCATCCATTTACGCACAACATGTATACAACCCTCCATTGCAGAAAGAGCAGACGCCTGGCTCGATGCATCATCTGGGCAAAAGGAAAGATAAAGTTGCGTATCGTCAGCATAACAATGCACATCTGGAAGTTGAGTCTCAATAATTTCGAACAAACTACTGGTATATAAAATAAACAACAAAGGACCTAAACAGGATCCTTGGGGTACACCCCACTCAAGGTCAAATTTCTGAGACAGTTTACCATGAACAGAGACCCGTTGAGATCGGTCAGACAAATAAGATTTAAACCAGAGGAGAACAGTCCCATCAATACCAAACTTGGACTGGAGCCTGTTCAACAAAACCGCATGATCTAAAGTATCGAAAGCAGAACTTAAATCAAGTAAGACTAATAAAGAAACATGTTGTTTGTCCATAGCCATTAGTAAATCGTTTTTAACTTTCAATAAGGCCGTCTCAGTACTATGGTGACTACGGTAGGCCGACTGAGTAATTGGATATAAACCGTTCAATGTTAAATGAGATTGTAGTTGGAATGCGACTGCCTTTTCCACCAACTTAGATATGAATTGAAGATTACTAACAGGCCTACAATTTTCCATCTTTAAGTCTAGACTAGGCTTTTTAAGCAATGGTAAAACCACTGCTGATTTCCAGGCTGCTGGGAAATGACCAGTACATAAAGAGGAATTAATCATTCTGGTTATAACAGGCAATAACAGATCTAAAGAACCCATAAGTAACTTCATTGGAATAGGGTCAAGGATACAACACTTCTTACTAGAACCTAAAATGAGCTTACGAACACCATCTTCAGAAAGTTGCACAAAATCGGTCAATGTTCCCCCAGACCTAGGTGATGAGGGTGTGGAGGAAGATAACTGAGGTGAGAAGGTCTCATTACTCAATCTCAACCTGATATTGGAAATCTTTTGAACAAAGAAATTACCCATCTCATTCGCAAGAATCGAATCATCGGTGTGCGGTGGCACAAGAGAGCTTTTGTTAAGATTGAGCAGAGACCTGCTAACCTGAAACAATTTCCGTTGATCACTACTATTTTCATTAATCAAGTTGGAATAGTAATCCTGACGAGCATTGTTCATCAAGAAAATGACCTTATTTCTGTTCAACTTAAACAAATCAAAATCACGCTGAAGCCCAGTTGTTCTCCATCTCCTTTCAGCTTTTCTACGCATTTTCTTAGCAATTCTGATTTCCTCATTAAACCATGGTACACAGGGCCGAGCAATAATCGTTTTTTTAACAACAGGAGCATGATGATCAACAATGTCACTAAGGATGGTATTATATGAAATGGCCAAATGGTCAAGATCATCAGATTTACCTTGGCTTGAGTCGTTATTACACAAATCAGATTCAGAGATTTCATTCTTAAACATATCCATATCTACAGAGCTAATCAAACAGAGCTAAAAACAAAAACTAGGACGAGCCATTGTGCTATGGGGTCCCTTGTGGGACATGAAGTGAGCGCAGAGCATGTGGCTTGGCTGCTTTTTTTCAGCGAGGTTTGTGAGCTGATATGCAAATGTACGTAAACAGAGATAAGTGTTTTCCTACTAGAATGGAAATGCCTTCAGATTTGGGAAACTTAAATCGGATTTGTACATGTACTTGTTAAAAAAAGAGTGTAATAAACTGACGAAGAATGTTACATGATACTACTGAGGGTCATACTAATTGCTTTCAACTGCTGATCTACATCAGCTTCTTAAAACAGCGTAGATATCAGCAAAAAAAAAGAGGGAATTTCGACAGGTTTGAGCCAACAGTTTGCTGATAATTTTCTCTCCTGCAAAAGTGATTTCCTTGTAGCATGGCAGTTGCCAACGATCTCGCCTTTGCCAGAAGCTTGGACTATACCACAATGCAGTATGGGTGTGCCATATCACATTTGATCATTTTTGGAACTACAGAAGTTATCAATGCAGCATACAATGTATATCACTGTTTCAAGGAGAGCAATGATAATCCACTTTAATGAGTTCAACTTGAGTCCCTGTTGTCACCTTGCCTTTGGCTGCAAAGCTTGCACGTCTTCCACTGGTATAATGAATGGTATGGTCCACACTATACTACCCACAGAGGCAAGATGGCTGCTAAGGTCATGGACTGCACTAGCATGCCAGAGAAGCTGCACTTCTCACAAGTGGAACCTCCTGTTTTTAAGCTGGAATCTCTTTCTAACTCATATACTACAAAGCAATGTGCCCCATATTTTAATTTAGAACTGTTGTTTTATTGATGGCAAATAGTATGACTGTTTATTGTGATGCACATGAACACAGCAACTGACCAATCTCCAGCTCCAGACACACTGGCCATGTTCTCAGTGGTGCATGCTGGGTAATGAACAGCAGACCTCTTAGATGTGGTTTCCTGTGGGGAATAAATAAACATGGCAAAGACCAAGACAATGAAACCTTCACATTTTATCAATTCAGCTTATTTTGTTTTCAAGAGTCGCAAATAAAGATGTCATTTTTTTTTTATAGTGCAGTGCATAACCATTTCCAGAAAAAAAAATGTAAAAAAAAAATTGAAAACACAAAGGAGCCAATTTCATGGAAATCAAATCCAGAACTGTAGTTGAAACCGGTTACGTCTCGATAGTCTGAAGTCCCATTGGTCTGAAGTCCCATTGGTCCGAAACATAATACTGTGTAGTTCCACTGGTTCAGGTTGACTGACCCTAACCCTAATCCTATGGGGCGTCGGACCAATGGGGCGTCGGACCAATGGGACTTCGGACCAATGGGATTTCAGACCAATGGGACTTCGGACCAATGGGCTGTCGGACCAATGGGACTTCGGACCAATGGGACGCCGGACCAATGGGACACCGGACTATAGAGACGTCCCCGTTGAAACCACCATGCAGGCATGCAACCTTTGCTTGCATCAGCTGATTTCCTTGTTTTTCACTTCACACTTCTGCCATTAAAAAAATGAAAAACAATGTGTAGAGTCTTGCAAAGTGTGGATGTTTCTTTTATGATACTTCCTAGTTGCATGCCTGTACCATGAAATTGTGGCATTGAACATTAATCTGGCAACTGACTGATAAGAATGCTATACATTATATACTAACCTTTACTGTGGTTGAACCAACAAGGAATGGTTGATTGGCCTCAGCATTTCTACACACAAGGACACCGTCTGCTCCAAGTGTGACTACAACACAGTAAATGTGATGTAATAACTGTTGGCTCAATTCTATGCTTTTCTTCATTTTCTCATGGAGTGTCAAACAACCTGAAATCACACATGTAGAAATGTCATAATTAAATATCTCTTCTACTTGTAATCTACATGTACCTAATATTATGCGTGTGAAATGAGATGGCCGAGTTCTTTGTTCAACCATTTACATTTTGTTCACATGCACCTAGGCATTTTCCCTTTGTGATTTATTGGATGATTTGTGATTCAAGCAAACTAAATCCTCTCTGATTGATCCCTGTCTATTTATCAGGTTTTCAATTGCTAGCATTGTGACTTTGGGTATGATCCATAGCTACATGGCATACACAAGTTTTGGGACCTACTTCTCAAATCGAATGATTTAGGTGTGTGAAGTCCATGCTACGACATATAACAGACCATTTAGTTCTGCACAGCAGAAACTTTACTAGGGTCTGGTTTGACACCATCTGGTGTGATGATGTGACCGAGGAACAGAACTTCCGTCTGGAAGAGTTCACACTTGCTCGGTTTCAGCTTCAGTCCAGCGTTTCCTAGTCGGCGTAGGACTTCACCAAGACGCTCAATTTGCTCGGAAAATGTTGATGACAGGATGATGATATCGTCTAGATATATCAGCAGAGTTCGCCATTGCAAACCTTTGAGTACTAGCTCCATACAGCGCTCAAAGGTACTGGGTGCGTTGCATAACCCAAAAGGCATGGTCACGTACTCGTACAGTCCACTTCGGGTTACGAACGCGGTTTTGAGACGGTCTTCCTTCTTCACTTCAATCTGCCAGTAGCCCGACTGCAGATCGAGGGTGCTGAAGATTTTTGCCCCACTCAGGCAATCTAGGCAGTCATCAACACGGGGTAGGAGATACGCGTCACGGCGCGTAACATCGTTCAGCTTACGATAGTCGACACACGGACGAGTTGTGCCGTCCTTTTTCCGGACAAAAACCATTGGTGATGCCCAGGGGGATGTTGACTCGCGGATCACACCCGCCTTGAGTTGGCTCTCGAGAACTTTCTCCTCCTCACCCTGAAATGCCTTGGGGGGACGGCGGGGAGGCTGTCGTATGGGGCGTGCGTCGCCGGTGTCAATAGTGTGCTGCACTATTGACGTTTTTCCCAAATCCTCCGCGGATTTGGCAAAAGTGTTCTCGTGGCTGGCCAAAAGTTCACACAATGCTTTCTGCTGGTGTGGGGACAGGTTTTCACAACTCCTCTCGTACAGTTTCTGTAGGTTTTCTGACCACTTGTCAGAAGGATTTGGGGTGTAGGGGACGGCGGGACTGACCGCGTTGACTGCGTATGACGTTGGGCGGGCATGCTCTCTGCACACTCGCATTACTCGATAGAGGTGATCGGTTTCACAGTTTTCCTGCTCCGCTATGAGTTCAACCGCATCAACTTCATGCAGATATCCAAGCGTTGTACCTGCTTGAAGTTCAATGTTCTCGGGTGATGTGTTCACAAGCCGGACGGGGATGCCGATGTCTTCTCGGTGGGGATCAATGAGTGAACTGCCAACCACAACATTGTGACGAAGGTTGGCAGGTTCAACGACTGCATACATGGATCTCAGTTTGTGATGATCAGCTATACCCTCTGCTACCCACTCGCTGCATGCTGGAATTGTAGTGTTCTGCTTCAGTGCGATCTTAACTACACGGGGAGGGGCTCCTTGGATTGTCCACTGGACCCAGTTACCGGCAATTCGTATGCCGTTACGTGCCTCCAATATGCAATCATAGTGGTATAGAAAGTCATAGCCAAGGATTCCTTCATCGCTGATGGGGGCGACAAATGCATCCCATTGGAAGTGCTGTTCACCAATCATCATGTCGATTGTGGCAACACCTTCAATGTCAATGGGTTCCTTGTTTGCAGTTTCTAGTTTTGTGCTTTTGCACGGGGGTTTGAGTTCAGGGCGTTTTTCAGCAGGGATCTGGCTGAAAAGTGCTGAAGAAATGATGGTCACCGCCGCTCCGGTGTCAACTAAAAGTTCGCTGTCTTGGTCGCATATCTGCACTCGCAAAAATGATGACATGCCTTGAAATTGCTGTCTACCCATTCGGATAGTGTTCTGTTCATTAGGACGGACCGGTGCCAGGCCGGACGGCACGGTCCGCGTTAGTTTTCCGTCTGTATGACGACGACCTCCTTGGCCGCTATGTCGGGGCACTTGTTTGCAAAGTGGCCGGGCTTGCCACATTTGAAACAAGTAACATCCATCTGCTGTTTCTTGGCTTCAGCAGGCTTGGCAGATTTCTGCTTGTTGGCGGGCTTATCTTTGATCAGTTTGACAATTCCGTTTAACCGTCGGTCGAGGTTGTCTTGGAACTGTTTAAAATGCATTTGGTTGACGAACCCGGGATCAACCTCAGATGCTGCCTGTACGGTGTTCACACGATGTGATTTTCCCGAGCTTGTGGTGTCACGGAGGCTCAGGAAGTTTTTCACCGCCGTTGTTGCCTCCTCAAGGGACTTGGGATTCGTCATGCCAACAGAAACTGCCATCTGTTGGTCGGGGAGGCCCTTCAGAAAATGGCGAAGGGCGATGCTCTCTCTGGTAACTGGATCTGCCGTAGGGTAGCCACGGAAGACGAGGCGGCGAATGTCGGCTACAAACTCCGCCAGCTTCTCCTTCGGCTGATGTCTCCTCGCTTCTAGCTGAGCGATGTAGTAATTTGGCAATTGTCGTTCGCCAAATCGTTTACCAAGCTCCTTCACCAGGGTGTCGGACGACTTGATTGCTTCGGGATCCAGTTGCTGGTACACGTACTCGGCCGCCTTCCCACGTAGACTGCTGACAAGTCGGAAGCGCTTTTCTTCCTCGGACCAGCCGCAAGCCTCAGCGAGACCCATCAGAGGTCGGACGAAGCCTTCCCATGACTTCGTGCTGTCAAATTCTCCTTGGCGAGGGAGAGGAACATCCAGCTTATGACTCGGCTGGGTTCGGAGAGGACGGGGCTCTGCTTGCTCTGCTGCTGTTGGTTTAGGGGCGTCAGCTTGTGGAACGGTGGAAGGGGCAGTACTGGGAGCGGACATCACTGGCTGTGAGTCCTTCGGCGATTTCGCTGAAACATTGGCATCTGTCTGCTCAGCCGTTGATGGGCTGTGTAATGCAGCAGTTGCTCGGAGTTGTTTCAGCTCTTTCTCTGCCTCCACTGAACGAAGCTTGAAAAGTTCGAACTGTTTTTTAAGTTCTTGGAGTTCTGCACTCTCTGCCTGTAGACTTGAATACAGGTTGGTGTCATCATCATCATACAACGACTGTAACCTGCGAGATTTTCGCTTGGCAGGCATGTTGGCTGCTGATATTGACAAGCAGAAAGTCAGAGTCTACAGCTGGGAGATCCGTTCAGTGGAGGGGTACATGAAGTGACTTAATTAAAAGTCATGGTATAGTTCGATGGTGTGTGTAAGTTCGTATCCCAGCGCTTGCCACCAGTGTAACGTCTCTCTGGGTTGAGAGACATTATCAAATAAAGAGTCAGATACAAATATCTTACACACACACACTAGTACTTTATTCGGGATTATTTACATCTCAGGTCAATAGAGGGCGCACTATATACAATGTAAAGTTAAGGCGTACATGTGTACATGTCGGGAACTCTGTCAGGGTCAGAGCCCAGATCATCCATCTAATGCATGGTATGCGGGAGCTCTGTGTAGGTCAGAGCTCGGCTCAAGTACCTAATGGGTGAGAGCCCAGTACAACAATGACCAGAACTGCCATTTCTGCGCGCTTTATATACACTTTTGGGTGTGCGTCTTAGCCAATGGGAGCATTGGATTCTGGTAGTTATGAATAATGCATCCGTGTACAAAGGCATGGGGAAAGTTCTCTATGGGAGATTTGTACACGATTGACTTAGACATTCTAGTGGGAGAAAGTCCGAGAGCAGAGGTTAGCGGGCGAAGTAGGATCACTCGTGGGTACCTTACGGGGAACTGATCCTAAAGGAAAAGGGAAGGGAATAACTTCTCGGTACATAGGTTTGTGTACAAGACTTAGTCTCTAAGACTAGGTAGGAATCTACACACTAAATGCTATGGAGTAAAACTATGAGACGAAGGACGTAACCTGACCTCTAGCTACCGTAGGTCTCGGCCAGTGAGTTAGCGGGACACACTCGCTGGGGTGTACGGGGTCACTAAGGGGTGAATACACGGGTAGGTTTTAGCGAGCCACATTCGCTAAATGCTTGGGTCAATGTGGGTCGGATGCGAGGTAAGGTGTGTGAGGGGAATTCGCATCGACTCCGGGGAAGGGAAGACGGAAAATGGCTAAGTCCTAAGTACATGTCCCATGGCGGTACATGTTCAATAGCAGTGAGTGCTACACGCATTGCGCGCTATACAATAGCGTACTGTACAATGTGCTGCACACTTCTACGTGTGTCTAAGACTTCGTGGTAAAGCTTCGCGCTCTGTGAGGGCACAGCATTACGCTGTGCACGGAGTGGAATGGACTGGTTGGGAAAGAAGTAAACTATGCAATTTGCGGGAACGCAACACTATTATTTTGAATACTGTACCTGGATATTCTGCAGCCTGCTTACTATCTAAACAGTTAGAAATCATGCACAACTCCTTGAAGTTGGGGGAAATGTAGGACAGAGTTTTCCAACAATCCGACTGGAATGGCTTGTATGACTTCACAATACAAGTTGGTTCATACCACACTGTGTATATACAAAAAGAAACACATTCTTCCAAGTAACACATGTTTTGAACCATGATACATATGCAATGAAGTTTGATTGCCAGCATGCTTTAACGATACTTTACTTGTGGGAAATCATAATTTGTATGTTCAGTATTAAGCTGTATTAAAGTAGTAGAAAGCTACACTAAATGACTAACCATACACAGCCTTCTGGGCGCATCAGTGTTCGTGCGCAAACCCGTGAAAAGCTCATAATTTTGTAGGACTTTTGTGCGGCTGTTTGGATATATACATTTGTTTTCTAAATTGATGTGTTAACAAAGCAAATATACCAAAAACCCAATATGCACAATCTTTAAATGGACATTTCACTTCCCTCTGTTCTGTTGTCCTTGCTCTATGGTTCAACAACGCACACGTTGCATCTGCATTTCTTGTACTCTCACGTTGCATTTAGAACTCACTGGTTAAACTCCTTTCTTTTCAGCTTATATCAATATGTTCTTTGATCATTCATATTCATTAAAAATACCTAACATCTTCTGTCATCACTCCCCATTACTAAATGAAATAGCAAATCAATAAGATATTAAGTATTTGAGAATTCCCATCAAAAGTTAACATCAGAGTTTTCATTGACCAATCTAATAACTTATATTTTTGGGGCCAGTATATGATAAACCAGAGGTTGAAGAAAACTTCCAGCATTGCTTCAAACATGTGACAAATATGTACTAATGCTGTCCTGAACTGTAAATTAAAAACCAATGACAATTCTTTTTTTGGTTTTTTTTGGCACTGCTATTTACACATTTGTTCTTCCAGACTGTTCTTCTTGAATGTCGTAGCATTGGTAGTAATAATTTACCTGGAATGTTGTGTTGAGAGCAATATTTGCAAATGTATTCAATGGTTTCTGTTGGTATGTTGCCATCAATACACACCAGTGGGGCTGACTGTAGCTGGCTCTCAAATTGAGTCACCTAAGGGATTACAGTCATTTTCAGTTATTCATTCATAAATCAAAGAAGAAAGTTAAGTGATTTTTACTGCAGGCTAATTTATAGTAATCTTCAAGGAGTTACTCATTCATAAATCGCAGAAAGAAGTTGTTATTTCTGCAGACTAATTATATTCATCTTGCGCATGACAAATCTCAGTGTGTAGGTGTTTGTGTTCATCATTTACTCAGTTTCGTCTCAATGATACATTGGCTTATCTTGAACCAAGCACTGACCCTGATCCTGAGGCAGTGTTGTAATCAAGTGACTTGAGTCCAGGCCGAATCCGAGTCTCGAGTCCGAGTCTCAAGTAATTTGGTTCAAGTCCGTGTCCAAGTCACGAGTCATTTGATTCAAGTCCGAGTCACACGTCTTTTGTTTTTAGGCCCCATGGATTGATTCCGATTTGTGTGTGCGCACGGGCCTTTGCGTTCCTTTGAGTGCAAGTGCGGGCAATTTGCGTGCCATTGCGTGTCAATGCAGGCAAGTGAGCACAGGCATGGGTTGCTATACTAAGAAATTGGGTTGCCGGCCAAGGCGGTACCAGACAAAGAGGTTGTGATGAAAGGACTGGAGGACCCTGGTGCATGTGGTGCCACAATGGTGTCTCGATTACTCTCTTGATTGATTGGGTATGTGGCTTTACTTGAATCGTACACTGGCTATATTCAATGGCTTTTCTGGCGTCATGTGATTTGAGCTCCAGATATTCTTGGGTTTTTTTTCGTTGAGAGCTTCTAAAGTTCACATAGTTTTAATTGAAAGACACTGAACTTCTTACTGGAAATGTGAAAGTCTGTTGAACGACTGGTTCATTTATTTCATTTTATTTCATATTAACTCCCGAACGTATATGGTCGTCTCGTCTTGACCTGCTGCGATTAACTCTTGGGACAACTTCTTTACGGAACATGTTCAAATGAATTTTCAAGAAAGTTCCAGTACATTATTCAAGTTCTTTTATCACCAATAGAAAGAGAAAGAATACACATGTTCAAATGCATTTTCATTATTCAACTTAGTTCTCCGAAACAGCCTGTGCTTTGCCGGCATCACTCAATACAAATCTTTGGAAATTCAACACACAGTCCATCATCAAAAGGCATCAAATCAAACCAGCAAGTATAGGCCCTGCTGTGCAATCAATCACAGTATCTGCAGGTACATACCGGTAGGCCTACATGTATCGTCATTATTTTTAATAAATTAGGCCCTAATTGGGGCCCGTTGAGAGTCAAGTGGAATGTTTTTGTTGCGATGAGGTATGTATTTGCATATGCCATTGAATTTCCTGTTCCTTTCATTGTCACTGCTGTATCCATTTTTTCTCATGGATATCAGATAAGATATTATGTGCCCTCAAATTTTCAATTTTTGAATTGCACCGACCCCAGCAAAATATTTGTACTGACGACATTCCGGTACCCGTCCGGATGCCACATTTCTTAATTACAGTAAATATAAAGGTTTTTTTTTTGAAGTTGGTACTCCAATTCATTCAAAGACTCTGACATTTGTTCACATTCACATAATTAACAAAGCAAACGTTGCGTAAAGATTGCGAGTAGGCCTATCAATTTTTCCTGAGAGGAAAGTGGTAACTTGGATGGTCATGTAAAATCGCGTAAATATTGCAACCCTTGTTGGAGTTACAAAAGTATTAACCATTCATTAAAAGAAATGCAGTCAGTGACTGCATGGATTCCCGTTGCCCATTGGATTGACTAATCAGAAACATTTCCTGTCGTAGGCCTACGTGTTGTACGTTTGAACAAGTCATTTTCGAATACATTGGTACAGTCCAACACGATGTTTCTGCATGTTTTTTTTTAAATGGTATACCGCCTGGCAATGAGTCCATTTGCGTGCCACTGCGTGCAAGTCTGTGCCGATGCGGGCTATACTAGGGGTTCCAAATCTCCTTTGTTTGAGTTTGCCCACATGCGCACGCGTGCACCCGGGGGCGCCCGCAAATCGGATTTAATCCATGGGGCCTTAGACATGGACACACATACCACGAAATGCGCTCTTGTGGAAATAGGAAGGGGTGCACATTTAATAACAGTACACTATCCTGAGGTATTTATGTTTACTGGGAAGTCAAGATGACATCAAGTATCAAATTCCAAGCTATTTTAGGAAAACTTTTAACCAAATTTAATCATTTATTACTAATGAGTCTTGTCACAGCCTTCAGTGAATGGTGCACCATTGGTGCACCATTGGCATGGTCAAGATAAAAGAATTCATGCATCAAGGCCAATAATAACTGCATAAGACCTACATCACACATTGACGGAGCAACTTATTACCAAGTTATACCTTGCTTGTACATATTTCCAGTAATAAGAAAAAGTCAGTGTAATGAGTCCAAGTTCTCAACATCAGACTGGCACTGCATATTATGCATACCAAGTAAGCGACAAATTTTGGAAATCAGGTCCAAAACACTAGAGTACATGTGTTTGGAGCAATGTTTCTGAAAAGAAACGCGAGACTGGAATAAAGACCAGTGCTTCAACGGCTCGATTTTTGAGGACCATTTTTTTTATGTACCCCAACATTCCTTATAAAGATAATTACAAAAATAACTGTAAATTTTTAAGGTATGTGCATTTTAGTTTTTAAAAATCTTTCTAACTTTTCTGAGAGCTGCGTTTAAAAGCACAAAGCAGTGTATTCCAGATGAAGGGACTCCTTTGATGAAAATTCTTCCAAAAATCACTTGTGATTGGATACCTGATGACATTTTCATGAAATTACAGTAATGTGCACATCAGAGGATCAGGATCAAAGCTCATTCAAAGGCGTAAGCATGTCCAATTTTCAGAAAGAAAACAAACTGCCCAGCCTTGCCCACTTCAAAGGGAAATAACTGCCTTGATAAAGCTTCAGTTTGCATTTTTAATTCACTTCACTTTTCATTTTCTGGTAACCTCAGAAATAAATGTCCCGTACATGAGGAATAAATAAAAAAATTATAAATTTTCCAAAAATGTTATTCATGATAACAATATTTGTTTTTTTCACTACGCGACAAGCATCAAAGTATTGTACTTACATATTGTGGTGTTATTTGTGAAGTTATGTCCATATCCCCAACACCAATCACCAACTGTCCTTCACTATTTAGTACACAGGAGTAGGTTGCTGTAGTGTGTCTGTCTAGAGCTGATATACCTGATGTATCCTGCAATCAAAACAATGAATTACAAGCTATATTAGAAGAGTGTAGAGGCCTTCATCCCAAACAACAATAACCCTGACGGTGACCTCTAATCAAAACCAACAAACTACCATAGGTACCAGTAAGCCTAGGGAATCAAGTCAACTGAAATAATTGAAATTCAATATTAAATATTCCAAACAGGCCTACAAGATTAGGCCAAGCAAAACACTGCAGAGTTCTTGATATCAATCCAAAGTACAACGCTGCAAGAATACCTCGCATGTAGTCTATTTTAGGTCATTGTCAACACAGATACAGTATGTGCTTTTGAGAGAGTCTAAAAGAGAATCAAGTAAATAGAAGAAAAGAATTAAACTCTTCCAAAAAAGGTGGGAAATATTTTGCTGTGTGACCTTTATGGAAAATGTTTTATGGAAAATGAAAGGCGATATATTAAGGCTACATAGCGCAAGGATCTGTTGTAGCTTTCTTGCTGTAATTGTTTTTTTAAACTCTTTTTTTTTTAGAAGGGGTCTGTGTGCTTAAACAAGAAATGGTTAAGGGCTAATTGTCAAAGCTGTAGTTCGTTGAATACACTTTTTAAAGTTCTGTTTCAAAATGAAGTTAATCTAGGAATGGATTACAACTTGCACCTCCAGAAAAGCATATCAGCACTCTACAAAGAGTAGTGCCAGACAACACTAGTGGGTTTTAATTGTTATTTGTGCAAGCTTGTTATAAAAAAAATACCTACAATGTCATTTGTTAGGATGAATAATTGATAACCCAGACACAAGCACATGTGTAATGGGATGGAATCTGAATGACTAGCCGCTGCCAGGGCACAATTACATGTAGCTGCTAAGCATAGATATTTGCAAATCACACAATACTTATGCAGCAAAAACACATTCAGGCCATGTAGTCTTGTTTTACATAACTCTCAAGGACAAGGCATTGTCTTTCCCTTTGTCCCTTTAACATCACACTCTCCCATAGACTAAGCAAACAAACTCACAATCGAGGACCGTTTTCAACAAAAAATCTTGAGGCCAACTGAACTCTGTTGTTCTCCCTTTGTCTGTCTGTCCTCAGAGTGTATGGAATTCACTTCCAAAATGTCAGGCAATGTGTCTTGCTTGTGACTGGTTTTCCACAGATTTTTCCTCAGTACATATATTTGTTAAGCAATATTTTTGGCTAAGCAAATGATATACAGTGAAACGTCGCTATACCGAACACCGCTATACCGAACATTCGGTTATACCAAACATTGTGGTTGGCTCCCGATTTTTTGGTACAAAACATACTGAGCATTGTTCTTGAAAAATGTCATCAGAAGAGCGACAAGTGGCTATTATTTCCCCAAGGAATAGAAGGGGAAAGCCACCCATTGCTGTAGGTAGTAAGCTCAAAACTGTGTAATGACATAATTCAATAGTTGGCACATGTTCAAAGTCATCTTTCAGTAACTATAAGTACCAGGGCGTGCAGGGTGAAGTTCTGAAGGGCGCTATTTATTGAAAAGTGAGTACCAGAGCACCGGCGGCTAATAAAATCGTTATACCGAGCGATCGATATTACGAACAATTTCTGTGGATCCTGCGATGTTCTTTATAGCGGCGTTCCACTGTGCTTCCAATATGTTCCTGCACCTAACCTGACTAACAAAAATAAAATGGCATTTAAACTGACTGACTATGTACCATATGTGGAGAAAGATTCAGCAACATATCCCCCTGACTATCACGACCAATGGCTGACAAAAACAGAGGAGAAGTACCAAGACGACACATGCAGTCGGCAACATTCCGTCCAACACCACCAAGTGTGACATGTATACTGCCAGCATTTGTCTCATCGCCAAACTATGGGTACAAAGAAAAAAACACTTCTTAGCCAAGTATATGGGCTCATTATTGCAAGATTGCATTATTACATAAGCTATAACATAACAAAAATCAAAGATGCCTGTGAAATATTGTGCACTGGTAGCCTTTGTAAAGCATTGGCTAAACTTTCTAATGTTAAAACAGTACTGAACTAATAAACGTAGATTTCCATCTTTGATGAATTTTCATATTTAAAAAAGGTAAAATAGATGTTCAAATAAATAACAAAAATATTAAGGGCATTACTTACAATTATACTTGAGTTTCGAACTGATGAGACCAAGTCAACATTACTTCCCCCAATGACTACTGGCCTGCCCTGCATTGTACTGTCTTGATGTTTATCAACCCGACTCCTGTCAGGTCTCTTACTGGCCTTTTTCTTTCGTATGTAGGAAAGTTCCACTGCTATCTTGCTGCCAATCTCTGCATTATTTTTAATGAGTGCAATGTCTGAAAGAAGACCATTAAGGTTATTAAGACAGTCACTGAAATGTTGTAAACTGAACTATTAGCATGATTAAACCCTCCTGCTTTTTAAACAGTCAAAATTCACTTCCACTTCGAATGCTATACTTTTTACAAAGGCTAGTCACCAGCAGTCAGGTCATAATTATGTCAAGCAAGCACTGTGACTAGTCAAACTGGGTCAACAGACAAAGCAAGCAAGTTGTGGTCACAGTTGCGAGTCAAAGCATAGCTGTATCAAGTTACTTAAACAGTCCCAGCCAGTCAATCCTGCTGTTATGTAGGCTGGGAATTCTTAACTGTTGAAAACAGTCACATGTTTGATTTTAACTGAAAGGACTACTTGACACAGAATGTATGTTTGCATCGGAGGGTTGGCGAGTCCACTTCATGTTGACTGCTCTAAATGATCTCTACTATTGTGGAGCTGCAAGGGTTCTTTAAAATCATATATAAATCTACAAGTAAAGTTGTTCAGATTTGAATCAGCCAGCCAACCCTGGCAAGATTAGTGGTTATGATATCTGCACTAAGTAGGGAAAGAGGTTTTGGGTTTGAGTCCTACTCTTGCAAGTTTGTGCAATTTTCCTTGCAAGCTCTCAGACAACACTGGGTAATACAGTGCCTATAACATGACACGTATTCACTGATTCACGGGACAGGTTACCTATTCCTTTTGGTCGAGAGCCCATCCCATGGGTAGTTTTAAACCACTGCTTAAAAACACACCACTCAGTGCGACTCCACACCAGGGATGTGCCATGTGCGCCATCTATAACCAAGTGCTTGAGAACCACTGATATTATCTCCGTTTCACTCGCACAACAAAACAAAATTGTTGGAAGTTTGTTGACTTGTTTACTGGTTCCTGACCATAAAAGGTGAATTTTCATGAATGGGGATAATAGTGCAATGGAGCAGTTATAAATGTGATGTTTGAATCGGCTAGGGGCCTGAGCACCAATGACAACCCTCGCCTCCTGTTCAGGCAGTTATTGGCAGCCAGGCCCCTAAACAGTTTTAAACCACACATTTGTAAATGCTCCATTACACTATTATCCCCTTATTTAAGCATACACAGCTGATGAAATAGAAAAAAACACCATTAACTCCTACTGTCTTTTACTACGTACTGGACCAAGTCCTCCAAAATCCATCAATCACACTGCTTCCAATGCATGCTTTGCTTTAGGCCTCCAGGCCCAAGTCCATCATAATCACACCAGGCCTGCAGGACCAAGTCCCCCAAAATGCACCAAAATGGGGGGATGGATTTTGATGGAGTTGGGGAGGTTAGGGTTCATAAAAAACATCTACCTAACTGTATTTACATTGTGTTGACATGTTGACTTTGAAAGGATACTAGCTCTTAGTGACTCTCCTTTCGTTATCTGGTTGACTCTGTCGAGAATAAATGGCGTCACTTCCTTGCCCTGTATACCTTTAGTACTAAAGGAAAAGTATCAGTCCAGTAGTAAATGGTTTATCTGCAATGTGTTCAGACACAACTACTACTTTTAAAAATTCTATTACTATATATTTTTTTCTAGCATCCTGAATTGTTGTGATTATTTGCCTAAGAGAGAGTACACGATTAAGATTTTGTCTATTTAATGCCTTTGTTCAACCAAAATTGATCGAAATGTGTAGACTTACATTGTCAGTGTTAGGTCAATAAGATTATTAAGATTGGAGTACTTCATTCCATTTCTCTGTTCAATGATATAGACCATTCTCATGTTGCGGCCTTCTTGATTTTTTCCCATTCAAATCAACGTAACCAAAGCGAGGCTGGAAGGAAAAATAGTCTGGTTCCTTTTTGCACAAAAAACATTATCATTCAGTACCGTTATTGGATACAGGGAACATGACTGAAATGGTAGCAGCATGATAAAGGTCTATAGAATGTGGGGTGCTGTGGTCTAATGGTTACGGTGTTTGACTCGTGTGCCGTGGTACATGGGTTCGAATCCTGACCGTGGGAACATGGTGCTTGTGCTCTTGAGCAAGGCTCTTTACCATTATTGCTTCGTCCTTCGGATGGGACGTAAAGCCGTAGGTCCCGTGTGTTGTGTAATGCATATTAAAGAACCCAGTAACACTTTTCGCTAAGAGAAGGGGTTTTCCCCGGTGTTTCTGGCAGTGGCTGCAATATGCGCCGCAGCACCTTGTATACCCTTAGAAGGTGCTACATAATGGGTCTCATATTTCTCATAAAGTTCATTTACCTGTCTTCAATAAGAAACATAATTTCCAGCGCCTTGAGTACCTAATTGTTGGTAGATAGTGTGCTGTACAAGACTCCGGTATTATTATTATTAATGACAATGCAACCAGATGGGTACCTTGCTTCTTGTAATGCTGTCTGAATTGCTTCTTCAATAGCCTGGCCTTCAGCTGCTAGACTCCCTGGTATGGGAACACCTATCAGTATGCCAGAACCTAACTCCAAAGATAAACTGTAATCTGCCATACATAAAAAAGACAGCATAAACAAACAGGAACAAATGCAAAAGATCAGAAACTATTTCAAATCAAATGTCAGTTAATGTAAACCATTCAGTGGCATATCAGTTTCTTAAGTGGTTGTCCTACTAGGAATTGACTGAAACAATTGTTTAGACATGTGATAATTGAGACGATTTTTAATATATAATTCCACAAGTAAATTAAAATCTGCAAATACCTTAACTGTTTATGTTGCAAATTTGTATTGGTTTGGAATTTTCAGTCTTCCTAAAATAAAATAATTTGTTTTGAAAATAAAAATTTCTGATTATACTTTCTGAAAAATATTTCTTTCTGAAGGACAGATATTAACAGTCTGAGGTTTCTTTGAGAAATCCATACATTTGTGAAGTTTTCTTTATACTTGCAAATGTATCAAATCACAAACTTTTTTGGTGTCAAGTGATGAAAATATGAAGGGTTAAGTGGTGCAAGTTTAACCATTCAGTTGGATCATTCATGATGTTATGTGTGCAAATACTAACAGTAGGTCTAGGTCAATCAAGATGACACACATTTCTGCACCAACACAAAAAGTAGAGAACATGTGTTCTCCACTATATTGTACAGACATCTCTTAAAAACACACAACTTTTGTACGTGTTACAGGTGTGCAAAGTTCAACTTGCTTGGCAAAGTACATGTACTTTTGGAAAGCATAAAAAAATAGATGTCTCGTAGAGACATACACATCTTAATATTGACGAATACCTATTATTGCTGAATACACATTTTGGGGAGTTTAGGTCTTAGGTTAAGCATATTACATGCAGGTAAGGTACATGTATTCTTCACTCCTCATGTCCACCATGCAAACCTACAAGTCTCAGATTACCTATTAGTTCAGCAGCATCTTTTGCACATTTGACATGAATGGGTGCTTGACAGCCACTGCTTGGTGTGAAGAATGCTGGGAAGTCATTACTAGGACCATATGCTGCTACAGTAACACCTTCCGTTTCCTGTCCACAGCAAAAATACAACATACAATACTTTGTCAAACTTCACTTAAATCTGGATTTCAATGCAAACTGTCTTCCTGGATATCTTATGTGTCATTAATCTATATTTACATTCGATTGTAGGTCAACTCGCCCTTTACCAACTCGCACCTTCGCTCCCTGACCTACTCGCCCCTTACCATTCGCCCCCTGGCCAACTCGTCCCCTGCATGGCCAACTTGCCCGCCCCCAGCATATATTTGTTTAAACTTTCTAAAACTTCACTGACTTGTTTGAAGTTTTGTGTTCGTAGATGCTGGAAAAACCAAGAAAACAATCATGTTCCTGTTGTCTGGCTCCCTGACCCCACATAAGATAAAACGGAGCAATTTATAGACGTCTGGAATTGTAAGGTCAGGGAACCAGTCTAGCTGGCTTGTACCCATTCATAGGTGTGTAATTGATTACAAACAAAATGCGCCGCTAACTAAATATGGTAAATTGGGGGCAGTATTTGTAAAAAGCCAGTTTTTTCCAATGCTGGTCGGCCGCCCAGCTTTGGAAATTGATACAAAAATACCACTTTTCTTGAAAATGTCACGACACCAGGTGCCACAATTTTACAGGATACTTTAGACTGTCATTCACTAACAGTCCAGTAAGGATTTCATAATAATTTGGTAGTTTTGTTTTTGATGTTTGCAAATGTTGAATATTCCCTTTAACATATTTTCATTTTCTAAAACAAAGTTGCATTCGGGTGACATTATAATCACATTTTTATTTCAATTTGTATAGTTTTCCAAGCCACATAGACTTTGTACGCAGCAGCATTTCTCCGCGTTTCCCTGTGCCACGTATATATTAGGCCTATGTTTGTTTCGAATGTATGTACATGTGTACATGTTGTGTGTACAATTGTGCGGGTCTGCCTGTGTTACGCGTAAATGTTGCATACAATTGGGTCGGGTCACGTGTATGGTGAGACAAGTTATCAGATGGCTAGTCTGTGTTCAAGTCATTTCTCACTTTTGTCAAAGCAATTGTTTTCTGATTGGACAAGATGAAAAAAAAACTATTGATGTTGACATATCATCAGGTCCTTTGTACTTGTTTTAAAAGTTGGTTATATTCACAACACCTGCACATGAGTGCTGAGCTACTACTTTGCTGTTACTTCCACTGATTCAATTGTAGATTACCATATAATGATTTCATTTCATGCTTACCAAATATTCCAGTGTCCTTGGAATATCCAATATTGACTTGATACCAGCTGAAATGACTGTAACAGGAGTTCGACCCAATTCAGTCAAATCAGCACTCACATCCATACCTAGTTTATGGGATAAAAAATACAATGTAAGGATATGTACTAACAAGGTGATATAAATAATATGAACGCAACAAAGATGAACTATCAATGCTTCCTAATAGACATTATGCATTAAGACATAGTTAGAGGGCAGAGGTTTTGAAGTGCTTGGATAGGCATGATCAAAATTGTGTGCATTCATTGTAACTAAATTAAAAACACCCTCTGAGATACAGTGTACCTGCAATGCATTAGGTCTACATGTATAAGCAGAATATGCAATACAGGTACAAACATGTAAACAAGGCAGTTGTACATGTACATATGTATAGGTTTACAATATACACACAAAAACTAAAAGGGAGCTGACAGAACTTACTCGGAACTCAAAGGAAATCTCATAAGGAATCCACAGGGTCAAATGTTGGGCATTGTGTTCATTACATGTGATTGTGTCTAAGTAATAAGTTGATCAATCTAGAAACAAATCAATGGTTTTCATGGACTTCATGTTCTTCATAGTGAACAACCAGTTCATACACTGCAGTTTGAATGATATTGGAACAGTTGTAAACATCTGGTTTAATATCAGTTAGGGGCCTGGTTGCCGATAATGGCCCCAACCTTCAGCTCGGGCCATTATCAGCGACCAGGCCCTTAAACCAGCCCCACCACACTATTATTGCCTCTATTCACACTATGCATGTAATGCCAATGATTAGAGCAAGTTGTGACTGACTTGTTTCTCCTCCTCGATGGACACCACCTATTCCTCCAGTCACAAAGATAGGTATACCAGCACGATGGGCACCAATCATTGTTGCTGATACTGTAGTACCACATTGAAGTCCCTACAAATACAACCAGCATCAACAAATAGTTTGTTTTCGTTAAAACATGGCACCAATTATATGGTAGCAAATGTGGACGGTGCATTAGATCCTCTATGTCGTCTTTAGTCAGTGTTTGGCCTCATAAATCAATACAAATGGGGTTCGTCTTCTATGTAATTGTTCACAAAAAACACTGCAGGGTTTAGAAGAGAAAGTAGGCAGGAATTAAAAAGGGGCCATGATTATGAACAAATTTAGTAATTGCACATGTTGTTCACATGTCCACCAGCATGGATGTGACAGGTGACTTGGACATCCACATGATTTGAATTGTGCCAGGTTTAAACAGTGGTATGTTAGCAAGTGGTCATGAAGCCAACCTGGGTTCAACAACTCTTGTTGCGTCAATAATTGAGCAATAACAGGTATAATGGCTACATTATTCTGATGACCTGAACTGTGTAGAGGGCTTGTACACTGAGAAAGGCAATCAAGATAAAGTAGAGAACAACTAACGTTTGTAAGACTGTAACAAATCAACAAAGCAAAGGAAATGAAGTAGCAACATGTAAATGTAGTTTCTTGACAACAACTAATCCACAAATAAGATAGCAGTAGCTATTACCTGACTCAAACCCCATGCAAGATCTCTACGAGATGCTTTAATTGATCCAGAACACTCTGATAGATGTTGTAATTCAGACTGTCTCAATCCAATGAGAAATTTGCCATTCATCAGAGCAATAGTAGCTGGGGTTACATCATTCTGTCTTACAATGCACTCCACTTCCTCTGCTGTCCTGAAAACAGATACATGTATGTAAAACTTCTCATTTATCAAAATCAGAAATACACTTAAAGTTGATACCAAGCCTCAGGAACTGTGATAACGTGGCCCTTAAAATCTAAATACAGGGTGTATTCCATGATACAATGTTATAAAACATTTACAAATGAAAAGAAAGTAAAAAATGAAAACGGAACGATGATTCTGATATACTACACATACACTATATAAATAAGATGATTGATGAAAGATTGATAATGTGTCTATCCTACTGTATGTATCTTTCGTATGGCATAATACATATCTTGTATATCGGTGCTCAGGGTACTACATTATTCCAACTCTTCCAAACCAATAAGCTTCCCGAATCCATCTGAGCTACATAGGGAGTATGAATTCCATGCACATATATCTGTTCATTCAGTTACAATGAGCGAGTCAGGAGAGACTATTGCAAAGACGTCAAAGACCTTAGCACATTGGGGATAACATTGTGCATACTGCACGCCATACATACATCACAAACCGGTGAATGTTAAAGGTACCCATTTACCTGGGTGGAGTTGTAATTAATGACAGAGTGTCATGCCTAAGGACAACGTTCACCACCACCCTACAAGCTGGGTTTGAACCTTCAATCGGCAGAATTCAGATCTTGAGTTGGATTCTGCAGACCCCCTGGTCATAATGCTCTCCATCTTACCTGAGATTGTCAGGGTATGGCATCCCATGAGTGATGATAGTACTCTCCAATGCAACCACAGGGTCATCTCGAGAGAGAGCTGATGCCACATCAGGATGGTACTCCAACAAGTCTTTATAAAACACAAGAAAATTTCACCTTAGTTTGTTTGATTCTTATGAGAGAGTTGAACTAAATAGTCACATATATATTCTGCGATTCCAACAAATGCATCTTCAATTATGATTCATCATTCACTTGCAACTTCTTAGCCCTGTGATGCATTGTGGCTAGGATGCTTCCTATGACTCACCTTGTATGTGCATTGTAGTTTCAGTTAATAATAATGACTGTTTCAAGTATTCAATCCCTGAATATTTGGTTGATATTTAGCGGAGTCATCAAACTTTTTCTTGAATCAAAATAGTGGACGATAAGACGCAATTAATTTGAGTGCATAATAAGATTGCTAAACAATGAAAGCTTATAGCTGTATCAGTATCAGTCAGGAAATTACAGAACACAAAAGAAAAGCATTATCAGGATTTCAAGTCAAAAACAGCCTGACGCTTACTCATCCGAGTTTCCTGCTCAATCCAACAGTCCTACATAATCAGGTATTTGAAAATATAAAATGACTGGCATGCTCAATCCAACAGAATCCAACCGTGCCTTATTTTTCTGTTTCCTGCTGGATCCAACAGAGTCCAGCTTGGCGTTACACCTAACAGAATCCGACTCTGGATGTTTTCAGTTACCTGCTGACAGACTTGTATGACTCGAGTCCCATTTTCCGTGACTCAGACTCGAGCCATGTTGACAGATGACTTGGACTCGGACTCGACCCTGTGGACTCGGACTCGACCTGCGTGACTCGGGACTCGACCAAAATTACCACAAATCACTTATTTTTTTCAACAATATAGGATTTACAAATTATTTTGAAGACGATCCTCTCCTGAGCAAGCGATACAGTCTGTGCGGTGCAGAAGAAATGCAGCCAAGTACTGTACATACAAAGCGCGTGCGGCTGGCTTGTTTCCATATTGATTTGGGAAATCAATGTATCGAAACATGTACCCCAGCGTCCGCCCTTGGTATTGCGTAAATGCAAGCTCGACAGTGTTCAGTACCAGATTATCCTTTCCAGACACTGGTGCCTTGCCTTATTTTACATGTTCAACATGTAATTCCAGTTAATTAATTAAATTAGAGAAAAGCTGTGAAAAATAATGGAAAATGTACACAGTGAGGTTTTAGCAGTACCTCAAAATATATCTCATATATATATATTAAAGGTGACTCGTGATTCGGACTCGACCTTTGTGACTTGTGACTCATGACTCGGACTCAACCTGCATGACCCGGGACTCGGGAGAGGTGACTCGGACTCGATGTTTGGTGACTCGAATACAAGTCTGCCTGCTGAATCCAACAGATTTCAACAGGAATAGATACAAGAAGTTTACTGCTCAATCCAACAAGACCTGTTGGATTGAGCAGGGTGCACAATGCAGATCAGTGCACCTACACTTGAAATGAACTCACCACTGCCAGCAGATATGTTCCTTGTGGATATGTACATGTAGTTCCTGTATGCATTATGTAGCATCGCATTGTAGTATTTGTTCAATGAAGACCATTTCTGCCACAGAATTCTCATACCAATTCCCATTCTCATTTTTTGTTACTTGCCAATTTCAAAACTAGTGAACCTGCATATAAAAATATATACACATGACAAACATCGAACATAACCACATGAAAATTAACCACAATGAAAATGAATAGCTATGGAAACAATCATGCACATAACACTGCCATATTATATTTGGTTAATTGTTCGTTCCGAGAAAAACAATTGTGTGTTTACTGTTAAGCCCTAAAAATGATCCAAGTAGGTAGATAGGAAAATATTTTATTTTGTAACTTTTTTATGTGTGTCTATTGGTCTTTTATACTTATTTTTAATTTTTTTTTCTAAATTTAAGATACAGTTGAACCTTCAACTCTATTCTGTAAAGTTAACCTTTTAATTGTTTAGGTACTTATAACAGCATGCACACAAAAATGCATAGGAAAGAGGTTTTATTTTCAAAATGTATTTTATATTGACATCACAGGACCTTTCGAAAAGAGCCCTCAGGACTGCAGATAGTTCTGATCAATTACTAAAGGAAGTGGCCGGAAGTTGCATTTGGTCCAGCTGTAACTTTTGTGTAATCCTTTTGAAGCTTTCTTCTGTTTTTGCATGTTCACAGTACAAAGGAAGGAAAGATTTCCATATACGAAGTTCACTCAACACCCTGTGTACAAACCCTATGAGTGTTTTCTAAGAAAATGTATTTTCTCACTGCTAGCTCAAATTGACTTTGATGACATGAAATTGCTATCTGGCTGGGTACAGAGGAAAATTAGTGAACTTCGCATATGGTAATCTTGCCAAAGAGGGTCCAGTATTTGAAATACATTTACCGGTCTAGTTTCTACCTACTTCTAGAATTAAGTAGTTTCTACCCACCTGAACTGATTTGGAAAGTTTCGAGCATCGCGCGCCTCAACATGCATAACTTCCGGTAATTCACTCGTCGTACAGCGCCCTCTTGTGGCAGCTGGGTATCAAAAAAATAAACCGTGGCGGCTATACCATGCAACATATGGGACCAAAAAAATTGGACTGGTACGTGTGTAGCTACATACACTCTACATAAAAACTAGAATAAAGCGCTCTCATCAGACAAAAAAAACTATGCTGCACAAAATACCCATGTCTACATGTACGTAGTACCGTTGCCTATAGTTAAAAAAAAGAAGACTACATGTACATGTACCGGTACATCTACATAATTATGTCGTGCGCCATTCAAAAAGTCTACAGGCATCTACCCTGTACAGAAAAAGTCTACAGGCATCTACCCTGTACAGAAAAAGCCTACACACATCTACCCTGTACAGAAAAAGTCTACACACATCTACCCTGTACAGAAATAGTCTACACGCATCTACCCTGTACAGAAAAAGTCTACACACATCTACCCTGTACAGAAAAAGTCTACACACATCTACCCTGTACAGAAAAAGTCTACACACATCTACCAAGTACAGAAAAAGTCTACAGGCATCTACCCTGTACAGAAATAGTCTACACGCATCTACCCTGTACAGAAAAAGTCTACACGCATCTACCCTGTACAGAAAAAGTCTACACGCATCTACACTGTACATAAATAGTCTACACACATCTACCCTGTACAGAAAAAGTCTACACACATCTACCCTGTACAGAAATAGTCTACACGCATCTACCCTGTACAGAAAAAGTCTACACACATCTACACTGTACAGAAAAAGTCTACAGGCATCTACACAGTACAGAAAAAGTCTACACACATCTACACAGTACAGAAAAAGTCTACACACATCTACACTGTACAGAAAAAAGTCTACACACATCTACCCTGTACAGAAAAAGTCTACAGGCATCTACACTGTACAGAAAAAGTCTACAGGCATCTACACAGTACAGAAAAAGTCTACACACATCTACACTGTACAGAAAAAAGTCTACACACAACTTCACTGTACAGAAAAAGTCTACACACATCTACACTGTACAGAAAAAGTCTACACACATCTACACTGTACAGAAAAAGTCTACACACATCTACACTGTACAGAAAAAGTCTACACACATCTACCAAGTACAGAAAAAGTCTACACACATCTACCCTGTACAGAAAAAAGTCTACACGCATCTACACAGTACAGAAAAAGTCTACACACATCTACCCTGTACAGAAATAGTCTACACGCATCTACCCTGTACAGAAAAAGTCTACACACATCTACACTGTACAAAAAAAGTCTACACACATCTACACTGTACAGAAAAAGTCTACACACATCTACACTGTACAGAAAAAATCTACACTGTACAGAAAAAGTCTACACGCATCTACACTGTACAGAAAAAGTCTACACGCATCTACACAGTACAGAAAAAGTCTACACACATCTACCCTGTACAGAAATAGTCTACACGCATCTACCCTGTACAGAAAAAGTCTACACACATCTACACTGTACAAAAAAAGTCTACACGCATCTACACAGTACAGAAAAAGTCTACACACATCTACACTGTACAGAAAAAGTCTACACGCATCTACACAGTACAGAAAAAGTCTACAGGCATCTACACTGTACAGAAAAAGTCTACAGGCATCTACACTGTACAGAAAAAGTCTACAGGCATCTACACTGTACAGAAAAAGTCTACACACATCTACACTGTACAGAAAAAGTCTACACGCATCTACACAGTACAGAAAAAGTCTACACGCATCTACACTGTACAGAAAAAGTCTACACACATCTACACTGTACAGAAAAAGTCGAGAGTACCTGGTAACTCCGCTTATTGAACAAACGCATGGTATCATCACGCAGTAATCATGAAAACTGTTACAATGTATCTATTTCACTGTCAGTCCCATCCGACTGGAGAAATTAATACCGTGGGAACTTGATAGTGCGCTCGGTGGCCACACCACACCAGGGCTGCGGTCACAGTGACTGTCAATAATGTTGGATCACCTGAATTTCTCAACTGTTTCGGTTTATTTCGGTTTATTTCGTGTGTTTTTTCAAAAGATGGCTAAACCGCCCTGAGGTCGGTTTCGGTTTCTGGTCGAGTTTGCACATCATTAATCTACACTGATCAAAAAAGGTCTACACATATCTACCCTGTAGAAACAGAATCTAGATGCATCCGACTTGCACCAAAAAAGTCTACACGCATCTACCCTGTACAAAAAAAGGTCTACATACCCTGTAGAAACAACACGCATGGGTAGATGCGTGTAGACTGTTTTTGTGCAGTGTAGATGCGTGTAGACCTTTTTTGTACAGTGTAGATGTGCGTAGACTTTTTTTCTACAGTGTAGATGTGTGTAGACATTTTTTTGTGCAGGGTAGATGCGTGTAGACTCTTTTGTCATGTTTGTGCAGGGTAGATGCGTGTAGACTTTTTTGTGCAGGGAAGATGCGTGTAGACTTTTTTTTTGTACAGTGTAGATGCGTGTAGACCCTTTTTTGTACAGTGTAGATGCGTGTAGACTTTTTTGGGGCAGGGTAGATGCATGTAGACTTTTTTTGGTGCAGGTCAGATGCATCTACACTTTGTTTCTACAGGGTAGATGCGTATAGACCTTCTTTTGTACAGAGTAGATGCATGTAGACTTTTTCTGTACAGGGTAGATGCGTGTAGACTTTTTCTGTACAGGGTAGATGTCTGTAGACTTTTTTAACTGTTTGGCGCACGACATAAATTCTGTAGAAAGTCTTTTTTTCTGTAATTAAAGGCTATCATCACCCTATGCAACGGGTACTACGTATACATGGGAATTTTGTGCAGCATTTTTTGTATTTTTTGTCTGATGAGGGCGCTTTATTCTAGTTTTTTATGTAGAGTGTATGTAGCTACACACATACCAGTCCAATTTTTTGGGTCCCATATGTTGCCCCAAATGGTGGCGGCTGCGGTATTTTGTTATTGTACGGTACGGTTGGCGGTTTCGTCCGCGGCGGGCGTGCGCGAACTTGACATCAGCGACAGCAGCAGCAGCAATACACACATGTGGAGGACATCATGGCGAAAGAAAAGGTATTGTTTTAATGTTGTTAGGCCATAGGCTGATCATGGGCTGATATAGGGCGATCGTATACTGAAGGGGGAGTAATTCAGAATACCCGGTTAAGACAATGAAGAGCGCCGGACTCATGGGCATGATGGGCATGATGGGTGTCAGGTCAACTCGCCCCCTGGCCGACTCACCCCTTACCGACTCGCCCCTTACCGACTCGCCCCCCTGACCGACTCGCCCCCTGACCGACTCGCCCCCTGACCGACTCGCCCCCTGACCGACTCGCCTCTAACAAGCTCGCCCCCTGGCTGACTCGCCCCCTAGCCGACTCGCCCCCGCGCCAACTCGCCTCCTAGCCGACTAGCCCCCCTGACCGACTCGCCCCCTGACCGACTCGCCCCGTGGAAAATGATGCACCGTACGGGGACATCGTAAAAAAAAAAAAAAATAAAGACAGTGCATGGAGGGGAACACAGAGAGTCCAGCAAATCAGCTTCGTTATATCTGAGTTTTGGGATTGAACTATTTAATTGCCCAATTCAAAATTTGGTTCTGAAAGTTCCATTTCTGAGCCTCTTTTATAACTTTTTCAAAACCGTTCGGTATGTTTCATGTGTTTGATAAGAACACCACTAAACCAAAAAAATGAAAAACATTTTTTGATTTTTCAAATATCATTTATTCTAAAAATATTTTTGAATGAAACCATGATGAAACTGAGGACCTTGAGTTGAGATTTACAAATTATGTCATTGACAAACGGTGAACGCGGGTATACCTGCTGCGCGCCGGCACCCACCGTACCGGTACCTATCGCACGCCGGTGTGGACGGTAATTCTGTCCCCCGGTAAAAGTGTCCGGGGGGACAGAATTACCTAGGTACAAGTGTCCCCCCTGTCCCGTTAATTCTGTCCTCCTCCAGGTAATTCTGTCCCCTCCAGTTAATTCTGTCCCCCCTGGTTTTGCACGCATAAGTTGTTATATTGATGTTATTATAATGAATTCAGCGCACAGGGTATACATTTTTAGAGTTTCCACCCTTCATCAATAATTATCAAAATGAAATTAACGTTTAGATGTTAATCAAGTTACCGATCTATGTTTCTGCAAGAAGGCACGCGTAGTAATACTCAACCTATCGCTAGCACGCCCTCGCGCATCAGCCGCCGATATGCGTGTGACTGTCATGGCGGACTTCAATGAGGAGAATTGGCAAAATTATACGCGACACGGGTCACCGCGCCGCAGGCCTGCTGCTGGTGCACTGTTGTCCCCGTCCCCGGCCGCGGCCCTGGCGCCCTCCGTAGGTGCGGTACACTCGCGCGCACGCCCACCATGCAAATCGTTCGCTCCCGAAGTCGTCATCAAAACGGGAGTAAGCAGCATTCCCGAATTTAGCAAGGCGCCGAGCAAAAACAGTTAATATCTTCACTAATATACAGTCTAGGTGCTAGACTTGTGACGTTGCACGGGGACACATTTACCAGGGGGGACACATTTAACGTCGTGCAGGGGGACAGATTTACCTAGAGGGGGACAGGTTCACCTAGGTAAAAGTGTCCCCCCGGACAGATTTACCGGGTCACGACCCGGTAGATCTGTCCGGGGGGACACATTTACCAGGGGGGGACAGAATTACCTGCCACACCAGCACCCACCGGTACATGTACCTGCCGTGCCCGCCGGCAGTCACCGTGAACGCTACTACGCGCACATGCCCAATACGCACTCCGCAAAAAATCACGCTGCGCTATATTGGTAAAGTTGTGCTAAGGTGTTTCCAAACCCAAATTCTTTATAAAGGATCGATACTTTTTTGCATTGGTATTGGAAATCCTTCAAACTTGCGTTTGAGTAATTCGGCTCCATTAAGTTTCACGTTGGGACCAGGCAATGTGCTCCACTGTCTTTATTTTTATTTCACGATGTCCCTGTACGGTGCATAATTTTCAAGGGGGCGAGTCGGTCAGGGGGCGAGTCGGTCAGGGGGCGAGTCGGTCAGGGGGCGAGTCGGCTAGGAGGCGAGTTTGCGAGGGGGCGAGTCGGCTAGGAGGCGAGTCAGCCAGGGGGCGAGCTTGTAAGGGTCGAGTCCGTCAGGGGGCGAGTCGGTCAGGGGCGAGTCGGTAAGAGGCGAGTCGGCCAGGGGGCGAGTTGACCTGCAATCCCAACATGTAGGCCTAGTACTGTTGTTTTACTTTCAGAGGCGCAACAGTGGTGACGTGGGTTCGAGCCCGCCGGCGGACACCTGTGCTCTTAAGCAAGGCACTTAACCATTATTTTGCTTCGTCCTTTGGATAGGACATAAAGCCGTGTGTTGTATAATGCACGTAAAAGAACCCAGTAAACACTTATAAGTTATATAGCTAGTAATGCGCCTATCAAATATTTCCCCCACCCCTCCGATGCACGCTGCCCCAGGTCCGATGTCGGGATTTGGTCACGTTTTTCATGCCCCAGGGTGGGGATTTTGGTCTCACTCAAATTGCATTGTTAACGTTGGCATACTAATGGAAAGGCAAATCACTAGTGCACCCCACATACATGTAAGTCGGGGCATGGTTGGGGATTGTCACTCAAATTTTGCCCGAGGGGTGGGGATTTTGTCACTTCAAAAGTGACAATCCCCACAGCCCGGGGGGGGGGGGGGGGGGGGAGGAGAAGGGGGGGGGAACAATTGATAGGCGCATTATAAGAGAAGGGGTTTGCCCCGGTGTTTCTATCCTCCTGTATAAACTCCCACGTGGAGTATTTAAGAGAAGAACCAACCAAGAACCAAGAACCCCACCATTCCACTCGGAAATACCCTAAGTTAAAGGGGCGATCATGAAGTGTAGGGCCCCTGTTGGCACAACTATAGAATACAGGGCCACTCCATTCTATATCCGCGCATCCATGGCTGCGTGGATGCACAGTCGGTTTTCTATAGCGCCCTCTATTGATTAATATTTACTTCATGCCCACTCCGCATCCGCGCATCCAATGAAGCACCCTCTATTGATTAAAATTAACTTCATGCCATTTGTGCATTTCTATAGCGCCCTCTATTGATTAAAATGTACTTCATACCCACTCCGCATCCGCGCATCCAGGCATCCAATAAAGCGCCCTCTTTTGATTAAAATTTACTTCATGCCTACCCCGCATCTGCGTATCCAGGCTTCCAATAACGTGCCCTCTATTGATTAAAATTTACTTCATGCCCACCCCGCATCCGCGCATCCACGCATCCAAGAAGGAGTGGGTAGGTTTGGGTTGGTTTAGACAGGGAAATAAAGTAAAGGGTCCTATAGGGTTGTTGAGTTGACGCTACTGGAGTCGAAGTCGGCTCGAGGCGTTGTGACCGGTGGCTTTTCCAATGCTCGAAAGTCGTCTTTGCCATCCAGCCCGATCCTGGGCAGCTCGAGCAGCCTGACCATGACTGAGGCCGATGGCATTTAGGTCGTCAATGATTTGTGCCATGTAGGTGTGACGTAGTCCCCCGCCCTGTCGAAAGGGTTCTGATGGTTGGTTTTGTGGGTTCATGAAGATGGCCAGAGGCACCTGAGGTCTTCGCAGTGCATGACCAAGGAGGCGAAGGCGACTTCTCAGCAGGGTGGTTGTGGCTGGTGCTGCGGAAGTACGAGCGTACAGACCGTCGTTGGAAAGTCGTTCTGGATAGTGGACACCAAGACAAAAACGGATGAGAGCACGGTGTGAAGCATCAAGATGCCTGGCCATGGTTTCGGTGATTGCTAGGGCATCACAGCTGTACAGGAGCACTGACTCTACTGTGGAATGGAATAGCTGCATTTTGGCACTGTCACTAGCTACCCCATCCCACATAGGACTGATGCTGCCTCAAAGCGAAGCAGTTGGCGTTGAGCTGCATCCACGTCATCAGACATCAGCGCAGCGTCATCGGCATATGCGAGTGCAGGGATTTTTACGGCTGTCCATCGCGCCGACAAGCGTCTTCTCACAGTGTAGCCATCCTCAATGGTAAGTGATGTGCGCAGGATGTAATCCATGACGATGATAAAAAGATATGGTGCCAAAGTATCACCTTGAAGTACACCAGATGTTGTTTTGAATTCGTCAGTGCATCCCGAAGATGTGCGTACACATGCGGCTGTGTTGGTGTAGAGTGACATTATTGCATTGATGAAAGATGTGGGTATCCCATAGAATGCCAGAATATCTCTGAGTGCCCCGCGATTGACACAGTCAAAAGCCTTGCAGAAGTCAACAAAGGTTACCACTAGACTCCGCTTTCTGGAGCGACACGCATCGATTGCTATTCGGAGGCATGCGATTTGTTCCACAGTGTTACGATTAGGTCGGAAACCAGCCTGCAGTGGTAGAATGAGTGTTTCTAGCCGCTCGCGAAGGCAGATCAGTAGCACACGATTGAAGAGTTTTGCATGAACTGACATAAGGCTCAGTCCGCGCAGGTTGTTGAGTTTTGTACTATTGCCTTTTTTGGGGATCGCGACAATGATGGACTGGCGCCATTCCGGAGGAGGATCATTGCCAGCAAGCACGTCGTTCATAATGGGCAGCACACACTCCAGCAGCGGCAAAATGCCAACAATATCGGATGGCAGCTCATCGGGACCTGCAGCCTTTCCTGGAGGAGTTTGTTGGGCGGCCTTGTGGAGTTCTTCGATTGTAATAGCACCGACGTTTATGTTAGGTGCCAACGGTAGAGGACCGAGCGGTGGTAGATCCAGGTCAAGAGGCTGTGTGTTCAGAAGCCTGTGAAAGTAGCTAGCTATCTTCATTAACCGATCATCTACGGACTCTGCAGAAACAATGGTGTTCGGTCGTGTTTTCCTGCCGGTGATCTTGTCAATAGCTCACCAGACTGCTTGACTGCGACCTGCCTCGTGATGTTCTGAAATCTCATTGGATATTTGATGTATGAGCTCTTCTTTTCGTCGAGTGTATGTGTTTTCGAGATTCACCTCCAACTGTCGATGATTTGAGTTGGGATTTGTTCTGTTTGCAGTATTGAGTTGATGTCTAGCTTGTTGCACTTCC